CAGGCGAGGGCGCGAAGAGCGGGCGAGGAGCACGCGAGCGGGGCAGAGGGCGGGTACGCGAGGGGGCAGGTGTGCGAATAAGCGAGAAGGCGGGGCGGGCGGGAGGGGCTGCCCCTGCACCAGAACGGCGAACGCGTGCTCAGCGGGTATCCCGCTGAGCAGCGCGACGCCCGGGGAGGGGGCGTCGACGAGGGGGAAAGGGAGAGGAGGTGGGAGTATATATCAGAGGGCAGGCGCCGGGGTTTGCCCGATTGGGATGTCTTTAGGCGCTTCAAGTTTGCCCGATTTGGAACGTTGGGTTGAATCGCCTCACAGAGTATTAGGCGGTGAAATCCAATCCGTTCTGGGGCAGTTTAACCCGAAGGATTCCAAGAACGGTTATCCCACTGCCGCTCGGCCCGCGCTGCGCGGGGACCATGCTGCGGGCGCCTGTTCGCGCGTGGCTAGTTCCAGCGTCCGCCACAGCCGCGCGACTCGCCTCGCGCCTTTCTCCCCATCCACCACCTCTTCACCCCCTCCCAGATTCTGTTCTCGCCCACAGGACGTGGAAATAACTGCGCTTGGCACACCTCTGCAGTACACATCTACTAGCTATACAATGGCCGAGCAGGTAGCTTCCCAGTCGACCCTCGCCGCTCCCACAGGCGTGTCGCCTCAGTCCTCTGAGAAGACCCTTAAAGTCTGTGCTCCCCCGACATCTCACCTCGGCGACCTGGACTGACACGCAACCATAGCGCAAGCTTGAGGACGCCCTCCAAACCCTCGACGAAGCTGTCGGACCGACGACGCCCTCTCTAACACGCCCACCGCCACTCAAGCGACTACGCACTGCACGTTCCATCTACTCCACCCTGGCGAAGTATGGGATCAAGAAGGACTCAAGACCGTACGTGAACCTTGCTTTGCACAAAGTTGGATCGCTGCCTCACCCGCGTATATATCCAGACCGACACCAACTGGCGATCTGGAGCGTCTGTCAAAGACGGCTCCCCACTTAGCAGCCATTTTGACTCGTACTGCGACACGCACAAGAAAGGCCCTCCCGTTTCGTTTCGGCCAGCCGACGAAGTCTTCCATCGTCACTTCCCCCTCTACTAGTGATTATCGACCCTCCTCAACCGCCTCATTCCTCGCACGCCTCTCAACATACAAGCTCTCTACCTATGGCAACAAGCCACCTGCCATTGATGCGGTCGCAGCATCCAAATGTGGATGGATCAACGACGGAAAGGACCGCCTTGTCTGTGGCCTTTGCGGCGTTTCATGGGTCGTTGGGAACCGCGACGGCATGACCCGTGAAGCTGGTATGTAAGGTAATAGGAGAGGTAGGTCCGTACTAACATCTAGCTTGGTCGCAGCAAATGCCCTCGTCGAGAAGCAACGAGTCCAATTGATAGAAGCACACAAGGAAGGCTGTCCATGGAAGACTCGCCAATGCGATGGTGCGTCAGTTGCGGCTTCTCGTGCGACTCGTTTTGACAATGTCTCCTTAGATTCCATCTACCACGTCCCTTTGCAAGCGCCCCTGGCTACCATCCGGGATATCAAGTCTCGCGCCGTTATCTTGGATACCGTCATGTCTGGCGTAGAGATCAAGCATCCTCTCGTGAGTTTTCTTATGCTTATCGTCGACGCAAGCGTGCTGAAATATGATCGGTAGACCGCTGCTCAGATTCATTCCATTCTGAGCATCATCACATCGGTTTCGCTACCCTCCTCCGCAGTACTAGATGACTCTCCACCGTCAACACCACAGCGAGAGTCTACTCCCACGCCAACTGCTAGTCGTTCCGAGCCGTCTGAGGTCGCGGTTCTCACCGCTTTCTTTGGATGGTCCATCCTTCCTCCGGCATCATTCTCAGAACCAGTGAAGACCCCGTCGCTTTCTCGTGCCACATCTGTCATGCCTGCGACCCCCTCACGCGCCGCTTCGCGCGCCTCCTCCGTCGCTCGGGATGGTACACCTACGCCGAGCACTCCGCGTCCGGCCTTTCGTACGCCCTCGACAACTTCTCTCAACTTCCAGTTCTCCGCGAACAGCCCGGCGCGCGCGGACACAACACTTCTGCACTGCACGCTCTGCCAACGGAGAGTCGGTCTTTGGGCGTTCCTTCCGAAACGCGAAGAGGATGACCTCATGAACGGCGGGGACGCCACAGAGAAGGGTGCGAACGGTGCTGCGAAGTCACAGCAGCAACGACAGCTCGACATTCTGCGCGAGCATCGGCCGTACTGCCCTTACGTCGTCCGCTCGACGACCGTTCCGTCACTCCCCACGCCTCCATCGGCCACGCCTGCTGCGCCTTCAAAGGCGCATCAGCGCTCTCCCTCGCTCGGATCCCTTGCCAGTACGAACTCCTCCGCGACGCTTGTGAACGTCCAGCCGAGCACGATGGAGGGCTGGCGCGCCGTGTTGACGGTCGTCTCGCGGTACGGCACGCTGCAGCGCCAGCGGCTGGGCCTCAGCCGGGCGCCGAGCATGCGCATGGGCGACGCCTCCGAGAGCGGGGACAACGGGGACGCACAGGTGGACCCGATTGAGGCCATGGTCGCAGATGTGAAGAGTCGTGGGGTATGTCGCTCTTGCCCTGGCCACTTGGATGACATGCTGACTATTTTTATTTCTCAGGGACGAGATCTGTTGAAGTATGTCAAGGGACTGCTCGGATGATAGGTTTGCGCGTATCTTGAACATTTGTAACACCACATTCAATCGCTCGCCGGTGCTCATAGAGCCTCCCCAGAATGTACTTTCTAGTCAAACTATGCTATCGTCTGCCTGCTGTTGTCGTGCATCTGTTCTAGTAACCTGTGTGGGAGGCCGTCAAGGCATTTTTCGGGACTCACTTCGAGTGATGCTCAGGTTGATGCATGATGTTTATTTGAGTGCGCTGTATGATAGAGATACTTGAGCAGGTCGAGGAGTGCTTTTCAGTGATAATGAGCTCGGGCTTCCGTCTTCGCAGAGAACCCGAAATAGACGCCTAACCCAACTACGCCGAACTGGAAGGCGCTAATACCCTCACGCTTGTCTTCCGCCGCCACAGTATTAATATTTGTTCACCGCCATTACTCGCCGCCGGCTGCTTCAATAATACAGGCCATAGCTATAACTCTGGACGTCCTGGACTCAATAAATCCCAGTAAATATACCTCCGTGACTCGCTCTTGACTGTATAACAGGTTCTTCGTCATGTCTGGCTCTAGGCTGGAAGCTGGCCGACAGAAGATTGCGAACAAGTACTGGGCCTGAACAGCGGAGCCGTTGGGCGCGCAGTGGGTCTGTTTCCAAGCCAAGGACACCGGATGCCAAGACCGGTGGGCCGTTGAACAATGGGATATCGCTGGGGACCGGTGGCTTTTCGCTGCTGTTTTTGACGGTATGTTCCCGGTGCATGCAAAACACAGCTGTATAAATATATGTACATCTGACTCTCGCGACGATATAGGCCATTTTGGCCCGGCCACCGCAGATTATACTGTTAGGACGCTTCCGACCCGTTTGCGCGGGTGAATTTACTCCTTCATGCTCCGCCAGCTGCACAATAAGCTAGATCGCACCAACATCCACTCTGTACAAGCGAACTTTACCGCAATAATCAAGGAGCATATTGAGCTTTTTCACCGGGAGATCGGCGAAACACTGCAACAAATCTGCCCGGCACCAGAAACCCTCACCGAAGAGGAAGCTCGGCTTCTCATAGAACACAACAAGGAGGTTATCGACCGTGCTTTTGAGGGCACTACGCTTGCACTGGCTCTCGTGAACGTCCATCAGCGCTTTATTTGGGCTGCCGGGGTCGGTGACTCCACGGTCGGTGAGTTGATGTGGCGTCAACTGGAAGGCAGCCGCCGACTGACTGTGGCGCTGCAGCATTGTCTACGATCGGCCCAGATGGTAAACGAAGGGCCGAACGGTTATGCGACCTACATACATTCAAGAATCCGAAGGAGTACTACAGGGCAGTCATGGCCCATTCGTCCTATGAACGGCCAATAGTCGACTCGCAAGACCGTATGCTGGGCGTACTCGGTGTACCTCGTGGCAAGTCTCCGCTCGTTGCGTTTTTTCCCGCTAAGCTTATGCTGATGTCGAACAGCGATTGGGGATTTTGCATTGAAGCTCCGTTCCACGTACTTGACCAACCTCTTCAGATTTATCCCTTGCGGTCATGCGTTCGGGCTCTCGAGACACGCCTCGAAGATCGTCACGCCTCCTTACATCATCGCGGAGCCGTCCGTGCGATTTGTCGACCTTGAGCCTGTGTGGAGCGAAAGCAGCACGCTCTTGGTGTTCACATACGGCGTTGACAATCTTGTCGACAGCTATTTTGTGTTCACTCCCGAGAAGCACAGCGGCGCAGACCCGGTGAACATCGTTTCGTCTCTCCTATCCGGAGAGGTCGATCATGAAGCGGAACGCGCTCTCGGCCATCCCATCGACCCTCACTGGTGTGGCGCCGAAAACAGCAGGGCCGTCAATATTCTTGGGAACCTGCTAGGTGGTACCGACGTAGAACGACTGGAGATGGTAACGGACGAAGAACGTCTTCGGGATATCGGGGCAGATTGGCAGTTCCATATTGATGACACATCCATAATCGTTTGGGGACTCACATAGAGCATTCGCAGAATATGCTCTCTGGTCCAGCTAAGCTAGCGTCTACTTGCTGTTGTCACGAATCAAGGCGGGACGGATGGGTCTCAAAAGAAGCGGACCCGGAGTGCCCCTGGATGACGACATGGTGCGGCTTTTGCGCATCAATGTTACCTGTTTATTTGTCTGAGTACCATCGGACAAGCTGACTTGGGCCAGCTTTCAAAGCACCGTTGATGTTTGACGATAGTTCGTGTTCAAGCCAAGAAGACGCGGTGGTGCAAATTTTGTAGACCGTCAGTACTGGATGATTCTAATCGGAAATCTAGGGTACGCAAAATGACATTGGTTCCAAATGATTTTGTGATCCCTCGACCGCTTAGCGTCATGCGTGGCACTACTGAGCGTGTCGAGCGTCGTGCAACGCCTCATCGTTTCCGTTCAAGAAGGCTTTGAGGGTCATGCTGGCGCAGCCGCGTGTCGTGTCCGCACGATCTTGCCGTACTAGTGGCTGGTGTATTGTGACGTGTTTGCCCTTATTCAGAGCAAGGATCACGATGCTAGCGCCTGGTAGCGTTCGTCAGATGGTCGCCACATCCGGTGGCGACAAACAGTTTGATCACTCCTGCACTCGAGCCTCCCGACGAACAGGCTTGAAAATCTCTCCCTCAACCTCATGGCATCCCTGGAAGCTGCGCGTTCTGACTTTTCTAGCCTGTGTTTTGGCCAAAAATGCGATGATATCCCCGGGGTCAAAGTATCTAGCGCCACTTTCCAACCCGTCGCTGCCCGCGTAAATCAAGACAGTATGCTGCTCCAGACTTGGGAGATTCTGGGTCAGAAGTGGATTTTCCTAGCAGTGTGTGATGGTGAGTGTCCACCTAAGCATGCTCATGACTGTGTTATTAAACTTCTTACACTGGGCGTCTGTACTAGGACATTCGGGCTCACACATCACGGCAGATCACACAATCGCTGCTCTCCCCCCGCGGCTGCAGGCATCCTTACAAGATGTCCTGACAAACCGACTTCACGAGCAGGTGGAGCGTGAGACCTTGCTTCAAAACGCAAGTCTCATATCTTCGGCTCTTGGCCGTGAAGTCGAGCGATTCGACAAGGGGCTCGGGAGAGCACTCAAAAAGATCTGCCCGCACCCGGAAATTTTGACGGAAGCCCAAAGCGAAGAACTAGTGGGAGTGCATGACGGCATCATACAACGGGCTTATCGAGGATGCACGCTTGGTGTTGCGCTTATCAATGTCGCCACTCGTTGCATGTGGACGCTGAATGTAGGGGATACCACAGTCGGTAAGTAAGGATGCGTCGCATACATTACGCCGTGATGGCGTCGTCTGAACCTCGCTTTTGACGTACATTCTAGGTCTCTCCTCAGAGGCCGCGAACGGTAGGCGCACCTGGGTCAAGCTCTCCGACGACCACAGTTTTCGAAAACCTCAAGAATATTTCCGTGTCATGATGTCACACCCTCACGAGGAGATCGAAAATATAACGGAGAGGAATTGCATGCTAGGTTGGCTCGACATGACTAGATGTAAGCCTCTACCTTGGTCCGTGAATCATACGTTCGCGACCAACGTGTACGGTTGTTCCCAGCTATCGGGGACTACGCCATGAAGTTCCCTCGGTCGTACATCGATCATGTCTTCAACTACATCCCAGAAGGCCAGAAGCATGTCGCCCCCGATCGCGTTCTCACCCCTCCATACCTCGTTGCAACACCGTCCCTCAATTTCACCGACCTCAATCCCGTGTGGGACGCCAAACCCATCGTGTTGGTGTTTTCGGATGGGGTGGACACCATTGCGGAGTGGTACGGTGCATACGTCCCCGGTCTCCCGACACGGAACGTAAACCCCGGCCGCGTCGTTTCCCAGATCTTGGGAAACGACGTCGACCGTGCGGACGTCGCACAGGTGCTGGGACATTCCGTTGATCCCTCCGGGTGGACGTACGATGGAAATAAAGCCGTCGAGGTATTGGCGAACCTGTTCGGTGGTACCGATGGGGAGCGCATCGCGGAGGCCAATCGTCGGACTCGAGCTATGCCGATCTCCGATGACGATGTGTCTACATTCTACATAGACGACACCTCTTTGATTGTGTGCGCGCTTTTCGAATGATGGGCCCACCGCCCGTCCGTATACTGCTGATGCATGATGTTCAATTGAATTAGCAACGCTGAGCTGCGGGAATTGTTTTGCTGCAGGTTCCTGCGAGCCTCGAGGCCGTTGGCGCAAGATCATGCATATGCACATGTTTAGCGGAAGTATTAATGTAGGCGCCAGTCAATACACCGCCCTACTGATGAGCGCTACGTATGCACCAGGACTCTGATGCCGTCAAATAGGCGCCGACGCTAGAGTCCTTGTTCTGGGCGTCGAAGTGACGTTGTGACCAAGTACCACCATATATTTCGCACACGTTCGCTCTGCTCGCCCTTAGCCTCTGCTCTACTCCCATTCTGTCTATTGCATGATGTCTGAGATGTCTGACTTCAAGTCCCACCCCAGCTACAACGCCCGCTACAAAATAGGCGAGGGTTACATCGGCTTTCGTTCCAACAATTTCAAGGTCAACACCATCTCCTTCCAGCCACGTGGCGTCGACAAGAACGAAGACCGTGTCGTCACGAAATTGTGGCAATTCAACGACCAGCGTTGGATGTTCCTCGCTGTTTTTGATGGTGCGATGATTTGTTACGGCTGGACCGGTGTCGTATCGTATACTGACCGTCCTGCTGTCAGGTCACCTGGGCCCCACGGCCGCAGATTTTACGTCGCAGACACTCCCTGATGCTATTTACGGAAGATTGTGGGAGTTCGTCCAGAGCATAGGCGGGCGCCTGGATCGTAGCAACATCGCCACACACCAAGCACAAATGACCAAGTTGTTGAAAGACGAGATCGAGGCATTCGACAAGGCCATCGGGGACGCGGTGCGCGAGATATGTCCTCGTCCTGAGGATCTGACAGAAGAGCAAGCGCGCCGCCTCATAGACAAGCACAAGGATATTCTGGAGCGGGCTTTTTATGGGACGACCATGGCGTTTGCGCTGATCAACCCCGACGAACGGTTCATGTGGGCCGCAGGCGTCGGTGACTCCAGCGTCGGTGAGTATAGGTGCAGTCATGGTTGTCTGTGGCGTCGACTCACTCTGCCTAGGGCTCTCTTACATTGGCAGGGACGGAAGGCCAAAGGGCCAAAGGTTGTGCAGGATGCACACGTTCAAGGACCGGCAGGAGTACTTCCACGCGACCATGGTGCATCCAGGTAGCGAGCAGCCGCTTTTTGACTGGGAAGATCGCATTCTCGGATGGCAGACGGTCGCCCGTGGTACAGTCTCTTCGCTTCGGTGTTGGTTGATTCCGACTGACATGAGCTCATCAGCCATCGGAAACTTTTCGATGAAATTCCCCGCCCCGTATCTTGCAAACCTGTTCAGATATCTGCCGAGCATGGAGAACTGGTACTTCGACGCAATCATCGCGAGGATCAAGACGCCACCGTACATCGTCTGTTCACCCTCGGTCCGTTTCACGGACCTCCAGCCAGTGTGGCGACGCGATAGCAAGATCTTCTTGTTCACCGATGGAGTCGACAATCTGGTTGACGGGTGGTTGGTGTTCAAGCCGCGCCAGCACAGCGGCGCCGACCCCATCGACGTCGTCTCCGCGCTTCTCGCAGACTCGATCGAGCCACGGATTGCGGAGATCCTGGGGCACCAAGTCATTCCGCGCTGGAGCGGCCCGGAGAATAACAGGGCGACAGATGTGCTGGGCAACCTGCTCGGAGGTACGAATATCCAGAGGCTGGAGGCAGTTACCGATTTGGAGCGCTTGAACGACGAGAAGGCGGACTGGCCATTCCACATCGACGACACGTCTATTATTGTTTGGCGCTTCACTGACCACTAACTGGCATGATGGACTGCAACTTTGATTGGTCTGTATCTCGCGTTGGTCTAGCTCGTGACGCCCTTGTATAGATTCGAGTCCTTGGGCGCATGTACCGGATGTGAATATTCATAAACTTCGTCAATGTTGAACGATGACTTAGATCTGCTTTGCCCTTCGCGTCTTAGGTCGCCGACACTGCTGCGTGCAATTGAACAGTCGACGCTAATGTCTACGTAGCTAAAGCCGGGGTTACGCCAGAGCACCCCCGCTGGGGCAAGGGAAACTTGACCTTGAATCCGATGTTCTTATATTGGCACGGAGGCAATATAGGGTCAATGAAACAGCCGAAAAATGTCAAGTGCGTTGGCGATTGGTTAGACAACGGATGCGCAGGTGCATAGACAACACTATTTCATACTTCAATCGTGCATCATAGGTACATAGACATAGATCTGTGTTGAGGGTTTGGAACAATGCATATGCTGACGCAGCGGCAGTTTGTGAGCGGTGGCAAAGCGGTAGAGGCAGGAATACAGGGCCAGATCGTGAAGCGGGTAAGGAAGGATTGCATGGCGATGGTCACATATAACATAGTAATAGTAGAGAGCATAGTGGTGGAAAAGGGTGGCATAACAATACGGACGGTCGATTCGACGAAGACCGGGTGCCAGCGAGTCGTGACAAGTCGATAATCTGTAGAAGATGCGACTGAACATTAACCCTGTACCTCGAAAGGTGATGAGCAGAAACGCACTTACAGCGATGAGCTTACTCCTTGCGAGGGGGCGGCTGAGACGGTGGACCTCCTCCCGATTTGGATCTGGGCTTATTGTCGTATTGGATAGGACTGGGACGAGGGAAGGGAGCGGATGTCCTCCGCGTTCCATCCGGATTGGGCGGGTAGGCGCCACCATACAACACGCCGCGTCCAGTTTCGGTAGTGGGAGAAAGCACTCCGCTGTCGACACGTGCAGGACTCCCTGATCCACCCATATAGAGGTTTGGATTGTCGTAGAAGGCGGACAGGCCTGGAACACCCGGACTCGAGGGCGTAGGACTCGTGTTAGTGCTCCCCGAAAGTCCTCCATACGGCTGGCCATCGAAAGCACTACCCTGGCCTGCATGCGGACGGCTGGATGGACCAGCATTGGATGGACCAGCATTGGGCGGACCAGCGCCGTGAAACCCAGCGCCGCGCGATCCAGAGTTAGACGGAGCAGCATTGGACGGACCAGCGCCGTACGGGCCAGCGGGGTTGCCGTGACCACCCATTCCGGGCGTCTGGGTTTGGCCGGTTCCAGCTTGGGGAGGAGCACGGAACTGGGGCACGGGGGGAAGAGGCGCCTGGGGAGGAGGTTGGAATTGGGGGACTGGGGGGAGAGGCGCCTGAGGAGGAGGGTGAAATTGGGGTACGGGGGGGAGAGGTGCCTGGGGGGGAGGACCCTGGGGTGGAATAGCCTGGTGAGGAAGCGGAGCAGGTCCAATGTCGGGGGAGGTGGCCGGCGTGGACTGGGTGAAACGCGTGGAAGTGGAAGACCGTGGGCTCTTCACGCTGCTCGTGGAGCTGGCATCGTCGTTGGAAGGCATGGTGGGGAATTCTGCTTGTTGATAGGCGTGTAGGAGGAGTACGATGAGGAGTTGTGGCGAGCACGCAGGCGATTAAATGCGATTCCTGAGACGCCGACTCGCCTCGCGCTGCACCGCAACCAGAGTCTAGTCGTTCGTCCGCGGAAGAGCGCATGAGGAGTGGACGTTGAGCACGAGGACCACTAGGTGATGTCCGGTTCAGTTGTGAGGAGGGAGGTGATGGAGGAACCCGCACAATCTCCAGATCCAAGCGTTCCGAAAGAACGATGGCGGTGTTATCTCCTGAGATTATCCTCACTGCGGCAGATATACACGATTATTTGACCATGCGGCGCCGGTCTCCGAGGTCCTCATGTCCACAAATGCGTATGCACGAGACATCCATTCCGGGGTCAGTCTGTGCGCAAAGGTCAGCGACAGAACAGAGCTCAAATGATCCCCTGTGAAGGTGTGAACGTACGTAACGTCGAGAACAAGAAGCGACACACTCGGACATGAGGACCCGACACTCACAGAATCTGAACGACACAGCCTAGCATGCCCGGATAAGCTACACGCGGAACTGAAAACGACGTTTTGCGAAAGCGGCTGGGATGAGCACCTAATAGTGAGTATAAAGATTAGCCTGACTCGGAGTAGGAACCACGACCGCACAACGCAGCAGTGACAGACCCACGAACCAGAGAAATTTCACGTACCGTCATACGGGGCTGTCAATCGCCCTTGTAGGAGTGCTATCGGCGCACATCCGCCTGCCACATTAGGAAGAGTCGTTGTCTCGCCCCGTCCAAATAACCTAGAAGTCGAGAAGGTGGGGCGGAGTGCCAAGTGGGCGCTGATAAAGAAAACCAGGTCGAAGGGTGGTCGGATGTTCTGCCGAGCCAGAGGTTTTTCAAGAACCGAGCCGAATCCATGTTTCTGTTTGTGACGAGGACATGCGTCTTGCATACGTTCGGTCGCCGGTCGTTTATGCGCGTGAGAACTTGGGCATGATTTTTCTGTTGGATATGCCGAGCGTGTGCGTGTACTTGCTTGGCTGCAGTCATAATAACCAGCTACGAAGTAGCGCCGTACGCGTCATCGTGCAGTGGCGACTCGTGGTGAGTGCGACATAATTTACGATTGCATACCCACGACATGGCCCAGTAATGCGGTCGAGTCCAAGGCTACTTGCGGAGAAGTAGCGATATGCCGGTACAAGATATCCACCAAGGCCATATCGGTATATTCCACATGTGGCGTTGAAATAATCCGTAATGAATTCGGCATCACAACCTGTAGGGCGAGCATCTCGATTATCAGTTCCGCACACATCCAACGTACACGCAAACGGCCCCAATCAAAAGCACGTACGGCTCTGCGGATTCACACGTACTTGCAGCCCTGAGAGAGAATGACGGGGCTGAAAAATGACCTCACGCCTCAAGGCAGGAGATGGCGGGGAGCCAGGAACCATCTACGCGCGAGTGGGCATGGTGGCGTGCGAGTTCTGGTGAGTTTCAGGACGTCTGTGGTCTGGTAGCACCGCTCGATCCTAGTAACCCAGAAGCCGAGAAGCGAGCGGAGTGCTGCTGGGCGCTGGAGGCACTGATGTCCGGCGCAGATACTACGCTCGATCGTCAACACCAGCCACGAGCATTCCCATATATGCTGCACCAGAAGATCTTCGCGGTAGGCCCAGCATCCGAAAAGAGACGGGCGGTGTCCTCGGGGTCTATAGTGAGTCAGTTTGGTCAAACCAAGAATGAGTATGAACTCTCCAACTCACCGGCACTGGTCCGCACTCCGAAGCCTAGCCTGAGCGGCCGCCTTCACACCTCCCGGCGGTGGTGCGTCGATTGATATGGTTAGCAGCAAGAAGGTCGTTGTCCGGGTCAGACAATTAGCGGCGCCGAGATGTCGTATCTGTGTGCCTATAAGCCTCGAGGCAAGCGAGGAGTGGCGGCCGGCGCATGGGATCGCAATTGTCGCGTGTTTGTGCTTGTTGGCAGTGCACGCCGGTATCTTGCGCGTCGGAACGCCTGCACAGTAAGCGGAGGCGGACACGCTTATGCTGCGGGTAATGGGGGGACGGCGCCCATGTGCAGCACCGCCGTGGCGTGCTGGCCCTGTTGCAAATCGCGCACTGCTGGTCAGCGCTACGCGAGACGGACAGCTAATGTACGAGATTTCTCACCACTTGTGTGTGCCTCCTTGTACGATACATGACTTCTAAGGTGCATGCAGACAACGGACTACCAAAAATCAGACTCGAATACTGTACCATAAATTACACGGAGACGGACGCATACGACGACGCACACGGAGCCTGCCAAGCGAATAAAAACGAACGGAATTTCCCTTGCCCAACGCTGCGCCACAACAGCAGTGCACGAGCGCAGAAGAGAGCGACAACGACAGCGACGCAAGCATCCAGGGCCAAACGAGAAAGCATTACAGCATACAATACCCTAGAACTTCTAGTCCCACGCAGCGGTGCGCTACAGCAGCCCCGCGGCCTGGAGCGTGCGCGTAACCCGCAGCTCCGCCTCGGTCATCTGCGCCATCTGCGCCGCGCGCCGCCGCGCGTTCTCCTCCTCGAGCTCCCGCGAGTGCTCGTCCTCGTCCACGTCGAGGTCCCCGAAGCCGAACGCGGCCTCGATGTTCCGCCGTACCTGCTCGTCGTGCCGCCGCTGCTCGGGCGTGAGCGGCTCCTGCGGCAGCGACGCGACGCGGATCGCGTTCTCCCATCGCTTCACGCGGTAGAACCCGACGGCCGAGGATAACAGCAAAAACCAACCTGTGGCGTAATGACGGTTAGTGTTATGTCCAACGCCACAGTGAAATATGCGTACCGAGAGTCATGAGGATGAGTGCAACCCAATCGCGGGAGGTGACCGCGAACTGCAGCTCAAACACGGCGTTCGGATCTGTGGCGTTGAACGACGACATGTCGAAGGGGCCGGCGGTACCATTCAAAAGCACGGGGTCCGTGAACCGTGTGCTGTTCCACTTGGTGATCACGTCCGCCATCGACATCGCACCTGCACCCTCGCCATCCGCAGCGCCATCCTCCCCGGGACCCATCCCGCCGTGCATGCGCCCAAACGAGCCGCCGTACTGGATGAGACCGTACTGGATGAGCGTGAGGCCGAGGCCTGCGCGGGAGCCGAACTTCGCTGCGTGCGTGGTGTGCAGGAGGTATGTGAGCACGAACCCGGCGAACTGGAAGAAGAACGAGACGAAGGCGGTGACGAGGAAGGAGAGAACGGAGCCGGAGGGGAGCTCGTCCACGATCATGTATGCGTTCGGGTCGAGCGCCGCCGCGGGGGCGTGCACCGTGGTCTCCCAGTACGGGGGTACTGCATCGAGCTGGGCCTCGGCATATGACTGTGGCGTTCGAGGTGTGAGTAAATGCGAGTAGCAGTTCCTCCATCGTGAACTGGAATAGGAAGCGTACCGGTGGTGTCTCTTTCTGCACCTCCTCCGGGACCAGGTGGGTGTTCCCGTCCAAATCCGTAATCCTCATGGGCATCGAGGGCTTCGCGCTTACGTTCGCAAACACTCCGTCGTTCTCGGTGCCCCCACCTACGACTCGGTGCCCAGGGGCCTCCGTCGGCACGCTAACGTAGTGCTCAGGCAACAACGCCCCGACTGCCTTGCGCCAGAAAGGCATACGCGGACGCGGCGGCTCTACAGGTGCCGTCGGCAACTGGCCGTTGCTGTTTCCAATATCATTCGGGAGCGCCCGTGCAGAGGGGCCTGGGGGAGAACCTGGTGGCGGGCGGGCGTAGTCATAGTCGTAGTCCCGCTCAAAGTCGTATCCGCCTGGGGCGGTCTGAGGTGTCGGCGCTGGGGAGGGGAACGCATCGTCTTCGTCGAGCGGGGGATGTGCGTGGGAGGCGGTGCGGGGCGGGAGGGAGCGGGTCAAGGGAGTGGATTCGGACGAGTCCTGGCCTTCGTCCTCGGAGTCGAATGCGTCGTCGAGCTCGCGCTGCGCCGCCTCCGGGGCGTAGCGCGGGCCAGCAAGCGGCGCATACGGTGTTGGCATCGAAGGAAGGGGGAAAGGCTGTAGAGGAGAAAGGAGAGAACGAGAGCGACGACGACGGCGATGGGCCTGCGTTTGACACCTTCCGCTGCTGTTCCTGGGCGCCAATCCCATCCGCCACACTCAAGCGCTCCGCGGCGGTGCCGGCGCGGGGATGCCGCCACTACGTTAGATGTTGCCGAAGCCAAGCCCGCCGGCGAGCTCAAGCTCTGGGGCAACAGTCGCAATCCCAGTCGCATTCCAGAACTTCCAAGCCCCCTATACAACAGAAAGTGGCTGATATCATCATCCACAGAACCTTCGCGCATTGAAACCTATTGAAACCACAACATTCAGGAGTGATGTGGAAGTGATGTGCTTTATTCTATAGCGTTCTACTGATGCACGGCTCCTACACTCAACAAGTATCGAGGTTACTAGCTGAGTTGAGCTCAGGGTGAGTAACGTGGTACATAGTTCGACGTGGGTACGCCTCGGTTGTGATGTTTTCTCGCACAGCTTGCAAGGTGCAAGGAATCTGAGCACGCACCTCATGATTGCAGCCGCGAGTTTTGACACCTGTAGTCCTTCTATTGGCGCAATTTGGGTGACAGCCCGAGCGTATATAGATGATTTGTTTGTGTTCCAAGTATTCGCGCACGTTATTCTCTACACCGTCCAATAGAGCGCGCAATTCGTGTCAGTGTCTAGAGACTAGCGAAATATAAAAGCGATCAGGAGCAACGCTGGCGGTACGATATGAGGAATACATACCGTTTTAACGAGGGACTGATCCCACCAGTCCTGACAGAGTTTCCCCTTCGTGCGCGTATAGAGTGCTCCAAGAGGACCACAGCAGACGTCTGACGCGTCCGTGACTGCATGAGGCGTCCAAATGTCGAGCGTTTATAGTTCGCGGGGCTGAGCGCTTCTTCCGGGGTGCGCCCTGGGCCGACGGCAAGAGGAATGAGAGAAGACGCAGATTCTTGCGGCGGTCCTGAGCGTATCTGACGGCACCTACGAGCTCCGAGGATGCTAGTGAACATGATTTTAGTTGAGCAGCAAGTCAACGGTCATACGGCACGCTTCTCGTTTCCGCCAGAGTTGTCCGAGATTGTACACGTACAAGCACACGTCAGGACGGCCGAGGTCAATAGCATGTAGGACAGCGAAAGCGCAGAGAGAGTAGGCTGGATGCCCGGAGCATCGCGAAGCACACGAAGGTTTCGAGTCAGAGAGAACCGAGCCTTATAGAGCAGAATGAAGCCGCCAGTTCGCCCGAGCAAAAATACTGCAGCGATCCAGACAGGCCGTACGGGGTGGATCATCGCACAGCAGTCCGATAAACGCAAGGTGTGATACCCGCGCATTTCGTCGACCTATCCCCTTGCGTAGGGCCTGTTGCTAAGATGAGATAGAGTTGAGTGGGCCGGTTCGGGAAACAAGCCACATGAGCATACCGCAGATAGCTACGTAGACGGCAAAGCGCCGTGCACATTTGTTCTACCAGATGCTGAGGTCAAGGTGACGTGAAAGATGACAGCAGGTATCGCCGCAGAAGGAGGAGGGCGCAAATTTGACCGCGGAGCCTTTGACGGAACACACGGTCGTGCGATCCAGACGCGTCAGGTAACGGACGTGACACGGCGCGTCCATCAGGCTACGCCGGCACGAAGGCGGTTGCGCATCTCGAAGCTGCGCGAGGGCGATTTGGAAAGGCGACGATAGCGACGAAGACCAAGTAGGCAAGTCAGCGGACTCGCAGCACGTTGGTCGGTGTGCGGATCGTTTTGAGCCGGGCGGGCAGGCTGCGCGCAGATCCAGGAGAGGCGAAGCGGAAGCAAAGGCCGGGACGATCAGCCAGAACGGTGCGAGGGAGGGCGACGATGGGCGCGATATCTGGAGATGGCGAAGGAGGCGGAGAAAAGACGAGGACGCTTTACGCTCAATCGGGGAGGGGACACGCGGGGAAACGTCGGGAAGTGCCGGGTCCAATGAGAGCTGGACCGTGTCTGGGGATCGGGCAGCGCTGGATGATGTCACATGCATCATCGATGAAACTACAAGAGGAAAAGGACTCCTAACCCTATATACCACCTCCCCTCCATCGTCCGAGAACCTCCCTCCTCCTCCTACGCCATCGCTACTCGCCCAGCCATGTCGCCCACCCTCCTCACCACAGAGCCCTCCATCCCCGACCTCTCCATCCCCACCACGAACGGCGAGCAGCGGCACCTCATCGTCGTCTCAAACCGTCTCCCCATTACAATCAACAAGGATGCCTCCGGCGAGTACCACTTCAAGATGTCTTCCGGCGGTCTCGTCTCTGCGCTTTCGGGTTGCAAAAAGTCCATGTCCTTCACGTGGATTGGCTGGCCAGGCTTCTTCATCCCGCCCAAGGACCGACCGATCGTCGACCGCCGTCTCAAGGAGGAGTACTCGTGCCAAGCGGTCTACCTGGACGACGATGTTGCGGACCGCCACTACAACGGCTTCTCGAACTCCATCTTGTGGCCGCTCTTCCACTACCACCCCGGAGAGATGAACTTCGAGGACGAGAACTGGCTTGCCTACCGCCAGGCGAACATGGCGTTCGCGGAGGCCATCATGACCCAGCTCTCCCCGGGCTCCATGGTCTGGGTTCAGGACTACCACCTGATGCTGCTCCCCATGCTCCTCCGAACTCTCATTGACGGGCCGCAGAACGTCGGCGCGCTCACCGCGAGCGAGGTCGACCGCATCCTGGACGGCATCGACACCGAGGAAATCCCTCCGCCGAAGTACTCAGACATCAAGATCGGCTTCTTCTTGCACACTCCGTTCCCTTCCAGTGAAATCTACAGGTGCGTCCGTGTGCTCAAATTCGCGCTCGCATTCCGTTGCTCCACTTCGCGCGCCCATCCCGTCCTCCGTGATTGGTTCTCCGCACCGAATGAGCCGCTCGTGCCTGCGCACTTCTCACCGCGGACCTTGCGAAGCCATCGTCGTTCCAAAAACGGCCTGCGCCAAGCTTGTGTCGCCCACATGCTCTCGTTTACCTTTCTGAGCGCGTTTGTGGCCCCAAACGCTAACATCGCCATAGGATCCTCCCCGTCCGACGCGAGATCCTGCTCGGAATCCTCTACTCCGACCTCATCGGGTTCCACACATACGACTATGCTCGTCACTTCCTCTCCTCCTGTACACGTATCCTCGGCCTGCCCACCATGCCGAACGGTGTCGAATTTGAAGGCCGTCTGGCGCACGTCGGGACCTTCCCGATCGGTATCGATCCCTCCTCTTTCATCGACAATATCAAGAAGGAGAGCGTGCAGAAGCGCGTCGGACAGCTCGAGCAGCGCTTCGCGGGCTGCAAGGTCATCGTCGGTGTCGATCGCCTGGACTACATCAAGGGTGTCCCGCAGAAGCTGCACGCGCTCGAGCTCTTCCTCACCCAGCACCCCGAGTGGATCGGCAAGGTTGTCCTCGTCCAGCTCGCAGTCCCGTCACGGCAGGACGTGGAGGAGTACCAGAACCTTCGCGCGACCGTGAACGAGCTTGTCGGCCGAATCAATGGGCGCTTCGGCACGGTCGACTTCATGCCGATCCACTTCATGCACAAGAGCTTGGCGTTCGACGAGCTTTGCGCGCTATACGCCGTAAGCGACGTGTGTCTCGTAACGAGCACGCGCGACGGTATGAACCTGGTACGTCATAGCGCTTCCGACATATCTTACGATATTGACTGCCATTGCGCAGGTCTCGTACGAGTACATCGCGTGCCAACAACAACGGCAAGGCGTGATGATCCTCTCGGAATTCGCGGGTGCCGCCCAGAGCTTGAACGGCAGTATCGTCGTTAACCCGTGGGACTCGCAAGAGGTCGCGGACGCGATCCACCAAGCCGTCACCACAGACGCCGAGACGCGCGCCGAGAACCACAGGAAACTGTTCAAGGTACGTTGACGCCTACTTCACTTTTACGCTCGGGACTCACGGAGTTTCGGCACGTGAAGTACGTGAACAAGTACTCGGCCGCGTACTGGGGCACGTCCTTCGTGCGCGAGATGACGCGGATAGAGCTGCCGGAGGCGAAGCTCGAGCCCGTAGCTGAGTCCCCGATCGAGGAGGAGCCCGCGAAGGCGGTCGACTCGTCGCACCCGACAGTCGAGGAGCTCAAAGGCGGCCTCGCGGAGCTCCACCTGCACAAGGAGGACGCGAAGGGGAGCGTCGTACAGAACGGCCAGGTGGTGCTTACCCCAGCCGCAAACGCCCTTGCGCCGCACAACTCGGCATGAGAACCGCTAGGAGTCTCTATGCGAGACAGGGAGCGCACGGGAGTCTATAGATGCGACGGGGCTGCACTTGAGACGGGGTGTACGGACAGGCTGCGCATAGACGAGGGGCAGGGCAGGAACACGGCCGGTGACGCATATGGATACGACCCGCACACGAAGGCCAGAAGTATGAACGCAATCTTTACATGTAGTGTATGCATCGCTGTCTCGATAGTTGTTGTACTTATTCCGTTTTTTGTTTGTTTTCCATCTCCGCATCCGTCGCTGACAATCCACGAACCTTCGACTCGTTCTCGCCATTCTTTTGCGCATGCGTCCCGGTTCGGCGCACGCGCATTCAGTGCGATCCGATCCGATAGACGCTTTTGCCGCGACCAACACAGGTGATCTGCTCGAGTGCGAAATAGGGCGATCTAGCTTTTGCCTGCGCGGTTGCCTGTTCGCGCCGCGGGCCACAGATTCGGTGCGTAAATCTCGGCGCCCAGGGCGGCTTCTGCGGAAATCACGCTTCCGGATTCCGAGGCGATCCTCGGTGGCTGAATGGTGCATGTATATCGGGCGTCGGGATGTGCGGGAAGGCGCGGGAAGGCACCCCGTAGGCACCGACGGGGCGTAATGTCGGCGAATGTCTGAGCAAAGGCAAAGAACTCTGGAACTGATCAGCGCGGACGTGATCTGCGGGTGCGACGACTCGGACGCTTGAACGTGCTTGGGCGGGACCGCAGGCCCGACGGCGGCCCGCAGATACTGGGGAGCGAGCGAGCGATACCGTACGTCCCGTGAACAGGCACATCAGAGTTTCAAGCGGTGAGGCGAGCGACGACGATGGTCGTGTCGTCGATATCGAATATGGGCTCGTCCGCGCGGAGCCGTTCACGGTCCATGACCATCTCCAGCCGCTCGGCATTGGCGCCTCCGAGCAGGTTCCCGAGTATGTCAACGGCCATGTTGTTCTCTGCACGGCTCCATTTGGGCTCTATCTCATGGCCAAGGGCGCTCTTCACGCGGGGGTCCACCGCGTCGGACAAGAGCGCCGGGACGATGTCCATCGGGTCGAGTTTGCTGGGTTTGTCGGGTGAGAAAACGTAGTCGCCATCGACAAGGGTGTCGACCCCGTCCGAGAAGAGCAGGATGATGGGGTCGTTGCGCCACACGGGCCGGAGGTCGACGAAGCGCACGGACGGCTCGGCGATGAGGTAGGGAGGAGTCCGAAGACGTTCGTAGAGTGGTGCGTACTTGGGATTGATGTGCCGGAAAATGTGACGCAGGTATTCGCGATGTATCTTGAAGGAAAAGTCCCCGATGGCTGTAGACAGCGAATGCCATAATCAGTCTCTCGGACTAACGGCGGACCGCTATGCGTAAATTTTACCACGCGACATCCCAATGCATCCCAGTAGCGAGTTGTTAGCTGAGACGAGATCTTTCTCGGGGTGGTGGTGGGCCATGATCGTTCGGTAGTATTCTCGAGGATTCTTGAAGTTGTGTATCTCGCAGAGCCGTTCTGCGCGACGCACACCGGTGCTGTCGACGGTCGATAGAGCTGTGCCTCGATAAGCTCCGATAAATCGTGCAGTCGGGACCCGCTCACCAATCGTTGAATCCCCAACACCAGCGGCCCACATTACGCGATTTGCAAAGTCCACGACTGCCACGGACAGCGTCGTCCCATGCATCGCTACCTCGAAAGCCTTCCTGTGCTGGGCGACGAGGCGCAGCTCGTCTTCCTCGGTGAGCGTGCGAGGGTCGGGACAGACGTCTGTCACGCCTCTTCCTATACTCCAGTCAAATCTGACTATCTCGCGCTTGAGCATGGCGGTAATCACAGGCTCTGCCTCGTGGATGTTGGTGTGGTCCAAGCGTCCGCCAAAATGCTTTCCAATCGACCGCTCGAGCATCGCTGCAAGATGCCGCGGAAGATATTTGACGGTGTACTCGGATGTCTCCGGTCCGCCATGACCTGAGAGCCGGTGTTAGGGAATACGGCGCTGGCATCAAGAAGGTGGCGCACCATCGCACAGGACCAAAAAGACCCAGGGTTTCTTGAGGACCAGTTAACGCTCCACTGCTATTCAATCGTCATTGTTATGGTGGCCGAATGGTTGAAAGGTGACAGAGTGCACTGTTGGGGAGGCCGACTTCGTGCTCTGGAAGGCGTCGACAAGATTGCGCCGTGCTGTGTCGAGCCTAGAAGTAGACATGGCAATAGAGATCTGGAAAAGTGTCTATTTGGTCAGTAATTACTGCTTTAGCGTTGCTTCTGGAGTCGCTAAACGTGCGGAGTACACGTTGACATTAGTTTGAGAGTAAGAGCGGACGCCAGCAGCGCTCGACGTTAGCGCTCGTTAGCGCCAGCGACCAACAACTCCTTCCATTTTGGGATATCCCAATATGGCCTCCGCCACGTGGCATCACGTACTAGTCCTCACAAAGCTCCACCATCGTCTCGACTGTCTCTCGACCAGCTTGAGCAGCGAGATACATCTATCGAGTTAACTGCCTTCTCTTTCGGGTTGATTCCATGACCGACATCTCGAGAGCCTCACGTCCTACGTTCAACTTCCCAAAGTCTTCGACGCCCCTTGCCGGGCAGAAAAGCTTGTGTTCGCGCCCAAGACGGTGAAGGTTTTGATATTTTGCGACATCCATCAAACCATTGCGTACCGGTATGCGACGTTTTCGAGGATCTTATCAGCTCATCAACCGGCGTGTATTTCACTATCTGCGCTACACAACTAGTGGCCCAGCACCCGGACCCTGCAGCGTTGAAGACTTCAGAGATACACTACCACTACACAGGGAGCTGCACTCACTCATCAAGTCAGGCTCGCGAATATCGCTGAGTCGTGTTCCTGCCGCATTGTTCCTTGCTTGGGTATCGCGATTATCGATACGCCTCGAATCTGTGAGCTTGGGAGCGTTGCGTTAGTACTGATTTTAGGCAATACGACGAGGCCACGATGTTTTGCACAGCCGCGTCAGTGCGCGGCGAGTGTATAGCATCGACAGCGCGATCGAAATTCGAGGCTATCAAGATCGCTTCACGAGCACCGCGGAATACTTCTAGCCCATGTGGAACGTTTCTACACGGCATTTGTGAGTAGTGATCTATCCTGATGCTCGACGCGAACAACAATAATCACCTTTTACGACCGCCGTGTCATGCAGGACCACAGAATAGGTTTTTTGAAATATTAGGCGTGTATGATCGTGCTCTCGCGCTACGGCACCGTGTCATAATCTGCTTTCGCATATGGTAAGGTGCCGACTTGCCCACGGCGGAGTGGCGATTCACCCTCGACAGTTACCAGGTGGTCTATTGAACCCATCCGCTCGGCATCAAAAGACATGTCCGCGCCGCAGCGCATTGGGACAAATGCTCAACGCTGCGGTCGGCTTTAAGAGTGCAGACGCTCAAGGGTCGGGCCCGTTTTTCTCGGGGATCGACGCTTATGATCGTTCACGCTCTCGAAACAGGTACCGGCTACTATGTACACCGCGTGGCACAGCTAAATGTATGCTCAAGATTCTGCTGTCCTCGTCCCACGATGGTGGTGTACACCTGTCACTCAAAGAAATGATGAACACGGTGGGCGCTGGGTCTAGTCTGGCAACCGTTCGCGAACTCATACTAATTTGCAGCTGCGGGCCAGTTGGACGGACCCGGTGCATTCACGGCCGCTATGGCGGTGCTCTCATGAGCACACACATGGGTAGTGCCCGTTCCCATCGCGATCTTTTCGCCGACCACATACAGGATGCTTCCGTCGAACAAGGGAGGCGAGGCCGGTACAATCTCAACCAGATCGGTCTTCCGGTCCATTTGCAACATGTGCCCACGCTGCCTCCGATATACACCGGTAATTTCGTGATTGCTAGGCGGAGTCGTGTGTGGAGGGATCAGAATTTCCGCCTGCGGATTTGAGCAGCCAATTAACCCTACACCGCGCAGCAGATAATGGTATAAAACTGTCCCAGCAGCCGCACACCAGGTTCGTCGTCTTCTTCGCTTCTCTCTCTCGCCTTTGTCCTTCATTCACAGAGAGAATGCCTGCGTTGCCTCTTTCTTTGGTGTCCCTGATGGGCGGGGTCTTGTCTTCTTTCTTATTCCCCGCTGCTGTTTTTTCCAAGCCTACTTCCTTCTCTGTCAGCACCCGTAGCGGCGGCGTGCAGTTCGTGGACGGTCCGCTCACTGCAGACAACATCGGAATACACACTGCTGATAACACAGCGGTATGTCTCCACCAATATTCCGATTGATTTGCCCTCTGATAGATTACAGTATTTCACCGACATCACATTAGGAGGAGTCAGTACGTATAATTTATAGTTCCCCTTTCTATCTCTACGACGCTGATATGTATGCTCATCAGACCTGACGGTGGTCTTCGACACCGGCTCCTCCGACCTCCTTGTGATCCTGCAGGGGCGCGACATCAACTTGACGAACTCCACCGACGTCCAAACGTCCGAAGCCTTCGGTCTCGGGGCGGCCTCGGGCACTATCAAGTTCGCGGACCTACAGCTTGGGGATTCTACCGTGAAGTCTCAAGGTATGTCGTATTCCTGTCGTCTTGCTCATACCGCCCGAGGCGCTGACACAATTCTCTGCTCGCCTCCCAGCCTTCCTTGACGTCACACAGACGCAGGACTTTGGCAATAGCCAAGACGGTATCATCGGCATGAGTTTCAATGCGCCGTCGGCCGTCCTCGACTCGCTCGCCAAGGCCTTCGGACAGGATGCGGCCGCGGCGATTGGCGGCACCCCCATGCCCGCACTCTTCGCTCAACAACCCGACCTACAGAAGAGCTTTGATGTCGTCCTGGGTCGCGCTGACGGGCTTGGAGATCCCGCACAGGGCACGTTCCTCATCGGCGCCCATGACGAAACCTTCAATCAGCAGGTGTCTGCCGCACCGCAGCTCACCAGCGTCAGCGGGGACCATTGGAGCGCGGTCCTGGACTCGATGAACATCAACGGCAAACCGTTCCAGTTCAACGCCTCGCGCATCCAGGGGGTACCCGAGGGCAAAGTTGCGGCCGTGCTCGACACCGGGTTCTCGTTCCCGCCACTGCCGGCGCCTGCCGTGGACGCGATCTACTCTACAATCGAGGGCGCCGTTTTCGACAGGAACCACAGTTTCTGGATCGTGCCGTGCACTGCTAGCGCGAATTTATCCTTCGTTTTCGGGTATGCCCTACACACCTCGTTCCTCTTCACTGATACTAACTTACGCAATTATAGCGGCCAGGAGTTCCTCGTCCATCCCCTCGACATCACCTTCCCCACGGTCGGTCCCTTCACAGGCGACCCGACCACCAATGTGACGGTCTGCATCAACACTTTCCAATACCTCACGCTGGACCCAACGCAGTTCGTCGGCTTTGACATCATCCTCGGCGATGCCTTCCTGCGCAATGCCTACTCCTCGTAGGTCCCTTTCTTCTTGCGCGCTCGCCGCTCGCTAACGTTTGCGGATAGGTTTAACTACGGTGACGGAGTCACGGGCCCCTTCATGCAACTCGTCAGTACAACGACCGACGCGAACGCGGCGCTGCAGGAGTTCCAGACGCAGCGCGCGGCAACGCTCGCGAAGCTGCCGCCTGCAGTCGATCCGGCCTCGGTCGCGAACAAGGAGGGCCAGCAGTCCCCGACACAGACTGCTGCGGGCTCGGGCTCGGCTTTCGGCACGACGACGTCGCAGACCGGGTCGCCGTCACACACAGGGAACGGGGCTGGCGAGCGTAGGGCTGTGGGGGCCGGTGCACTCGGCGCACTGGCCCTGCTTTCTGGCGCACTCTTGCTGTAGTGCTTGCGGTGATCGCGCGGGCCCGCATATGGCATGATCAGGCTGCGGTGCCTTCCCTGTGGATTGTCGATATGGAGGAGGTAAACTCGACCGTAGTACGTGCCTACCAGTGCTGTTCATTCACAATGCCTCGCTATTTAATAGTTTCAATGAGAACAGCCTGTGCGACAAGCAGATCCTACCATGAGCATAGCAAAATGCCTTGCTACGGCCGCTATTTGTCAGTGCAGCGCCACACGATGATAGAGGTATCATCGATGTGAAACGGCCAGTCTGACTTCTCGTCGTTCAAGCGCTCCAAATCGGTAACTGCCTCCAGCCTCTGGATATTCGTACCTCCGAGCAGGTTGCCCAGCACATCTGTCGCCCTATTATTCTCCGGGCCGCTCCAGCGCGGAATGACTTGGTGCCCCAGGATCTCCGCAATCCGCGGCTCGATCGAGTCTGCGAGAAGCGCGGAGACGACGTCGATGGGGTCGGCGCCGCTGTGCTGGCGCGGCTTGAACACCAACCACCCGTCAACGAGATTGTCGACTCCATCGGTGAACAAGAAGATCTTGCTATCGCGTCGCCACACCGGCTGGAGGTCCGTGAAACGGACTGAGGGTGAACAGATGATGTACGGTGGCGTCTTGATCCTCGCGATGATTGCGTCGAAGTACCAGTTCTCCATGCTCGGCAGATATCTGAACAGGTTTGCAAGATACGGGGCGGGGAATTTCATCGAAAAGTTTCCGATGGCTGATGAGCTCATGTCAGTCGGAATCAACCAACACCGAAGCGAAGAGACCGTACCACGGGCGACCGTCTGCCATCCGAGAATGCGATCTTCCCAGTCAAAAAGCGGCTGCTCGCTACCTGGATGCACCATGGTCGCGTGGAAGTACTCCTGCCGGTCCTTGAACGTGTGCATCCTGCACAACCTTTGGCCCTTTGGCCTTCCGTCCCTGCCAATGTAAGAGAGCCCTAGGCAGAGTGAGTCGACACCACAGAAAAGCATGACTGAACCTATACTCACCGACGCTGGAGTCACCGACGCCTGCGGCCCACATGAACCGTTCGTCGGGGTTGATCAGCGCAAACGCCATGGTCGTCCCATAAAAAGCACGCTCCAGAATATCCTTGTGCTTGTCTATGAGGCGGCGCGCTTGCTCTTCCGTCAGATCCTCAGGACAAGGACATATCTCGCGCACCGCGTCCCCGAGGGCCTTGTCGAACGCCTCGATCTCGTCCTTCAACAACTTGGTCATTTGTGCTTGGTGTGTGGTGATGTTGCTACGATCCAGGCGCCCGCCGATGCTCTGGACGAACTCCCACAATCTTCCGTAAATAGCATCAGGGAGTGTCTGCGACGTATACTCTGCGGCCGTGGGGCCCAGGTGACCTGGCAGCAGGACGGTCAGTGTACGATACGACACCGGTCCAGCCGTAACAAAACATCGCACCATCAAAAACAGCGAGGAACATCCAACGCTGGTCGTTGAATTGCCACAACTTCGTGACGACGCGGTCTTCGTTCTTGTCGACGCCACGTGGCTGGAACGAGATGGTGTTGACCTTGAGAAGATTAGAGCGAAACCCAATGTAGCCCTCGCCTATTTTGTAGCGGGCGTTGTAGCTGGGGTGGGACTTGAAGTCAGACATCGCGTAAGAGAATCGAGATGTAAGGGGAATGTAGACCATGAAGCAGCGTGAACGCGTGTGAATATACACGGTGGCAATTTAGTATTTGATGTGAAAACACTGATGCCCAGAACGGGGAAAGTACTGTTGGCGGTAATGTGGCGATCAGAAGAGAGAGAACATATGTAGGCGCCTGTGATCGAGCGCGGTCAGTGTTGTGAACGTTTTATCCACGTACAATCTCTCATGACGGAATTTCGAGAACTTCAACAGCCTTCCACGCCTTCTTTGCACATCTACACCCGGGACGGGTCGTTTGGGACCGTGCCCGCGCAAATCGTCCTTGAGACGCACACTAGTGTTGCAGTACGGGATATGCCCGAAGGCGAGCACGTTGCCATGCGCGGATGCAGCGTCGAGCGATTGGCGCGGCTCGTGATGCGGGCCCGAATGTATGCGGTGCTGCGCGCACAGCGTTCAGTGGCGAGGATCCGGAGCACTCAGAGAACATGGACGACGGGGTGCGGGAAGGGTTTGAACGCATCGCTAGAAAAGCGTGCACACGATCAAAGTGGTGTCGTCGACGTAGAAGGTAGACACATCATCTGGGGAGGTAATCATAGCTCGGTCCCGATTATTGGCCTCCAAGAGGCGCTCCACGTCGGTGCCACCGAACAGATTTGCCAATACCTCCACGGCTTTGTTTCCATCATCTGTCCACTCGGAGGGGTCGACGGGGTGTCCAAGGGTCTGGGCGGCGTCGGCACGGTCGAGATTGTTTCCCAGAATCTGGGAAGTGACACGACCGGGATTCTCGGGCAGTATGGGTAAGCCGGGGACGTATGAGGCGTACCAGTCCACGATGTTGTCTACGCCGTCGGAGAATACTAGAATGATTGGCTTGGCGTCCCATATAGAGTCGAGGTCGGTGAAGTTGACGGAGGGCGTCGCAACAAGGTACGGAGGGGTACGAACGCGGTCGGGGTTGACGTGCGTTCGTTTTTCGGGAAGCAAGTTGAAGACACGATCGATGTACGAGCGGGGGAGCTTCATGGCGTAGTCCCCAATAGCTGGCGCCATCGTGAACATCAGTGGCGAGCGAGAGACTGACAGACAAAAAAGGGGGCTTACATCTAGTCATGTCGAGCCACCCGAGCATGCAATTTCCCTCCGTTATGTTCTTCACTTCCTCGTGAGGGTGTGACATCATGACTCGGAAATATTCCTGAGGTTTGTAGAGTTTATGGTCGTCAGAGAGCTTGACCCAGTTGCGCCTACCGTTCGCCGCCTCCGAGGAGAGCCCTGAGATGCACGTCAGAAGTGACCACTGCGTCGCGACGACTCAATGCGACGCGTCCTTGGCACAGTTGTGCTTACCAGCTGTGGTGTCCCCCACATTCAGCGTCCACATGCAACGGGCGGTAACGTTGATAAGTGCAGCCCCGAGCGTGCATCCTCGATAGGCCCGTTGTACGACGTCATAATGAGCTTTCAGCAATTCGTAGCATTGAGCCTTCGTCAACTTTTCCGGATGAGGGAATATCTCTTTGAGTGCGTTGCCGAGCTCGTCGTCGAACCGCTCGACTTCACGACTGAGAGCCGATGAGATGAGGCCCGCGTTTTCAAGCAGAGTTTCACGCTCAGGCTCTATCTGCCCGTGAAGTTGATTAACCAAGGCATCCTGTAAGGACACATGGAGGCGCGGGGGAAGAGAAGCGGTTGTATAATCCGCCGTGATGTATGATCCAGAGTGACCTATGGAAAACCAGTATTCAGGAACCATGCACATTGAGTACTCTGGCCCGGGGGACGCTTACCGTCACAAACCACCATCAGGATCCACTTCTGGCCTGCGATCTCCCAAGTCTGGAATGTCATGTTGTCTTCGTTTGCGCAGGCGGTGACGGGCTGGAAGCTGGCGCTGGATACTCTCGTCTCGGGCGTAGAACCGTCACTTCTCCCCACGCATAGGCTAGAAAAGTCGGCACGGGCAGCCTCCAGGGATGTCATGGTGTTGAGACAGAGAATAAGCTAGTGTCGTGGTATTTTGTGTGAAAGTTAAGGGAACGTTGAGCGTATGTATGATCAAGCTAGTATTCAGTGGAATGGTGTCGCCACCGAACGTCGCCGCCACTGCTGTATCACCGGGGTCGGCACCAGTTCGTCGCAGATGGTGGACAAGCGCCGGTAGCCGCGCGCCAGCATCGTGATTGATACGGACAAACACAGAGGCGGTCCACCGCGGAAATACGAGGGCAGATACCTGGCTTCTGCTTGCAAAATGGGCGATCTCCTAGAGGACATGTTCGAGGCAGACCGTAACGTTGATTCTCCCGAACTGTAGTAAGCGTCGTGAAACCATGGGCTGGATTACTCGGACGAGGAGTACGGACTTGGGCCCTACGGCTTCGGTGGGTGGTGATGTCAAACCATCATATCCTGATTGTATTTGCTGTGCTATGATAGGACCCCGGCAAGCCCACCAAGAGCTCATATCCGGTCGGAAGCCCATTTGGGCCATTTTCGGGGGTCCAAAATCCGGCGATTTTCGGGGTTTTTCACATAAGTTTCCCCCGGCTTCGCCGGATTCGGGGATTTTTGGCATGTAACATCCGGTTCAGTGTACAGAACGAGATTTTTGGTCAAACCACCGCCTACGTATACCATAGTGTTCACCTAGCTAGCCTGACACGAGTTCCGAAAGGTCTATACTACGCCCTTGGACGCTCCGATGCCGGTATACCACTTTCCAAGCTTGACTTCTTGGTCTCCGCGTGCTTCTTGCGCTTTCTTGTCTCCTTGAATACCCTATCCACGGCTTTGCAGAGGGACGTCGAATGCCTTTCCAGGTGGCGGAACATGTTGATTAGCGTTGGTGACAGCAGCGACAAAAAATTAGTTCGAGTCGCTGAGCAGCGAACATTTGACTGCTTTGAAGGCGAGCATCCTGATGATTAGACTATTTTGATGGGTTATTAGTTGCGACTAACTACAGATTATAATGGATTTCGACTGGCGACACTATTGCTGATTAGAGTAGTTCAGGGAGTTTCGTAGACATGCTTCATAAGGCGCGCATGCAGCTCCAGGAAGACCTCGGCCACCGATCAACCTGGGGTCCCTGCCGGCCCGCTCGACGCTGATTTTCGGGGGTTGGCGGGATGCGACCTGCCTCGCCGAGGGCAAAATTCGGGACAAAGCTAGATGTAGCTCCTGTTGGAACGAGTGGTGGGCGCCTGTGCCCGCACTCGGGGTCTCTGGTGTCCGGGGTCCTCCCTGGGTGCTAGCTCGCTGCTGTACTGTAGACACAGGTTCCCTTGTACCGCTATCTACTCGCTTTACCCACTTGCTGCTTGTCTGCCAGCTTGTTGTCCGATATCTGCTCGATATCTCCATCGACTTAGTGCACCAGTTCCGACAGGTTATGAGCCCTGTCCCGCTGGATTAACCCTAAAGCTCAAAACTGGTGCTGTCTTCCTTTTCTCCCTTTCCACTGCTTGCTTTCCTCTCTCTTCATTCTCAAACTCAGTCCTCCAACTGAGCTCATCCTCTCCTTTCCATTCCCCCACTGCTTGAGGTTATTTCCTTGAGCAGCTACTCCCTTCTGTGCCACCTCCACTTCCCTCTGAGGTGCCACGTCGCTGCGCGCTGAATTAAGCGCCCACACCTTCCTTTTTCGGACGCCGCCTAAGCGCCCAATCATCGTCCACCCTCCTTGCTCTTTCCATCATGCACTCCTCTGCCGACCTCTCCAAGATCAAGGCTGATCTTGCCCACGCCATCACAAGCTTTCCCCCTACGAGCCAGCTCGATGGCAGCAACTGGGGGCTCTACTCGACGGAGGTGGAGATGTCGATGTTCACGGTGGACGAGGTCTGGGACCACATGCTAGGCAAGTCCGTCCGTCCGTCTCCCAACTCCGCCGTCCTGTCCCGTGAAGCGGAGATCAAGGCCTGGGACACAGTTGAGGGCCTCGCGTTCCTCTTCCTCTGGCGCACGATCAAGGACGTTGCCATCAGGGCTGCCCACGTCAAGAAGAGTACCCCGGTTGCGTCCATCTGGGCCAGCCTGAAGGCGGTGTACGAGAAGGACACCCGCTCTCGCCGCTTTGAGCTCAAGCGTGCGCTCTACAACCCTGTCCATGACACCACCAAGCCGGTCAGCGAGTACATCCACGCGATTGTGCAGGCGAGTGAGTCGTTGACCGCCCTTGGACACGCTCCTCCCTCCGTCGATGTCGTGGACTCCATCATCATGCACCTCGACACCTCACACCCCCAGTGGCGACTCGTCCGCAACCTCCTCACCACCCGCACGTCTGACCCCTCCCTCGACGAACTCCGGAGCATCCTCGTCGAGCATGAGAACATGGAGAGGTTGGACGAGAAGGCTGAGGCTGGAGCTGGTGAGTCGTCCGTGCTCTACGCTGGCGGGAAGGGGAAGGGGAAGGGGAAGGACAAGAGGTTGAAGAAGAAGCGTTCCCCTATGCCCGCGCACTCCGAGTCGGACTCCGATCATGGCGGTCAGTCGTCTTCTGGCACAGATGATCAGTCGTTCTCTTGGCTCAATCCCAGAGACCCTGCCCGGGACTGTCACCGCTGCGGTCGACGTGGTCACCTCGCTCGCTTCTGCATGTTTGACATGCCAGCCGAGGTCAGGGACAGGATTGCGCAGGCTCGACGTGCCGGCAAGAAGGCCTTCCACACCTCCCTCAGCTCTGTGGGCGGCGATGGCCTGGATGACGTCGTTGCTGGTGCAGCCATCGACTCAGACTCGGATAGCGACTCTGGCGACTCGTACTCCGCCACCCAGGAGCATCGCGCGCTTCGCAAGCGCATTCAGGCGTAGGGTCAGTGGGAGGTCAGTGGGAGCATGGGTTGTTGTTGGACATTGTGGTTCGGTTTTTTGTTTGTTTTGTTTCTGTGTTTGTGCGCTCCCCTCGTTGCGGTCTTTTGGCGAGTGGGAGTGTTGGAACGAGTGGTGGGCGCCTGTGCCCGCACTCGGGGTCTCTGGTGTCCGGGGTCCTCCCTGGGTGCTAGCTCGCTGCTGTACTGTAGACACAGGTTCCCTTGTACCGCTATCTACTCGCTTTACCCACTTGCTGCTTGTCTGCCAGCTTGTTGTCCGATATCTGCTCGATATCTCCATCGACTTAGTGCACCAGTTCCGACAGCTCCGACCCCGAGGGTCCACATTTTCGGGGGTTTTGACACAAAAATCATGTAACTTTCGGGCCCTCCGGGCCCGTTTTCGGGGTTCCTGGGATATGAGCTCTTGGTGGGCTTGCCGGGGTCCTGCTATGATACTAACATCACCATGTCCTCCGAGCATGCATCTGACGCGCAACAGAGTTTGAAACCATGCAAACTCCTCCTGATAGTGACATATATACTAACACTCGTCGCTGTCGTACTCCTCTTCTTCCGTAGTGACGTCCATCTCCCACTCGTCCCACTGCACATCGACCACGACCTCCCTCAGCCTCTCCACCTTCTCCTCTGTTGCGTACTTGCACGCGTTCAGATGTATCTCGTCGATAGGGGCGCCGTAGTTGCAGCGGAAGATGGCGAAGTCCAGGAGCTCGTCGAATGGCTCGAGGTCGTCCGACGGCATGCTGAAGCGGAACTGAGAGAGATGCAGGGCGCTCAGGACGGGGGCTGTCACGTATACCCTGCCACTCTGCAGGCGGCGCGTCGTCGTGAGAGCGGGCAGCATATCGCCCCAAGGGTGTTCGTCCAAGACCAGCGTGCGGATGCTGGGGAAGCGCGTGAAGACGTTCGTCCACTTGTTCATCGTCAACAGCGCGAACATCCCCGAGATCCTGAGCTTCTGGACGTGCCAAAAGAAGGTTCCCAACCCTTGGAGAATGGGCACCAGATAGTCGCCAGCGGATATCAAACCGAACGTCATCCGGAGGAGCGCGTCGCGGGATGCGCCAAGCTGTGTCCAGCCAGACAGAATGAAAGGGTCGGGTCCGCTCGATGCGAGAACTACTGATAGGAAAGGGGGCCTGTTGGACATATGTGCTGCGACGCACTGTGCGAGCTCCTGGATGCCGAGCTGGTTGCGTACCGTCACGTGGAGCGATGCCGTGGAGGGGGAGGATATATGATTGAGCAGATGCGCAACGTAGGCGGCATCTCCAGCAAGACAAATGCTTTTGATCGACGAGAGCGGGATAGTCCGTGATGGGAGGGGAAGCTGTACTGGGCTGGAGGCGGTGAACCCCAGTTTGGGGATAGCATCCTCGATTGTCAAAGCCTCCAAACGAGGCGCAGCTGATTCGAGAGCGGAAAACAGTGCGTCGAAAGTACCAACGTCAGGAAGTGAAACACCGCGAGTGTTTCTGACGTTGACACCAGTGACCACCAGGGTGGTGAGGGTCTTGGAGGAAAAGAGGAGGTCGTCCCATCGGAAAGGAAACCTTAGCAATTCGAGATGACGGAGCTGCGGCGGAGGGGCCGAGGAGGCAAGGATTGGGACAACGGCAGGTAGATGCGATTGGTAGTCAGACATGTCGAAATATGGATCAACTGGGGTAGCCAGATCCAACTTCTCGAGAGCGTCGAAGGGGGAGACAGTCTTGGTGCAAAAGGACTGGATGGCCTTGGAGGGGCCGTCGATGTGGAGCTCCTTTATACGATGCGAGTGAGGCAAAAGCATTTCTAAAGCCGTCATACGATCCCCGCGTTTTGAACCCCCGTCGACATGAGCCTTGATATGGAGAGGGGCGCTCTTGGAGCGCGTAAGGAGCTCCGCGAAGACGTCGCTCTTCACCAATCGGAGATGGCTCCAGAACCGGGGTGTACTGAGTGCGACTGCACGGAAGTGACGACAGACATGGGCCAGCTTGATCCAAGCTAGGCGGCTGTAGTAGTGGTCGGAGGGCCAGCGATCATCTTCGTCTATCACCCCACGAACTAGTATCTCAGACAGCAACTCGGGCGGGAGGCGTCCTATCGGAGTAAGCGTATTGAGACGCGTTTTGAGGTCAATGATTGCGCGTGCATATATGTCGATGTCGCTCTGGATATCCAGTCGAGCCTGAAGCACGGGGCTGATGTACGGAGTACCCCTACAAGAAAGTTATTATGAGGACTTGGCACGAGTAAAGCATTGACATGTCACTAGTAGAGATGTACGCTTACTGTTCAACCGTGGCCATCTTTAGCTCGAGTTTTGTTCCCGAACGATGTTGTTTGGCTCGCTCCGAGTCAGAATGTCAGTGGGTCAGAGCGACTCAGTGAACCTGGAGAACTTGATTGACATTGGGAGGGAAATGAAGAGCCCAGTGAGTGCGTGCTCACCTTAAGCTGCAATGCCGTTGGAGAAGGATGTAGTACCTGAAGAAGGCTTGCGAGTGCACGAAGTACTGTCGAGTCTCGACGTTGTCGTGCACAACGTTCGACCGCCGGCGCGTCACGGTACCGCGCCACATATTGTGACCGCGTTACTGAAAACACCATCACCTAGCGTCACGCACTGGCACTGAGGCGAGGCGACCACCTTTGCGGCGGGTTCGTTTACTCAGTACGAGTCGATGAAGTGCATGTGAGGACACTTGTAGTCGACGGACCTCTTCGTGTCCTTCTAGACTGGCGACCAGCGGCACTGCGTCAATTCTCCTCATCAAACTGATCCCAGCACGTACACACTGATCATGGGCGGCAAGTTCACGTGTGCAACTTGAGAACACCTTGAACTTGCGTATCGTGAAGATATGAAAGCACGATTCGAAGGCAGCTCCTATAAATCAGTGACCTGCCACACGATAATGGAGGTATCATCCATGTGAAACGGATGGCAGCCGGGTGTATCGTCCGTCAGGAGCTTCAGGTCAGTAACCCTCTCCAGCCTCTCGACGTCCGTGCCCCCAAGCAAGTTCCCCAGCACGTCCACCGCCCTATTCTCCTCCTCCCCGCTCCATCGCGAAACGACCGGGTTCCCAAGTATATCCGCAACACGCGGCTCGATCTCCCCATCTGCGAGGAGTGCGGCGACGACGTCAATCGGGTCCGCGCCGCTATGCTCTCGCGGCTTGAACAGCTGCCAGCCGTCGATGATGTTGTCGACGCCGTCGCTGAAGAGGAAGACCTTAAGCCCGCGCGACCAGTAGGGTTCTAGGTCTGTGAAGCGCGCGAAGGGCCAGCCGATGATGTATGGGGGCGTCTTGATCTTGGGGATGTACTTGTGGAAGGGGGCGTCCTCGAGGCCCGGTAGGTATCGGAAGAGGTTTGCGAGGTATGCGACGCGGAACTTGAGCGAGTAGTCCCCGATGGCTGGTGGGAGCGCGTCAGCACGAGTCGGTGAGTACTGAGCTGAAGAGAGATTACCACGAGCGACCGACATCCATCCCAAAATACGGTCTGCCTTGTCAAAGAGGGGCTGCTCGGAGGCAGGGTGGAGCATGGTCGCGCGGAAATATTCCTGCTGATTCTGGAACGTGTGCATCGTGCACAGTCTCTTTCCTTTTCGCTTTCCGTCGCTTCCTATGTAGGACATACCTACGCAGCGTATTCAGTAGAAGCCACACGTTCCCGGCCTGGATATACTCACCAACACTGGAATCGCCCACGCCCGCAGCCCACATAAAATGTTCATCAACATTGATGAGCGCAAAGACCAGGGTCGTCCCGGAGAACGCCCGCCAGAGAATCTCGTGGTGCTCCTCTATGAGGGCCCGCGCCTGCTCCTCTGTAAGCTTCTCGGGGTGAGGGCAGATCTCGCGCACCGCGGTCCCGATGCGCTTCTCGAGCATCTCGATCTCGTCCTTGATCAACGCGGTCACCTAGGCTTCGTGCGCGGCAATATTGCCACGGTCCAGGTGCCCGCCGATGCTCTGGACGAAGTCCTTTAGCCTTGTTTGGATAGCCTCGGGGAGAGTCTGCGCGCAGTAGTCCACCGTGGTGGTGCCCAAATGACCTGATGGCGGGACGGTCAGCATACGCGAGCAGTGGCGATGGCTAACCCAACGATCATAAAACCCATACCGTCGAAGACAGCAAGAGCAAACCAGCGCTGGCCATGAATATCCCAGGTTTCGGTTACTAGGCGGTCCTCGTTCGCATCGATTCTACCTTTTGGCTGGAAAGTGACTGTATCGACGCCGAGAATGGGGGACTTGCGCGCGATGCAGCCTTCACTGATTCTACGTCGTGCCTCGATATATCTACGGTCAGACATGTGGGCAAGAGATCGCAAAAGGCAAAAGGGAGTGCAGGTAGTGTCTTTGTACTGAACACAGTGATAGCACTCACTGGTCACAACACACCTCATGCCGCCGCCCAAAACGCGGAGTTAAGGTCAGTGCAGGGTAATGGGACATCAGAATCTCGGGCAGAACATGCGAAAAAGAACACACCATGCGTCTGATAGAAGGGCACGACGAAATTTCCCATGGCGGGGTGCACGTGCGAGTAGTCAAGCAGTCACTCACAACACAGACCAATACTTGCGGTGATGGCTCCAGATGTGCGACACTCATACTGAAGAATGAGCGTAGCACAGTACAATGCAGTACTTGCTACTGGTCTGTGAGCGGCCACACAATAATAGACGTATCATCGATGTGGAACGGCCAGCCAGGCTTGTTCAGACGCTCCAGGTCGGTGACCGCCTCCAGCCGCTCGACGTCCGTGCCTCCAAGCAAGTTGCCCAGAACGTCAACGGCCAAGTTATTCTCCTCCCCACTCCACCTTGGAATGACCGGGTGGCCAAGAATTCCCTCAATTCGGGGCTCGATGTGGTCCGCGAGCAGCGCCGATACGACGTCCACTGGGTCTCCGCCGCTGTGCTCGCGCGGTTTGAATACGAGCCAGCCGTCGACGAGGTTGTCGACTCCATCGCTGAACAGGAAGATCTTGCTCTGGCGCGGCCAGAAATGCGCGAGGTCTGTGAAGCAGACGGACGGCCCGTTGACGATATACGGTGGCGTCTTGATCCGCGGGATGATGTCGTCGAAGGGCGCGTCCTCGAAACCCGGTAGGTACCGGAACAGGTTTGCGAGATACGGAGCGGGGAATTTCATTGAGTAGTTTCCGATAGCTATTCAGCCACATTAGTCGGACTTTACTGTGACAGAGTCGGGGAGAGCATACCGCGAGCGATGGTCTGCCATCCGAGAAGCCGGTCTTCCCAGTCGAAGAGCGGTTGCTCTGAAGAAGGGTGGGCCATGTTCGCCATGAAGTATTGCTTCGGATTTTTGAACGTATGCATCGTGCACAACCTCCGTGCCTTTGGAAGTCCATCTCTACCCATGTAAGAGAGCCCTGCGTAAAAAGTCCAAGTGAGCGCACGGCACCGACCAAAATCTCGCCGCACAAGCTTACCGACGGTAGAGTCGCTGACGCCTGCGGCCCACATGAAGCGCTGATCAACGTTGATCAGTGTGAACGCCATAGTCGTGCCATGAAAGGCCCGCTCGAGGATCTCGCGGTGCTCCGCTATGAGGCAGCGCGCCTGCTCTTCGGTTAGCTCCTCGGGGCGGGGGCAAAGCTCGCGCACCGCGTCCCCAAGGTCGTTGTCGAACTTCATAATCGCTTTCTGGATTATTTTGGTTACTTGGGCCTGGTGTGCAGTAATATTGCTACGATCGAGGGGTCCGACTATGTTTGCAATGAATTCCTGTAACCCCGTGCGGATGGCCGCAGGGAACGCCTGTGAGGTGTACTGGACGGCAGCGCTGCCTATATGGCCTAAATTCAACGGTCAGCATACGCAGTTAGGCAAACACAACGGCTGCAAATTATAGGGTACATACCGTCGAAAACAGCGAGCAGAAGCCAGCGCTGGCCATGGAGATTCCAAATGTCAGTAACTATGCGATCTTCGTTCGCGTCGACTTCTCCCTTTGGTTGGAAAGTAACTGTATGAACTCCGAGACTGGCGGATTGGTATGCGATGTAGCCTTCTCTGATTAGACGGCGTGCCTCGATGTCCCTAGGGCTGGACATCACGGTACAAGATGGAGGAGCGAAGGAAACGAGGCCGAACCGTAGCGACAACCACTACGCGTCGTGTCACATTGTGACGAGTCGTGACAAGACGCGTCGATGCTCGCGCTTTCTGTCTTTTGTGTCGTGTCACCCCCGTACGGTGCGGTACTTCGTCAGTCTCCCTCACGATGGACGATCCCCGTGTTCGCGGCAGGCCAGAGCGTTATTTCTACTGCGCTGTGATAATTAGTTTCGGCAACCTCTTCGTTGTAAGATAAGTATATCGGGGAGGGGGAGCGTATCTGAAGCAGCTTTGCTTTTCTTAGATGGACACATACTCGGGGAAGATAGTGTTGGTATTAAAATAAATCGAGGTACGTATAGGATCCGAAGTCCCACTATTACCACCCACCATAGCCGCGACGGTGCCGATGTCCGTAGTCCGAGTCCGAGTAGTCGAGCCCCTCGTCGCTGTCGTACTCCTCTTCCGTCGTAGACTCGACCTCCCACCCGTCCCAATCAACACCAACCACCACCTCCCTCAACCGCTCCACCTGCTCCTCCGTCGCGTACTTGCACTCGCTCAAGCGTACCTCGTCAATCGGGATGGCGCAGTTGCAGCGGAAGATGGCCAGATCCAGGAGGTCGTCGAACGGGACGAGCCCGTCCGACGGCAAGCTAAAGCGGAATTCGGTGAAACGCAACGCACGCAGCGAGGGCATCGCCACAAACAGTCTACCATCCTGCAGGCGGCGCATCGCTGTGAGTGCAGGCAGTATGTCGTCCCAAGGGTGGCCCTCCACGGCGAGCGTGCGCACACTCGGGAAGCGCGGGAAGATGTTCGTCCACTTGACGAGAGAGCTGAATATCCCTGCAATCTTGAGCTCCTGGACGCGCAAGAACAGGGGCCCTGAGCCTTGGATGATTTGCGGTAGAAGGTCGTGAGAGCCTGCGGAACCGAAGGCCACTTGGAGGAGCGCGTCGCCTGACGTGTCGAGATGTGTCCAGCCGGAGACAATGAGTGGCTGGAGCCCTCTGGAAGTGATGTGTAGTGACAGGAAGGGGAGCCTTTCGGACATGTGCGTTGCAACACTTTGCACGAGCTCCTTAGCCCCGACGTCGTCGCGTATTCTCACGTGCAGGGACGCCGTGGGGGGCGAGGAGATGTGATTGAGCAAATGGGCAACGTAGAGGGCATTCCCAGCAAGACGAATGGATTTGAGCGATGTGAGTGCGACGGTCCGCAGTGGGATGGGGGAGCTGTACGGGGGTGGTCACGACGAGCCCCTGTCGGGGGATAGCATCCTCGATTTCTAGAAGCTCCAAACGAGGGGCGACTGCTGCGAGAGCGGAGAAGAGCGCGTCGAAAGAGCCGACGTCAGGAGGTGCAGTGTCGCGGTTGTTGGTGCTGTTGTTTCCAGTGACCACCAAAGTTGTGAGGGCCGGGGAGGAGAAGATGAGGTCGTCCCAGCGGAAGGGGAATCTTTGCAACTTGAGATGGCGGAGTCGCGGCGGTGCAGCAGAGGAGGCGAGGATCGGAACAAAAGAAGGTACTCGTATCGCATAGTCAGACATGTAGTCGTAGGAATCGGATGGAGCAGTCAATTCCAACTTCTCGAGAGTATCGAAGGGGGAGACAGTCTTCAGACAGAAGAGCCGAACGTGCTTGGAGGAGCCCTCGATGTAAAGCTCCTTGATGCGATGGGAGTGAGGAAGGAGCATCTCCAGAGCCAAGATACGATCCGGACGGTTGGTACCCGAATCAACGCGAGCCTTGATGTGAAGTGGCGCGGCCTTGGAACGCGCGAGGAGCTCGGCGAAGACTTGACTTTTTGCTAACGGGAGATAGCTCCAGAATCGAGGCGTGTTCAATGCGACGGCGCGAAAGTGACGGCAGACGTGGGAAAGCCGGATCCAAGGTATGTGACTGTAGTAGTATTCGGCGATGTGGCGAGAGTCGTCATTTATAACCCCGTGAATCAGGATCTCCGATAGCAGTTCGGGCGGGAGGCGGCCTATATGAGTGAGCGTATTGAGGCGCGACTTGAGGTCGATAATTGCGCGTGCGTATATGTCGATGTCGCTCTGGATATCCAATCGAGTCTGAAGCATGGGGAGTATGTCCGGACTCGTAGCTCTATGCATACGTTAGTACAGTTGCCACATTACGTGAAGAACTTGAGTGCGGCCGATAATTATGTGCACTCACTGTTCTGCCATGGACATTGTGTGCGGTAGGTTGTTTTTCGGAGACAACCGACTCAAATATTGATTCGGTGTATCTGCTGAGCTGAGCCAAGTTCCAACTTGTGACCCTGTACTGAGTTCGCTGTAGACGGGCAGCAAGTCGGACGACAAACTCACCTTCGCAGTACTGAAGAAGAACTTTCGCACTCTTGTGGAGGCGTGGAGAATGAGCGTGTAAAGTGGCAGTACGTCGTTCGTGGAGGACGTGCAAGTACTGGACGGCCATAAGCGTGCGGCGCCACCTCTAAAAGACATCGTGACTAACGTTACTACGCGTCGCGTCACATCGTTACCTGACGCGTCAATGATCGAAGACGCGCGTGGCTCTCCTTCGTCTCCGCGTGCGCTACTCGTAGTCTCTCTACACCCACTCCGGCAACACTACCTAGGATGTCTCTCTGGGTGGACAAGGTCTGGCACTCCGCTCACTATCTTCGCGAGCAACGTGTCTGACCCTCTGAATAGTGGCGACCTCGTTCGCTCGACGACCTCCACTACCACCATGGCCTCTCCGACCGTCTCAAAGCTCTCGTCAGCCTTCTCGCCATCCATTCTGTGACAGTAAGACTGAAATATTGAACCTATCAACCCCAGGCTGCATCGGGAGACTTTCCCCACATGCTCTTCTACGGTCCATCAGGCGCGGGAAAGAAGACACGCATAGCGGGTACCCTCCTTGAGCTCTTCGGCAAGGGCGCAGAGAAGGTAAGTGACACGCCTACGCGGGTCTCAGAGGAGAGCAGATGTATTCAGGATGCTGCCATGGTAGATCAAAATCGACCAGCGTGTGTTCACGACCCCCACCAAGCGCAAGCTTGACGTGAACATCGTGCAGAGCAATTATCACATTGAATTCACCCCGAGGTATGCCCCGCTGCCCCTCGAGCATTTTGGACTACACATAACATGTCCTTCTACAGCGAAGTAGGCAACTATGACAGGTTGATCATCCAGGATATCCTGAAGGAGATCGCACAAACGCAACAAGTCGATCTCAATGCAAAGCAGAAGTTCAAAGGTACGCTCTCCGTCACACCCTCCCCGCCTCCTGCACACGGCTCATGCAGTGTCCCCCTCCCTATGTAGTCGTGGTCATCCACGAAGCCGACGCGCTCACCCGCGACGCCCAAGCAGCGCTCCGCCGCACGATGGAGAAGTACATGTCCAACATGCGCCTCATCCTCTGCGCCAACAGCACAAGCAAGCTCATCGCGCCCATCCGCTCCCGTTGCCTTCTCATGCGCGTCGCTGCGCCCAGCACGGAGGAGGTGCGTTCCTACCCCGACCCTCCTCTCTTAGTTTGGACACGGTGTTGACGGCGCGTACGGAGAGTAGATGCAGACGGTGCTCGACTTCGTCGCGAAGCACGAGGGCTTCGCGATCCCCGAGGACACCGTGTCGCTCATCGCCGCGGACGCGGGCGGGAACCTCCGCAAGGCCATCCTCGTCCTCGAGGCCCTCAAGATGCAAAAGTACGTCCCCCCCCTCCCTCTTTCTACCCCCTTTCTCTGCCGCTCCCCACACTACGATGGATACTGATGTGCGTGGGCAGCCCGGACCTGTCCGTGAGCGCGCTGAGCATCGCGAAGCCGGACTGGGAGACGTACTGCCACAAGGTCGCGGACATGATCGTGCAGGAGCAGTCGCCTGCGCGGGTCATGGAGGTGCGCGCGAAGCTGTACGAGCTCCTTAGCCACTGTATACCGCCAACTATCGTCCTCAAGGTGCGTACGCGCCTTCGCGTGCTCATGGGTGTGTACTGGAGCTAATGTGTGAGTAGACGATTGCGGACCGGGTGGTTGAGCAGGTGGACGAGGCGCTGAAGGCGGACATCATGCACTGGGCTGCGATATACGTGCGTCCCACTCTAGTCTATCTCCGTTCACCGAGCTCAGACGAGTTCCTCATCTGCAGGAGGCACGGATGCGCATTGGCAACAAGAAGATCTTCCACCTCGAGGCGTGGGTCGTCAAGGTCATGAGCCTGTACAAGGTCTGTCCCGCTTCTCACGCGACACGTCGTGCATCCGTTGCTGACGCTACTGGCGACAGCACTTCTTCTATGACATCGATATGGATGGCTTCGACGAGTGAGCACTACGGAAGTTTACGCTTGTGTGTGCGCGTGTCTGTCGTCTTCCATCTCCCTATCCGCACGTCGCTGCTGCAGAAGCGTGGCTGTGAGACTTGTATATTTGTATTCTTATACCAGGGTATACGCTGTATTGTAGTAGAGTTCTTCAGCATGTGTGCGTAGGCACCATCTGGCGTGGTATCGTATCACCGCAGCTGTCCGCGTCCCGCCTCAGCACCGTCTCCTCCCTCGCCCCTCAGTGCCCACTCATACATCGTACACATGCACCGACGAGGGGCTATCCCTCGTCCTCGCTGCCGTCGTCGCCCCCGCCCAGATCGAGGTCCATGCCTCCGTTCCACTCGCGCTCCCACAGCGGCGCGCCTTGTGCGTCGACATGTCGCGGATCGATGTGTGCAGCGGGGTGTCCGAGCGGGAGGATCCCGCGCGCCATCTGCAGCCGCTGCGAGAGCATATCTCGGTCTGCCAGGAGATCCGAGATGTAGTCAATCGCTACGAACGAACCCCAAGTCAGTACAGAGCTCAAAACCCGAGTCGAAAGTGGACGGTACATACTCTTTTGCAGCACGACGTTCTCGCTACGCGGCCCCGCCCTTCCATCCGCCCGCTCGCTCTCGCTCTTCCGCTTCTTCTTCCCGCGCTCCGCCCCGCTCGCAGCGCGCCCCTTGCCCTTCGCGTCCTCGTCCGCCTCCGCGCGCTCGCGCTCCTCCTCCGCGCGGATCGCCTCGCGCAGCGCGGGCACCGTCTCGCACAGCGCCTCGTACCCGCGCCGGATGTTCGCGCGCCGCTTCTGCTCGCTCTGGATGTGGTTCGCGCGTTTCTGCGAGGGCGAGAGCAGCGCGCCCTTGCTATTGTTCGCGCCGCCGCTCCCTTTGTCCTTTTCCGCGTCCTTTTCCCTGTTCGCGTCCTTGGTGTCCTTGCTGCGTGACGCTGCGTCCTTATCGCCGTGTGAGGGTTTGCGCTCGTTGGCGGGCGTGCCCCGGCGCGGGGCTGCGGAGGACGAGTTGTGTCGTGCGCGGGAACCGGAGGAAGATCCGGCCGCGGCTGAGTCAGCTCCGTTCGCCGAGGGAAACGAAGTGGACGACGGAGATGGTCGTGGCCGTTTGGACGAGCTCGGGTCTGTCGCTGGCTCGGCCGAGGAGGGTAAGGGTCGTTTTGTCGACGGACTCAACACAGAGGGCGCAGAGGCTGCAGAGGAGACAGACGGTCGCTGACCATCATGCGAAGTCAAGCCATTCGAGTAGCCCGACGTGGATATAGGAGGGAGCGTGTATCCAGACGATGATGACGAGGAAGGGTCGAATCCGCGGAGAGGGGCAATCTGCGGGTGCTGCTGCGCCTGCTGCCCGAGGTGCGAGGTGAACACGGACGAATTCCCTCGCTCGCCCTGCGAGCCAGATCGCAGCGGATCCGCGGACGTGGCGCCTCCGGAGAGGGCCCGGTTTAAGTAGTGTGCCGGGGAGGACGGGCGCACGTCCTGAGGGAATGTATGGGCCTGTTGGCCCGACAGCGCCGCAGACGGCTGCTCGCCTTGGGGGAAGCTCGGCCAATAGCTCGGGCCCCCGGGAGGATGGTGGTTCGGGTGGGTCGGCTGGCCGTCGCGTGCGGAGGCGAGGGGGACGTCTAGCGACATGAGGTCCTTGGTGGCCTTGGCGAGGGCCTCGGATCCCTGGAGGTGGGGGATCTGGTCAGCGAGGCCGGGGTCGACGGAGCCATCGTGGTTGACGGACGAGTCGAGGTCGACGGAGGAGAGGAAGGAGGAGAGGTAGACGGACTCTGAGGCGGAGAAGAGAGCCATCGTGCTCGCAGTCGAAGTGCCCATACCCCGCAATGGCAGACGACAAGGCTTGTGATTCTGCCCCCGCAATTCCCCACATCAGCCACCCGGCGCCTGCCGCGCACTCACACGCGCACACAACTGCGTAGAGTCCAGACCGTCTGTACTGCGGTAGCTTGCCCTTCCTATAAGTACTATGTACTCCTGCAGCGAGTCGCGCACCGCTGGCTGCGATCTCTCACTGCTACCATCATACTACCTCAGAAGTTAGCGCAGAGGTAAGCTCCCCTTTGTCCGACCCATTACCTGTCTTCAAGTTCCACAAACTCCGTACCCAATCAAACGCGGTCACTCTGGCATGCAGTGCCCGCCCAGGTACTCCGAGATAATCGTCCTTGCAACAAACGCAACACGATGATGGCAGCAGAGCAGCAGTGAGCGTACAATCCCACTGGCGATGGGACATACCCACGTTGACAGATGTTCGGATGGGCTATTCCCAGCACCAGCCCCATGCTGCAGGCTCGACTGGATATCGAGAGCGACATCGACGTTCACATACGCGCGATTAGCGACCTCAGAACGCGGCTTAACACTCTCACTCCGATAGGCAGCCTCCCGCCCGAACTGTTATCTGAAATACTAGTTCGTAGGGCGATAGACGACTACCAGAGCGTCCCGAATATCTACAATACCCACCTATCTTGGATCAGGCTGTCGCATATCTCCCGCCACTTTCGCGCCGTCACGCTGAGTACCCCCCAGTTCTGGAGCTACCTCCGATTGATGAAGGGTCGAGTGTTTGCCGAGCTCCTCGCACGTTCAATGAGCGCGCCATTGCATATCACTGCTTCTACTCTTGCAATGTCAGGATACCCGGACCGTGACCAAGCCTTAGTCCTGGAGACGCTCCTGCCTCACTCAGGTCGTATCAAGGAGCTTTACATTGATGGTCCCTCCAAGCTGCTTCAGTCTTTCTGCACCAAGACCATCTCCCCCTTCGACACTCTTGAAAAGTTGGAATTGACCTCCCTACTACCTACCGCCGACCACTATCACCCGTCTGAATCCGAGTCGCGTTTACCTGACGTTGTTCCGATCCTCGCCTCCTCCACTTCACCGCCGCGGCTCCGCCATCTAGAGTTGCGATGGTTCCCCTTCTGCTGGAACGACCCCATCTTCTCTTCCCCAACTCTCACCGTCCTAGTGGTAGCTGGATACGACAGGTGGAAGCACCTTCGCCCTTGGCTCCCCAATTTCGGCTCTTTCGACGCACTGTTTTCCGCACTGGCTTCAATCGCTCCAGTGCAATGTCGACATTCGGTCGGTCACTTATGCTCGTCTTGCTTGAAAAGTGTTGAAACTGACAGTATTTTGTCCTAGCCGCCGCGTGTTGAATGCACTTATTGCCGTCCATAAAGCGGGGGTTGCCCATGGCGATGTCACCCAGGACAATATCGTTCTCAAAGACGACGGCACACCCATGTTGATCGACTTCGACTGTGGCGAGGTGCATGAGTGCACCTTTATCGAAAACAGCATCAAGTTCCACGCCCCAATGCCTGAGGCTGGGGATATAGGATGCTATGAGATATGGCAGGCTGCCCAGGAGGCTGATGTCTGGCCCTCCTGTGCGTTACATTTCCTTCCACGTCTGTTGCAATTGAATTCGGCTCACTGTGTGTATGTTCCCAGCCCACTTTCCATACTATTCAGGTTTGGCAAACGAAGGCAGAATACCCGTCGGCGATATACTTTTGGGTCGGCAGCATATAATTGCTTTCCAGTTGGACCGAGGAGTCGGTGTCGAGCATGTGGAAGAAAATGCGGACAGGGTACTTAGCCATCTGCGTGAGTGGATCGATTTCCGCACCCTCCACGATGGCGAGGTACCGCTGCACCAGATGCCCTGAAGACCTTCCCGGAACTCGCGAGCATGCCATCTTCTCCTGCTTCATTATTCATGTATACTACAACCCTGTCACGATATGACTGCCCTTGGCGACGATTCGGCCCTAAGCTGGCACGTATCAGAGCGTCGCCGGACCGCATGTTGCGTTCTACGCCGCATCCCCGAACTTGCGCACGTCTTCGTGAAGCTCGCGAGCGCGCACGAGCCGAACCGCGTGTCCGCGTGCGTGTGCACACAACTCATGATCAGTACTCATGAGCGGCAACGACGCCGCTCGTTGAGCACGAACCGTACTTGCGGCGTCCACGCCAATCTCTCCTCATTCACGCCTACGCCATGCTTTCAAGTGTTAACGCTGAGTACACTCCAGGGAGCCCCATCTTAGAGCTCCCTTCAGTAATTCTCCAGCGCTGCGTCGCCATACCTGGCAACGACGACTTGGACATAGCCGTCAGTGAAGAGGTCTCACCGCTCGACGTCAACTTCCAGCAACTCAGCCTCAAGACCCCCGGCCTCACTCGTCTGCCCTGCTGTGTCGCCGGCAGCAAAGCCTCGACAGCCAAATACACGATCGCAAATTTCACACAGTGGTACCAAAACGAGACAACCACTTCCGTCTTCCTGGCCGAACTCGAAGCTAGCCTTGTCGACGGTGGCACCGGAAGGACGACTCGGGAGGTCGTCTGCAAGGTTGTGGGGGCTGTCCCCGTAAATTTGAAAGCGCTCCGGCTCGAGGCCAGTCTGTATCGAGACAAGCTTGAGAAGCTTCAAGGTATCCACGTTGCTGAGTTCCTCGGTCTGTTCGAGGGTTCGGCTGCAGGCGACAAACCCTACGCAATTTTGGTCACCGTCTTCGAGGGCGACACGCTAAACCGAGAGTTGGTTGAGTACGATGTCGACTTCCGGTCAGTCATGCGTCCTCGTACCCCCCTGGAAAATGCTCTCACCTGACGACATTTCGTCTTAGCCGTCGTGTCCTGGATGCGCTTATTGCTATCCATAAAGCGGGAACGACACATGGCGACGTCGTCCAACACAACATCGTCCGCAAAGACAATGGCACACCCATGTTTATCGACTTCGACTGCGGAGAGACGCCACATGAGTGTGGCTACCGCGAGGGCAGCATCAAGTTCCACGCGCCGATGCCCATGGCTGGAGATGTAGGATGCGTCGAGTTATGGATGGTGGCCCATGAGGCTGATGTCTGGACCTCCTGTGAGTCGCATTCCCTGTTAAATTTATGTCAGAAGAATTTAGATCATTCCACTTGTTCAGCGCATTACAGCTACTATTCTGGTCAGGAGGAACCGGGTAAGATACCAGTCGAGGAGGTACTGTTGGGCCGGGAGAACATCATCAAGTACCAGCTGGCTCGCGGTGTTAACCCCACGTTTGTGGAGGATAACGCCGATGCAGTGATCAGCGCTTTAGGCGACTGGATTCAACGTCGCACCCTCTTCGATGGAGAGGTGCCGTTGCACCAGGTGCCTTGAATATGCTAGCACATTGGTTGCTCTGGATTCATTATGTATGTACCCTCTGCTCTGTAACTATATGCTCGCCCGTCGCCTCGGCTTCAGCCCAGCATGTATCAGAGCGTCGCCGGACCGCACGTCGCGTTCCACGCCGCATCCCCGAACTTGCGCGCCGCGCTCGCCGCGTACGACTTCGTGAAGCCCGCGAGCGCGCACGAGCCAAACCGCGCGTCCGCGCGCGTGTGCGCACAGCTCATGAGCGGCAGCGGCGCGTCGTTGAGCACGAGCCGTACTTGCGGCACGCCCGCTGCGAAGGACGACTTGCAGCTGAACTTCTCCCAGCGCATCTGCGCGGCGAAGGGCACCTGCTCGGACGTGCGCCACTTGCGGGACGCGCGGACCGGGCCTTTTGCGGAGAGCGCGTTGGTGTCCCTATGAAACGCATCTACTTGAGCATATTGCGGAGTACAGACCGGATACGATACTTACTTCGCAAGGCCGAGGGCGGTAAGGGCGAGGTCGATCGTGGTGTCGTGCCCGAACTCGAGGTACACCTGCTGAGCGTCCCCGGTCGAGTTCGTGAACCTGGCAACTTCTCGTAAGCGACGCGCCAACGACTTCATTTCTAGAAGATGACTCACCGCTCGACGAGCTTGCCAACGAACAGCGACCCGAGCACCTCGCCCATAGAGCCTGGGAGGTTGTACCCAAACGCGCCGTCCATGAGCAGGTCGAGTTCGTACCTGCCACAAGTCAGCTTCTGCCCTACACCGCAAGGCGGCGTGGGCGTACTCACTCAAAGTCCTCGATCTCACTATCTGTGAACGCGCCGCACCAGGGCGACGTGCCGAGTGCGGCGAGGTCGTACGCGCACGCGTACAACGCACCGTGAACGTTGTCCGTGGACAAGTTCACCCCAGGCAGAAGCTTGTTCAACCTCTTCGCGATCGGCGGCAGGTACACGCTGCCCCACTCGATCGTCGCCTGCGCCTCTCGTCAGCACCAGGCCAGCAAGCATGCTCAACGAAAAGCGGGACCGACGTTGTTGCCGAACGCGTATTGCCACTTCGCGCAGGTGTCCATGGGCGTGATCCAGGACACAGTTTTGGTGTCCTCTGCAAGCGTCGAGAACTCGGTCGCGTTCAGCGTGGCCCAGTTACGGCCGAAGTAGCCCTGCGCGAACCATTGCGCGGACTCGACAACACGGTCCTGCAGGCCCGCGAGGATCCCGTCCACCTTCAGCGCTGGGTACCGCAGACGGAAGCTGCCCAGCATCGAATTAGCGCACCATCCACAGGCCAACTCGCAGAGGGCAAGGTACTCACTCGACACCGTGCTCGAACAGCTGCATACGACCAGGGGCAGTGAGGTCATCGTGCCCAAGCGTGCTCGTATACCCATCCTTGAGGAACGCAAGGCCCGCGGGGAGGCGCGCCTTCGCAATCGCCGCGGACGAGTTCGCGAGCTTGCCCACCAGGTCCGTGATGAACACCAGCTCCGACGCGAGCGGGAAGCGCGAGCCGTGCCTGTGCATCTGCCCTCCGGCGCGTCAGCTCTCCGTCTCCGCCTCTGCCTTCCGCGCTCCGAAATGAAGCACAGGGCCAGGAACAAGGGGGAGTGGAAGTTCGAACGCACCAGCATGACCTGCTCGACCTCACAGTCGTCCGGAAGCTCCGCCTCGACCCCGTGCGGCACCGCGGCCTTCTTGTACGGGGACAGGTTCCCGAGGTGCGCCGCGACGTCGAACTCCGTGACTGCCGTCCATTGTTCAGGCGCGGCGCGGGCGAGGGTCGTCGCGAGCATGAGCGAGAGCGCGAGCGCGAGCTTCATCGTGTCTGAGCGTACGCGTGAAGAGGTCGGGAGAGACAAGCCGCGGGCAGCCCACGCCCTACGCGCATCTTATAGCAGCACGACGCCCATCAGCCCACGCGCGCCGCCCCATGGCCAGCGCGCCTCCAAATGCCTAACCCCCGCGTCCCACGTTTGACAGGCTGCCCAGCGGCACGTCGGCGCAGATAACGCCGCAGGGCCGGCGGGAGGCTGAGACAGAGACTGAGCTATTATCGAGGCGCATGCACGCGGGTGGAGGGTGGTATGGTCTGGTACGGTATAGAGGGTCGGAGTCGTGACGCAGCGCACTGACGCTGGGTGTCGTCGGGGGCTGATGGGACGCGCCAGGCACGGCCGCGCACCATGTGGGCCGGGGCAGATAGCCACAGCATCGTGTCTTGGTCTGTATGTTATCGTCCGGCACGTTCGAGAGGCTCGAGCCCCGCGCGGGGGTCAAGGAGGGCGCGCTGCTTGCAAAAACGTTGGAGGGTTGGAGGGAGAGTCCGGACTTGAGGCACGCCGGTAAATTGCGCGGGCGCTCGATGCGTAAAGGCGGCACCATCGATGGGCATGCTTGGGCCGCGCGGCGATCTTCGCAGTCGTCAGGGGCACTCGCAGCTGCAGCAGCCGGCCGTGGAAGAGATGCGCGTGACGGCATGGGATGCATGGGACCTGCAAACAAGCTCAGCATTCAGAAAAAAGTTTGTGAGAGCCGGGGACGCGAAGACCGAACACGAACAGCGCACTGCAGCCGCCACGGTCCCTCCTCTTCCCCGCGCACGACCCCACACCCCCCGCCACGGCCGTCAGCGTTAGCGCACGCGGCACACGAATCGATAACCTGAGTTAGGAGTCAGAGGAACAGCAGGACGGAGCGATGGTTGGAGTGGAGCAAAGCAGCGGCTGCAGCCAGTAGATCTATAGTATAAAGCAAAACTAGGACTAGGACATCGGGGTCCCGACGCGAAGGTCTAATGTACAAAGCCACTACCCGAGGCGAGCCGGACGGAATGTCTCTGTCTACGCCGACGTGCGGGGGCAGCAGGGAGCACTAGTAGGTGGCGGTGGCTGTCAAATGCGGGGAGGGGGGCTCGGGAGGTATATGCATTAAACGCGTCGGTCGGTACAGTAGGGGGGTCGTGCGATGCGATGCGGGGCGCGGACGCGGACGCGTGGGGGAGCAGAATAGCATTGGGTGGATGGAACGGCGTGCAGCAACGGCGGCGGTAGCGGTGGCGGACTCTACAATGTTGGCGTGGACTTGAACGGGAACGAACTTGAACTTGAACGGAGCGCGAATACGAGTGGGAGTGTCGATAGCAAGGGTCAGGCGAGTGTCTGTGGATGTGTAAGACAAGAGCGGCAGCGAACGATGGATCGGGGGCGGCCGCGGCGACGACGGTGGGCGGGCGGCGTCGGTGCGGATTCTAGCTGTGACCGGCGTCGGGAGATGTTTCTGGGATCACGAGCGGCAACGCGGCGGCCTTGAACCCCTTGCCCTCCGCCGCATGACGACGCGCCTGCAAAAATCAACACGCGTCCTGGCGCTAGCATGGACAGTTGCACATACCTGCTATCACCGCTTCGGCGCGAGCGTCGAGAGCGAGAGCCCCTGCGCGAGCTCCGCCTTCCAGGAGAGCCGCCGGACGGCCTCCGCGTAGTCGACCCACTCCCGTCTGCGCTCCTTGCTCTCCAGCCACTCGTGGTCGAGGTCGGCGACGTCGAGCTCGTAGAAATGGTACGTCGATGATGCCGACGGGATCGTCGTCACGAACCGCGTGATTTTGCCGCGGACGCCCGCTGTATAGGGGGGAGGGGGGAGGGGGAAGGGGGTGCGTGCGAGCGGTGGCGGCACGGTGCGATGTTGCGCGAAGAGCACACAGAGCACGGGCGGAGGGGTGGGGGCGGGGCAGGAAAGCGATTCGTCAGGAATGGGGACGGAGAACGGATGGACAAAGGGTGAGACCTTCTTCCAAGGCTTCCCGCGAGGCTGCTGCTTCGAGCACCCCGTCCGTAGGCTCCCATCCTCCTTTGGGTACTGCGAGATCGTGCGTTGCATGGCGGGCGGGGTGGGGGTGAAAAAATGAGCGTGCCGTTACGCCACCAAGACAGGGGGAGGGGGGATACTCACAGACCCAGTTATTTGGCCGTTTCCGGCTGGTAATGACGAGGACCTTGCCCGCTGCTCTTGCTATAGGAATCGCACAGCAGACGACGCGCGGTGTCGAGCGACCCTTATTACTCATGGCGAAGGTAGAGGTGGACGGAGGATCGACGGAGGTGGTGGTGGTAGTGGACGAGTGGAGTGCGCGAGCGGGTGACGAAAGTCAGGAGCCGTGCGGTGTGCTGTACAGCTGCTAGTCGCGCGCGATGTGGCCGGAATTTCCGGATTTGTCGGCTGGGCGGAAGCGGTGGCGACACGTAATGCGAGGGCTTGCGCACGCCGGGCGAGAGGGACGTGTGGAATGGGAGAAGCGAGCTCGACGGATTTTGAGGGGCAGGGAGGGCGAGCGGGGGCGCGCGAGGAGACGGAGGGTCGGAGTGCTTACGAGGAGTGCTGAGAGGAGGCGCAGAGAAGAGAATCGATCTCGAGAGCCGGAAGGAGGTGCGGTGCCGAGGGTGGCGGGTCTCGAAGATTCGTGTGCTTACGCCCCGGGGCAAATTCCGGGCGGGGCTGCTAGACAAGCGTGCGCACGTCGGACGGGGGTGCGTGCTCGCGATCGCGCGGGGGGCACACGACCTGGTGGTGGGAGCTGGGCAGGGAGGGAGGGGGTGAAAAAGGGACAGGGGGCGGGGCGGCTTATGAGTGGGGGTGTGCGGCGGCGTCGGCGTCTTTGGGGAGATCTGGTCGCCCGCGGCCAGGGCCCTCTCGCGCGAGATGTCAAGGCAGGCGGCGGCGGGGAGAGCGTGCCCGGCCACGGTCGCGCGCCCTTGCCCAATCGCCCCACGCACGTTCGCCGGCCCTCCTCCCACCACCTGCCGGCACAACCTCCCCATCACCTTCCCCATCTCCGTCTCGCACCCCGCGCCCCTCGGCCGAAACTCGCAGCGCTGCAGGTCCCCATCGATTACTTGTCGCCGGCCGCGGTGCACACGACGCTGATCCACAGCGCACACCCGCGCATCATATACACGGCACGCCGGCGTTCAACGCGTCCGCTCCCAACAAGCTTCAACGAACCTCGCCCTTCTCGTCTTCTCGTCGCGCATTCTAATCTCAGATCGACCACCGCAAAACTGGCGCAGATCCCGTTTGGAATTCCAATAAACTTAACTGCCCGTCTAATCCCGCCGCGCCCCGCTTCCGGAACAGACGCCTCCAAGACGCCGTAATAATGGCCACCTCCCCTCGCCGACCTGGATCAGGTCTGATTTTGTGTTGCGGGGTCCCTGTGACGGACCTCGCGTCTAATCCGTGCCAATCCGTGACTATGCACGCGTCACTTCGCAGCCACTGTGCTTGCGCTCGAGTGTACGCAGTTCCGTCAGGGAGACGTCATGATCAGTTACTCATAGTAAATACAGTTTGTCGAAGTGTACAGAAGTACCCGTCGCAGCTAGAAGGGCCCAATCAAATTTTCTACTACGTCTACTTACTTCAGTCATTAGTAGCAATCACTGCGTAAACCCCCCTTCTAGTACAGCTGGGGCGTGAACGCGCTGCAAAGGCCAGTCAATACTAGTGATTAGTGAGCTAGGTATGGTAGTGCAAATTTACCTGAGGGTGCGCGGCGTTACCGGGTATCAGGTAGTTTCAGGACGTAGCTGGACCGCCTAGTAATGCAGTTGCACAACATATGGAGAAACCAGGTAGCTCAGAACACACCTAGTGAGGACAATACGGCTCAGTAAGGTCAGCGCTGCAGTGCACGGCGCGTGGTGGTGGGAGGATGGACAAGAGATGAAGATATTGTCTAGCAGAGCCGCAGCAACATCGCGCGAGGCAGCGCCGCGCGCGCGCTGCGACTCTGCACTACGTAGCCTAGTCGCACTGCGAGCGAGAGACCGCTAGAGCCCTCCGCGGGCGGACACATCAGGAACGAGCCCTGATCACTCTAGGCCTGCTCCTAGCTAGGAGTCGACGTTTCTAGACCAGATACTTATAGCCACAAATACTTTATTTTCACTAGTACTACGCGTACATATCGGTACCGCCCTGAAACGTAGCCACTCTAGGCCAATGTCCCGCCCTGCGCGCGACGCGGCGCGGCGCATTCACCGCCCTCCAACGACCCGGAGTCACGACTCACCGCCCTTCGCTTGACCAGCAAGGCTCTTGGCTGCCGCCTTGTGTCGAGAGCTTGTGAACGCAGAACCGGTACTGGACGTGAACGTCAGTTAAGGATGCGAGGATGGAATTGAGCTTACCAGTGCGATTTGGAGAATGCATACCATCCTGAGGCCGCTAGATGCGGCGCCGCCGTGAAGGTATCCAGATCCCCAGCCGCGATAATTTATGTTTTAGATATTAGCCTGAAATGTGCAATCAGTTATGAATAACAGTTCGGCGCCGGCACCGAAGACGAGCCCAGAAGGGCTAGATACGCACCTCGGCCTGAAAGGCAATTCTCGACGTTCAGTGTGGGCGCTGGAAAAGCAGGCATGGTCAGGCGGGGCTTCAATGTCGTGGAACAACTAGGGGAGAAGGAGGCCGTCGTGGGGCCGATAATGGTCGAGTACCACCTTCAAATACGTGGAATCGCATCCGGACGAGACGAGCGGCGTGGGGGTTACGCCCAGAGCTGGAAGCAGCAGCTCGTTGTTGCGCCGGTAGTGCTCGCGCTCTGTATAGTGTTATGAGCTGCGAGCTGCTGTGCAAATTGGAGAACGAACTCAGTGCTTACCATAGAGATATATAACCTGATATCTGTCTTCCCGCGAGCCCACACGTCCTTCTGCGCCAGCCTTCGCGCTGCGTGTACCAGCGGAGCAAAGCAGGAAGGACGAGGTCAGCTGGACACTCAGTGTCCTCGCGCTTTGGATGAGTAGGTCTAGGAGACTCGCGAGAGCGTGGAGGTTGACCTGCAGACCTCCGAGAGGAGTGAAGGACGAGCGCAGTGGATTGGGGCGGCATATATGATGGTAGTCATGTAGGGCTGTCGGCGTCGACTCGGCGAGATGTCAAGGGCTACTTAACGAGGCTGTTTCCCTCACGTATAGAACATTACGTGGTTAAGACAGCCCAGACGACACCAAGCGGCTGCCAGACGCGTTGTGTAGTTCGAAGGTAGGCCGAGCGGAGGCCGTGGTATACGAACGCTAGCCTGTGCGAGGCCAACTGGCACCCCGGACACCATACACCGCTAGTCCGTCTCGCGCGGTGTAGCTCCGACTCTGACTACACTAAGTAGGGTTTACCGCGCCTACTTACAACTGGTTAGCCTCTCAAAGGTCAGTATTAGGCGGCTACCCATTATCTCTCATTCCCTTCCTCACCAGCACTCACTCGTCCGTGGTGGACGACGTTGGCGGTTTACGCAGTGAATGCCCTGATACTTATCATGCGGCCTTCCTTTGACCTATGAGCGGTTCTCTCGTATATCATATCCAGACGTCCGCGCGTTCCTCTCGTCTCAAGTTCAAATATTTCCATCATGCGCAAGCCTACTGAGCAAGCACTTGCCCCAGACCCTCGCCGGTTTGAGTGTATATTTAGACGCGTGCGCGCACCCATCCTGCACTCAGCCTGAAGTTCCAATATAATCTGCACCTTCACAACCCGCCGTCACTATGTCTCATCTAAGAGTACAGCACAAAAAGCTACATATATATCTGATCATGCTCCCTATGATATATATATATATATATACTCACGGAAGCTACAGAGAAGGTGATAGCCCCGGGGAGACTAGACAAGTCACTCGACTTACCCTACTTACATATATAATAGTTCATCTTTCCATCTCTGTGCGACAACGATCCTTGTGCACCACCGGCCTGCCCCGCAGCCATATAATGAAAGGAATGCGGCGAAGCAGGTAAGCCAGACCGAGCTCATCGTATGATAGATCACAATTACTGAGTTCATTAAACGACCAGCGATGAGGGCACATCGCGCGCAACTCAACACACTCTACCGGGAGGCCGTGCGCGACTGCAGAGCAGTACTTATGCGCACACCACATGGTGCTCCACATTCGGCTGTAGTGCTTGCACCTTGACTCGGAGCCCCTCCGCGAACGGCACCACGACCTCGCGCGCGCAGCTCGGGCGTTTGCGCATTACAGACGCATTTGCCACGCGTGCAAGGAGAAAGCGTACTAATTGAAGAGGAGAGAATACCGTCAATAAAGGCGTAGCGGTAGGCGCGAGCGCGGCAGAGGACGACCGCCCGGTCGAGATGCAAGCGCCGCGAGGTACCAGAGAGTAACAGAGGAATGTCACAAGTACTCCATCACCGGTCCCAGGACCCCGACTGACCGCTCGTAGCGTTCAAAAGTTCGAGCGTATATTCCAAAACCAGACTTGACCCTGCTCGGCAACCGTAGGCCACCATTCCTCCCCCGGATCTACACCAGCGCAGCTCGCACGCTCGCCCATCCCTGACCGCATGACCCGCCCATCTACTCGTTCCATCTACGCCAGAAGCCGTCAGCGCCACAGCACGCGAGAGATGCCGTACCACAATCCACTCACGCGACGAGGAACATACACGCCACCCCAAAGAACATCGCCGCGAACTGCACAAGCGCGAAGCAGCGTGAGTCTCAAACACGACCGCAGCGCAGAAGAAGAAAGCCGTAATCACCTCACGCAGCGCCTGTGCCCCGCTCTTGCTGTCCTGGAGAAGCCTGCCAAAAACCGTCCGCTCAGCCCTCGCCCGAGGAATGTCAGAGTAGGTTCGACGTACGTGGGCAACACCGCGACCGCGCCGATGTACATGAACCCTCCTGCCACGAACGGGATCACCTGCGAGCCGCCGCCGATGAGCGCTGCGCACACGAGGTAGGTAAGGGAGGGAACGCCTTACGAGATCCGCTAGCTGCACGGTCGTCCCGAGAATGCCAGCGGCAGTCTGCCGGATCGCGGCGGCCAGATCGGATACCTGCCCTTCTACCTCTGAGGAGGCCGACAGGTTCCGGATCCCGATGCCCATGAACGTGCTGGAATGTGGACAGGCACGTCAGCGGGGAATAGATGCGCAGAAGGACGTGAACTCTCGTACCCAACCTAATCATGACACAACAATAAAGCGGGAGTCAGTCGCTGCGATCGGCTATAGTGGAGTCACCACCACCACAGTGTGGTGCGCCAGCGCAGCTGCACGGTTCCGTGCACGCCGCGGGCGTATCTAATAAATAATTGATGGACAGGGACGCACAAAGGCACCGATGGCGGTGAGAAATTGGGACTGCATCGCCTGCTTTTTCGTGAAGCCGCTGCGAATGAGGATCGAGTAGTCCGCGATCTCATGCGGGATTTCGTGCGCGAAGCACGCGAGGGTCGTCGTCGCCCCAATGAGCGGCGATGAGTAAAAGGACGCGGCCATACTGCGGGTGGTCAAAGATGCGCTTCAGCAGGGCGAACGTGCGCCGCCAAAGCGCGGTAAATGCAACGTACGCGAGGCCGTCGGTTCTACGCAGAAGCAGGCGTGGAGCAACAGCGGTTAGGAAACCGGGCACCCTTGGACAGAAACGGCGAATTTGACTCACATGTTGTGCACGAAGTCGCCGAACAGGTTCAGGTACGCCGAGAGCTTCGACGTCTGCGCGGGCGACTTGCTGTCCTCATGGGACGCTGCGGCAGCGCTCTCCTTGCCTTCGGCTTTGTCGGAGCCGCGCGACTTCAGGCCGGACGCGTCACCGGCGACGGCCACGCTCGACGAGCTACCGTGCGTAGACTCACCGCTGGGAGAATGCGAGTGGCTATGGGAATGCCCTGCGCCCTCCTCGTCCCCACCGAGCACACGCAGCGTCTTCTCCATGATGAAAAACGACGCGAAGCCGACGAAGATCCCGAGACTATCCCAGAAAATAACACGATCAGTTCGCCGTGGTCTGCAGGCGGTAGCAGAGGACTTGTACCGCACCCGATCAGAATGTTGCGCTTCTCCTCTACCATCACGAAATGCACGCCGCCCTCCTGGTGCTCCCCCATAAACGAGTGTGGCACGAGGTGCAGGAAGACGTCGGACAGCAGACCGCCTGTCTGTGGAGCAGGAAAAGCGGGCACGACATCAGGTCGCGTTCTCTCGCACGAATGAGGGAAGAGTGCATGGCCCTCTAGACTTACCGCAAAGGCTGTCATGGTGTTCAGGGTATTCGGGTTGATTTGCGCGGGGATGAACGCCAGGATGAAATTAGGGACTCTATACACATGCCCGCCGTAGCCAGCGTAGTCTCGTTAGTCCTAGGGTCAATTGAGCCATGATGAAAGGGTGGTACAGACGAGGATATATAGAACGTGCCAAGAACTACACGAAACGCGTCAGTCCTTCGGTTCTCGACAGTGCGCGTCCGCATGGCGTACGAGAACGAGAACGGCGACGTACTAGAATTCCATCCGGGACCAAAGGGGAAGAGCCATGCGAACACCTGCCGCATGATGGGCGACTGCTCCGCTTCGAGCTCCTCCTTCAGCGCGCCCAGCCGCTGCACCGGCTCGCATTGGCGGATATCGGCGTCCTATATCGACGGCAACATGAGCACCAGCATAGAGAGGCGACCAGGGTGAGAGCGCGTCGGTGGGACAGATGCGTGCACAAAGTTGGCACACGTGCGACTCTATTCAGTCGCTTCGCCAAGGCACACGCACCGAGATGACCAGGGGGGCTTTCTCATTCCTGAGCGCAGAGACCCCTCCCACCACGACGCTGGCGGCAAGCGCGAAGAGGAGCAGTGTTCGCCGGCGGCGCGAGTGTAGACTAGACATGGTGGCAGGTGGCAGGCCGTGCCAACGGACGTGTTGGACTCCGCCCCGCGCACACCGGCGCTTAGTTATCCCTTTAATTAGCGCGTCCTGCGTGTTAGACGCGTACCACCACCACCGAGCGCGTGGTCCTCACATAGTCGCCGCAGTGCGCGGTTCACCATCGTTTCCTTTGTGCCCTGCGTATCTTGGAACTACCACGAGAGTCGGACAGCAACATGACCTCAACGTACCCCACCAAAGAAGAGTCGGCGGTGATCGCCGCCGCTGAAGAGCTCATGGTCAAAACGATGGCAAGATACGACCCTTCTCACGACGCGTTCCATGGTCAGTGCTCTGCTCGCGCCCAATGTTCTGACGCGCCGACATGCTGATGTGAACGGCGGCCAACAGTCAAGCGTGTGAGGAAGACCGCCCTCCAGCTCGCGCGTACCGTCTCAGAAACATTGCCTGAAGACAAGCGGCCCGATTTCCTGGCTGTCGAGCTCGCGGCGCTCCTGCATGACATCCTCGACAAGAAATATGTGTCGGCGGAGGAAGCGGCAGACCCTTACGCGTGTTTCTTGCCGTTCTTTGAGAAGTTGGCGTCTGAGGGTGGATCCGACCTCGTCAAGGACGGTCGTGCACGTTTAATCTCCCGGATTGTAGAGAACGTGTCCTGGAGCACGGAGAAGAAGCTCATCGCGGCCGGCAAGATCGATGACTGGTATAGAGGATGTGTCGAGCTACACTGCGTGCAAGATGCTGACCGCCTTGATGCCATCGGCGCTTTCGGTGAATTTTGCTTGCAAACAGCTCACCCGTTGTAAGTAGTAATGCGAATCTTCAACAGGCATCCTACGTTGTGCTGCTTATAGCTCCGCGGTGAATCAGTAAGCTATTTCACTTTATCGCGACGTGGCGCGCTTTTATTTGAAGTCACAGGCCGCTGCACACCCCGAAGGATGATCCAATGTTCGAGTCGTCCGCGATTCAACACTTCCACGACAAGCTGCTACACATCAAGGAACGTCTGAAGACTGAACCAGGGAAGAAGCTTGCTGAGAAGAGACATAAGCTTGTAAGTGGACTCTTTGTCGCTTATATCAAGTTTCCTGATTGTCTCCCAGATGGTCGACTTTTTGCAAGAGGTCGAGGACGAATACGAAGTGCAGGCATGAGGCCGTGCACCAGGAACCACCTATTGTGCGATGTAACACCGGTACCCTGAATAGATAACTATGAAGCTTCAATTCCAGCTTTAATATCCACGGCACACCTTTCTCCGCTACACTCAGAGGTCAGGTACCTTTTGAACCACCCAGCACTGGAGGAAGACAAGCCGCTGACCCCCGTCAGCTACTGGCACCTCTTTAATTTGATTGATTTGTGTTTCGTCTCACTTCATGCGTAGGCAAGAATGCGCACTTGATTATATACATTGTGGACTCCACTGTTCACGCGACATTTGTCCGCGTACTTGAACTGCTATGTTACGTTCATCTTACTAGAACGATCGAACGTACTCAGTTGCCATTCCGGGACAACAATATCAGGCGCTTATCGTAGTTTTAAGAAGTTTAGAAGGTTCACAGAGAGATCACCATCGCCCTTAGACAGAACCTCGCCCTGCGAAAGCTGTCAAAGGAACCACTGCAGATCAACACCGGACATACGCTCTCGAACATCGCGTACATTGGACTCAAGAGCCTCAGCCTACTCTGCGAACTTCATCGACATGTCGGAGAATAAAAGAAAAGGGGACAGCAGAGACAAAGGCAGACGGAGATTTCGACCCGTAAGTATTCCCGTGCACACTCTAATGCAGCTCTTTTCTAACGAAGTATCATGCTTTGCAGGATGGGACCGCCATCTGGGGCCAGAGACAGATCGATGGTCCTGGCGTATGGGTGACCTGCGTTAAGGGCAAGGAAAAGCAAACCGTCGGCGAACTCTACGACTTGTTCGAATCCGTCCGTACCAGAAAATTGGGTCTCCTATATCTGTCTCACATACCTCATTTTCCCAGCTTGGAAACGAACTTTGGCCGGTGGGAGAGGTTGATGATGCAGAAACACCTCAAGACTCCGACGACGAAGCTGGCGGTGCAGAAGACATCGAAAAACAGATCGCTAAAGAAGTCGCTTCCATGAAACGGCCACGAAAAGAGACAAGGTTCGGTAGGTTCAGCGACATCTTCCATGCACGCCGAATCTCATCGCCCTCTCCAGTTAACTGTCTGACCAATACACCATGCGGTATGTTACTACTACAAGAAATTGATGCGTCCAGCTCAACTGACGGAAACATAACCAGTGGTCTTCATATCGACCAAACCGCCTATCGATCCAGTCAAATTGGTCACGACACATGTTCAGAACGTACTCGACTCAGGAGTTACGCACACTCGGTAGGCATTGCGGCTGAAGCCCGCGTCCTACCTTCTAACGCCTTCTAGCTTTTCACAGCGGCTGACTCCGGTATCCGCAAGCTGTGCTGCAAACATGCCTGAAGTTACAACACTCTGTACTCGTGTCCTCAAGAGCGTCCTCGCGGAAGACCCGGACAAGAAGTACACTGTAAGCGCGGACCCGTAATAGGAGTAGATTCAGGGTGGGTCGCGCTGACTATTATTGCCCAGTACAAGGTCGAATTGCGAATCCGCAACCACAACACCCTCAAGCGCGACAAACTCATCCCCGAGTTGGCGAAGTGCGTACCCGAGGGACATACTGTAAATTTGGACAATCCGGAGCTCTACATCCTCGTCGAAATCTTCAAGGTACTCGCGAGTTTGTCTACGGCCCGGACTGGACTGACATTTGCGTTTAGAGCGTCTGCGGAATCAGCGTGGTCAAAGACTACTACAAGCTGCAGAAGTTCAACGTCATGGAGATCGCGAACGCCAAAAACCTACGCGACGATGGCGAAGAGGGTCGTGTTGCGGAAAAAGGCTCGCAGGAGACCGCTGGAAAGGGCGCTTCTACGGTTGCAGAGGGCGCGAACACAACGGCGCCATGAAAGGAATTCTTGTATCATCATAGCTGCCATATGTAGTACGTAGAAGAGAACCAGCAGCTGTATACTACTTGTGAACCGTTCCGTAAATGCTTAATCCTTTATGGGCGCTTCTGCGCCAATCAAGGACGATCAAGGCCTCTGCCACTTGCACTCATCCACACTGCGTATCTCGTAAAGACTGCCATACCTGAGCCTCGCTGCACCTCCCTATAGCTGCGCTATCCATCTCGTTGAGAAACTGAGCTTGCACATACCTCCTGCCTTGGCACACTCTCTGGGCTAACCTCCGGACACGCCGAAGACTGCAGCGACAGCCTGAACCCTGAACCCGCAACTCTTGACCTTTCCCTTCAGTGGACATCGCAGTTATGGGTGACCTCGTAGACTCGATGCTCGACCTTATGCGTCGTCTTCCCCCCATACATGTGGAGGAGAACGTCGCGTCGCTGGTGGCCATGTGCCCAGACTATGCGGACGACCTCTTGGGGAGCGTAGACCAGCCGCTCAAGGTCATGACTGATCGTGCAACTGGGAAGGAGTACCTTGCTTGCGACTACAACCGAGATGGCGATAGCTATAGGTGCGCACGAACCGCTTTGTTCATCTGCCTCCGCCAGCTGGACCCATGGAAGCCAGGGCGTTTCACGCAGTTGGGTGGAACGATACTAACGAAACCACCTTACCTGCAGGTCACCATGGTCGAATGAGTACGACCCGCCCCTAGAGGACGGAACGGTTCCTACCCCAAAGTTGCGCAAACTCGAGATCACCGCGAATGAGGCATTCGACACCTACCGTGAAATGTACGCGCGCACCGCTTCTGTTCCATGACCCGTACATGCGACCCTTAGCACCATACGCATCGGTTGACCTAGGTACTACGAGGGCGGTGTCTCCTCCGTGTTTCTTTGGGACCTCGACGACGGTGGCTTTGCCGGAGTCGTCCTACTCAAGAAGAGTACGCGCCTCATGCCGTGTCCCCGACTTCGCATTCACCCCTTGCCCCCATAGTCCTTAACGCCTCGGCCCCGGGCGAGCCCTCCGGCTCCTGGGACTCCATCCACGTCTTCGAGGCGGCCGAGCGCGGGCGGCAAGCACACTACAAGCTCACCTCCACGATCATGCTGCAGATGGTCGACCGCGCCTCCGGGACAAAGGACGAGTCCTCCGCCCACTCCTCCGCGCGCAGCGGTGGCGCGCGAGACAGCCAGCGCGAGGGCGCTGGCGACGCGAAGCGCGAGGGCGAGGTCACGCTGAGCGGGAGCATGACGCGCCAGACCGAGCAGGACTTCCCGCTGCAGGAGCAGGCGTCGCACATCTCGAACACGGGCCGCATGATCGAGGAGATGGAGATCAAGATGCGCAACTTGCTACAGGAGGTGCGCCGTCTCTCTCTTCTCCATTACCATACCATCCCCACCCCTTCTTCCCCCGCGCCCCCACGCGATTGTCGCCGTCGTGCACCCGCCCACCACGGAGTGTCGATTTGCGCCCTTCGCTGTCGCCCCTGATGCGCGCGTGTGCCCGTCCCGTCTGCGCCGTAGGGCCTTCTATCTTTTCGATGCGCCCGCGTTTCTGGGGTCGCTGGGGTCACTGATAGCGTGTCCTTCGCGAATCCCGCTGACCGCGCCGTCCCTCCCACAGGTGTACTTCGGGAAGACGCGCGACGTGGTCTTCGACCTGCGCAGCATCGACGACCTCGAGAAGGCGCGCAGACAGCGCGAGCTGCAGAAGGAGCTCGTGGGCTTCATTAAACGGTGATCATCACCCCAGATGCAGCTCTTCGTATCGGGCGGACCGCGGCAATATCGCGGGGTAGAAGAGGAAGTGCGGGGTAGAGCGGGATAGAACTGCTCGAGGTGGCGTGGCAGGCCGACGTGGACGGCTGGCTTATGGACGAAGAAGTATCCGGAATTGTACAGACACGACAGAAATGACAGCAGGTGCTGTGGACTCGGACAATGCATAACCCTCGTCCTCGTCGGAAGCTAAGTCGGACGATGGTATTGGAATCCTTGGCATGAACCTTTGTTCTCCTACGGTACCAAAGACCGTGAATATCGGCCACCAACCTCTCACGTCCACCTCGGAGTAACACCAAGCACGCACGTCGCCGAAATTGAGGCCTGAATACTTGCCTTCATAGCGGATGGATTTGACACGACGTTCGAACGGATTTTGTGATTTCATATCGGATGGTCCATAGAATAGCCAGATCGTTCGAAGGTGACATAAAAACAGCTGGAGCCGCAGCTTTTTACAAGGCCGCTAGACGTACAACGACAGGAGGGATAGTAGTACTCAACGACGTAAAGGGTGACAACACAACATAAACAGAGTGGTCCTGAGGAATATCTAGGATATGTAATACATAGACACAGGGAGGGGGAGGACGTGGGATGAGCCAATGCGATGGGTAGGGAGATACCCGAGACGGTGGGGGTATCAAGAAGCCGGAGACCTGGAGAGCTATGTCGCGGACATTAAAGAGCGTAATGATAGTAGAATACAGGACAGGCATGTGCGATCGTGCGACCTAATCCGGGTGCGGGGGAGGCGTTCAGAATAAAGTTATGGTGGACGGACGTAACGAGGCCTATGATGGTTCATACGAGGGCGGCAGACTTCAAGTAGCCGCGGAATATGGAGTCGCGGACGTCGGTGATAATGCTCTGCATTGCCTTGGTGTTCTGGATGGTTGATGGGGGTGATAATAAGTCCGAGGAATACGTCAGCATCGGAGGTAACACGTACGACGGCGCTGGTGAGGTGAGTGAACAACACCCGGTTGTTCTCGTTGGTTCGACGGTGAACCTGGGTGAAGTGTGCCTTGAAGTATGCCACAACGGTGTCGTACTCGTTGGCACGGTCACCGTAAGAGGTGATGCTACAAGAACGTAAGACTACATTCGAGGACTCTAAGGCATGCCTCGCACTCACTATTTATTGACCTTGATGCCGTTGTTGATCTTTGCCCTCAACACATCCGTCTTGTCTGTGAATTCTCGGTCAATGTGTGGGTCGTGGTATCTGAGCAAGCATCACATACTCAAGAAGAGCACCAGGTGAGCCCGCTTGAGCAGGGGATTCGAGCAAATCTGCTTGAACAGCTGCAGTGAGTCGTCTATCCTGTTCGTTCGGGGGTCTTCATCCAGGTACTACGGAGATAGCGCGCATACAATTAGTTTCATCATTGACATATCAAACGGTCGCAGTACAACGTACCTGGTCGAATGCGCTAACTGGCGCCAAGAAGATGATAGCAGTGCTATATCACGCACTTCAGGATCAAGGAACAATGCCGATGGAGGGAACTGCACATACGCGTCATCGAAGTACGGAATCCAGGTATGACGTTGTCCCCGTGCACCGCCGACATCGAAGAGATGCCAGCGGGTATTCCGACCGTGCACGGACATATCAAATACGTGCTCGGCGACGCCCATGGTCTGGATGCGCGCATGGAGGATGTCCTCTGCGTTGCAAAGTGAGACGGGCGCATCATGATAGGAAAGGCAATGTCATACCAATAGTGGGAAGGTAACCAGGAGCCGAGACACGCTCAATGTTGTTCAGGAAGCTGTTACGGACGCATCAGCAACCATTGCGGGCCGAGATTATTCAGGTGCACTGACTATTCCGCCCATTCCTCGAGCTTGAGACGTCTGCGATCGCGGAGCTTCCTCACGGCCGGGAGTTCCCATAGCTCCTTGATGTCTCTCTGGCAGGAGGCGAGAATTGACGCGACTTCGCGCACGAGTGCATCTTCCGAAGTATCATCCTTCCGCGCCTGGAGCTCCAACTCGTTCCCCTTCCTGTCGTCTGTCGAGTTGCGGGCGGCGAAGCTGAAGCGTCCGCCGCTGCTGGTGCGCTCACGTGCCCTCCCGAAGGTGAAGCCTCGGGTCTTCGATTGCCATCCAGAACGGACGAAGACGCTGCCTCTTCCGGAACCAGACACGTCGATTCCGCCAGACAAGCGATCCGCCAAAGATGATTCTGCCGCAAGTAGAGGGGCCAGCCGTGTGCGGAAGGAGCTGATCTGTTTTTCGAGACTGAGTTGGGATGGGGACAGAGACTTCTCGTCGGCAGTGAAGTCGGTGCTGGTACTAGGAACAGGCATTCCAGAGAGTGCACGCATGTCCGCGACGCCGAAGGGGCGATCAGATGCGAGGTCGTCGTCGTCGTCCTCTGCGTCGCCAAAGGCCTCCAGAGCCTCTAGTATGCGGGTGATGGGACGTGCGATGTTGAAGTAGACGACCGTGCGCCAGGACAATCGCTCGTCGTCGAGACCGGACGGGTTGTACAGGAGTTGGAACTGCTTCTGGAGCGTTGACTTGCCAGATTCGGCCTGCCCAAGCAGTAGCAGCTGTGAGAGCAACGATCAGTGACCGTCCGTTTCCGAGCATTGCATACGTGGAGGATGTGCGGCGACTCCTCCTGGCACTTGAAACCACTGCGCCCGCATGATTACAGTTATAGGGCGACATGAGAGCATCATGCTTTGAAACCGCCGCGCACGGCGGGCTGGACGACTGGCCGTGAGACTTACTCTGATGTCCTGCCTGCTCTTTCTCAGGCGCTCCCGGTCAGCCTTGATCTCCTCGTCGATGCTGTCGCTGATGCGTTTGGCGTCTGCCTCGCGCTGCAGGCGGGAGATGCGCTCATGGTCGGTCTCCGATGCGGGAGGCCTGAGGAGGGCGGAGAAGGGGTCGCCGTCAGCACCCATGCTGTTGACGGACGGCGGTCTTGAGGCGGTCATCATCTTGGGAGGTCCGCGGGATGGGGGGACGGGGGCGGGGCGGGGGGCTCGTCGTCGTCGGGACGGAGGAGATGGTTGAGCTTGGTGGCAGGGGGGAGGAGAGGAGCGAGAAGAAGGCCGGATGGATTTATAGAGTTCATGCTCGGGACGCGCGCTGATGACAGAAGGCAGTGAAGACCAAGATGGCAATGGCTAAGAAGGAGCCCTGTCAATGAGTCCGTCCCATGTCAATCCTCCGGCCGCACTCATCACATTCTCCCCGTTCATTGCCTTTCTCGGCGCCGCCCCAGTGCTGTGATTGCATCTCGCCGGCTAACCCGCCGCAATCTCGCCCCCGCGGGCCGTGCTCTCGGCCACCCGTCCGGCGCTGTCGATCGTCTGCGCCTTACGGTCCTCCTTTCTCGCCTCAACCACTGCTTCGCCTCGAGCTACCAAGCCCACCAACTCAGTCTCCATGGTGCGCACTCCCCGGGCATCCTCCCCCTAGTTCGATCTTTTGATCTTATCTAGTCAGTCACATTCCACACTACGCACGGAGACATCAAAGTACGTCTCTAAACCATGTGCATCACCGCTCCCGCATCGTACAAGGGCCGACGCCACATCATGCGCAGGTCGAGATCTTCTGCGAGGCAGTCCCCAAGGCTGCTGAGGTGCGCGACATCGACCCTATCCCCCCGCAGACGCGTGCTATAACTGTGCACCCCCGGCAGAACTTCCTCGCACTATGCGCCTCGGGCTACTACGATAATTGCCTCTGGCACCGGAACATCAAAGGCTTCATGATCCAGACGGGCGATCCATCAGGTTCTGGTAAAGGCGGTCAGAGCATCTGGGGCAAGCCCTTCCCGGACGAAGTCCGAACCACTCTTAAGGTGCCCCGCCATCATGCGCTCCCACCAGCCATGCTGCGCACTCGGGTCGCCCGCTGATGCACATCTCCCCGTGCAGTTCAACAACCGCGGTATCCTGGCCATGGCGAACTCGGGCCCCGACACGAACAAGTCCCAGTTCTTCATAACATACGCTAAGCAGCCCCATCTTGATGGCAAGTACACCATCTTTGGCAAGGTGAGCATGCGTGCCTTTTCAATGTACCCGCACTATCCCGCTCATCTTGTTCTGCGCAGGTGATCGACGGTGCAGACACCACCCTGGATGCCATGGAAAGGGTGCCTGTGAACCCGAAGAACAGGCCGCTCAGCGAGATACGTACATCTCACGTACGTCATGCTGCACCCCTTCATATAATTTCATTTCCCGGCAAGCAGCGCACCCAGCCCCGGGCTGCTGACGCTTCCCTACGGCCGGAGACCACATGCTCACATCCGCCCTTCCAGGTAACAATCCACGCAAATCCCATCGCGGATACAGAGCTAGCAGGCCGGTGATAACTCCCACACCCGAGCCAACCATGATATGTTAATCTCCAACGCGCGAGCCCGTCCGCCGCACATCGCGGGCGTGCCCTCCGGAGGCTTCGTGGCGTCTGCGGCGCGCAAGGTTTGTTGTCGGAGCGTGCCTGGCCCTGCGCTCACACGCGCCCGCCCTATTTATTGTATGTGTGTACTTCTAATGCATCCGCGTGAGTCACGCCCGTCGTCAAGCGTCCGGGCCTTACATACGTGTCTGGCAGGAGCTTCAGCCGACAGCCACATCCTGTGCGCACCATCCCCGCATCCCGCCCTCCCGTGCGCACGCCCTGTCACCGCCGATGCCAGGATGCCGCAGTCATTGACTTTCTTGCGTCCGTGGGCGCGTCACCTGTGCGCCGGCTTACGGCGTGGACATCGCCCCCGTTGCCGGTGCGCTGCAGCCGCAGGGCTGTCTAGATTTGGGCGATTCGCGAGTGGCAGTACTACACCGGCTGGAGCCTGGTGGCGCAGTGGGTCCTCTCGCCTGTCCATATGTCCATCCGTGTCCAGCCTTGTCCACTCAAAAGATTTTGAACGTTAACGGCTCCGCCGCCGGTTCGGGAGCACTGGGCACGGGTACCCAGCGGGTCCGGGCGCATTGTAGCTGTCCCGCGGCGTGCGGCGCCAGCCCTCGGAGGAGACGCAACGGGACGCCGAAGTGGTGGTGATCATCATGCTTCCGGGCTACTTGTCGCGGCAACCCGCAGTTTGTTTTAATTGCCGATGCATTCATCTTCTGCATGCCGCTGTTCTTCAACCCGCCTGACCCGAGTCGTCGAGCTTCGCGGAAGTCTGTACGTACCACGTTGCCGCGGTCGCCGACGGTCGGAGGAACGCTAGTGCTAGCACTTGTATAGCTAATGATAAGCTCGACATTTCTTGGGTGACATGTCGACATATCGCAAGCCAAGCTTCCATGTCGCGACCATCATGTCGACGACGGGGCGCGCATGTGCATGATATGTCCGCAGCCACCGTCTCGCTCCGTTCCGTCGTCCGAATCGAACCACATTTTAACTAGCTCGACACGCCGCACATTTTTAAATGCGGGGCGATTAGCAGCACAAGTGCGCGATCGCGCGCGCTAGCCCCCCGCCTTTCACATGTCCTGGACGTCCAGCATTCCTTCACGCCGCTGCTGGAGGGCACCGACCTGCCCGATCCGTCTCCCATGCCCGGATCACACCCCGTTCGGGATAAGCAATATATGTACACCACCGTACGACGCGCACGCGCGAGGCCGCACGTCGCCGCCGCACGCCGGGGCAACAGGCGGCGCGACCTATCCCGCCGCGAGCCGGAGGGCCTGATCCTGATCGGGGGGCTAGCGGAGGTGATAGAGCCAGGGCGTGTGGGCGCGGATGTTCCTGGGCCATTTGCCGCGGCTTGCGCTGCAGCGCCACCGTGCGACGTGCTGCCACTCGTGCGACATGTCGAGCAACGGGAACGTGTGATGGAAGGCGTGCGGTAATTTCGGGCGTTGCTAGGGTGGGGGCAAGTACTATGTACAGTGGTCGACCGCAGCAGGCGCAGAGCATGTGAAAATGAAAAGTGAAAGTGAGAGTGGGGACGCACGGAGAAGATGGGATGAGATGAAAGAAAAATTGATAAGGAGAGATTGCGGGGAGATTGGGTATTAGATGACAGAAGATGTGCGAGGATACAACTTGTGAGGGAGCGTATTGCGGTCAGTGCGTCGGGGCTAGTGGTACACTGGATTACACGGGTCGCGTGGCTTGGGTAGTCGATTAGATCCTGGATCCTCGGTACAACGGCCGCTGCAAATATTAGATAGCTTCTTGCGACGAGGGTTCGGATGCTGCGCTATTTCACTGGTCGGTCCACTTCGACGGGTCCCAATATGACCTGCGCGCGGGATAAGCGGGTGCAAAGGGGTGCAGTACAATAGCACTTACGCAGGGACGTCTATCATCATAGGCGTCAACGAGCGTTCGTCGACGGGCATCGACGTCTCCAGCCCGGAGCCAATTTGAATAGGGAACTCCACCCGGAGGGTGTTCCCCATCCCCGGGAAGTCCACCTTCAGCTGCAGCATGTACTGCGGCACGACAGGGATGAGAAGCCGCACCGCATCGGGAGAAGCACGGACGGCGCACGCACCTTCGTTTTGATCTCTTCCGTGAGGAATGTCGGCGTGAACCGCAGGATCATGCTAGACGAGAACGTCGCCTCCTGCATCCAGCACCCGCGGTCCTCCTTGGCCCCCTCCTCCGGGATCCACATATAATCTGTGATCTCGACGTCCACGGGAGGCACTGGAGTGTGCGCCTTCGAGATGATGTCCGCGACGTGCTCCTCCGGGTTCGAGGGAAAGTACGGCGTCTGCACGTCGACATGCCGCCGGAGATCAAAGTCAATCTCGGACGCGCTACGCGGGACCGGGGGAAACAAATCTTTCTGCGGCTGGGCGGTGCTTTTGCGCTTTAAAGGCGCAGAGATGGTGGTGACAATGATGCTGTACGGGATGGGCGTGAAGAGCGGGAACGTGTCCAGATGCGGCACCAGCAGCTGCCAATCCGGACTTCCGCGTTAGCGGCGCGTCAAGCTACGAGTTTCAAGGACGCTGCGCACCTCCATTTTCACTGAGGAATAGTCGCCCCAGGGCATCTTACGAATCTTCTCTTCCGCTTTGATCCTGCCCCAGTCGCCCTGCCACCCGAGCTTGAGTTCCGCCCGAAGCGCTGCGCCGAGCGGGTCGGGCGCGACGACCACAACGGGCACCTTGATGGTCCGGTCGACCGCAAACGTCCCTGTGCGCACGCCAGTGACTTCAATAGCATAGCGGACGTACGCAATGTTCATGAAGCTCTCGAACCCGAACGAGGGCGGGGCATCGTCGGGGAGGAGAATCGAGAAGGGTATACGGAGGATGTGGTCTCCTTCCGGGGGCGAGCCCCGAGATCTTTGCCAGGCAGTAAGTGACTTGCGGAGGAAGTCGTTCATTTCGATCTTGAATGACTCGACTTGTGCGCCCATCCGGTTCTTGCTGGTAGTCGGACCACATTCAGGACGGGCGAGAGACACAGCGGAAGGTGTGGGCTCACATCATAATAGTCCCCTCCAGCCCGACAGTTATCCGGTCGATGTCATCCTCGAGGAGGAGCTGGTAATCAAGCTCGAGCTCGCCTTCAATGGGTGCGCCCGCGATATAGAGTGCAGGCGGGAGGTTGAGCGTAATCGCGGTCTTCTTGAGGGGCAGCGAGTAGAGAGACATGCCGATGCCGGTGCTGAGCCTGTGCGTGCGGCGGGGTGTATATGTCGCTCGCGCAGGAAGAAGAGGAGGTGGGAGTGGGTCGGAGGAGGGCGTACCTGTTGCGCTGCCGGGCGAGGCGGTTGCCGACGTTATGAGGTTGCTGGAGCATGCCGAAGGCCCCGTCTGCCGGGAAAAACAGGGAGCGTGGCGTTCGGACGATCGGGGAGCACGCACAGGGACGGCCCCAGCCTGGGTGGCCCTGGCGTGGTGGTGGCAGCCTGGCGCTGGTGTGCGCATACAGCCGCCACCGCACTCGCCTCCCATGGCGTCTCCATGCAGCCGACCCAGCCGGTGCCCGCGCGTGACAGAGCCGCATGAACCGACTTCGGCTCCAACCTTTTAGCGTTGTGCTAGAAGTCCGATCGAGATCGCCCGATCAGGCAGATCCCTCTCAATGGGCGCCTACGCTCCCCCCAAGGAACACGGCCGGCCTCGCTGTGGGCGAGAGTCGGCTCGTTCTCTGCATCGTCCTTGTCGATTAGTGGTTAGATCATCACGTTGTGGACACACAGGACCGTGAAGACGGAGGCTCGAATCCTCCCTGGGACATTTTTGGCCAGCCAGACAGCCGAGGGAGAGAGGGATTACTTATTTGAGGAAGAGAGGGGTGAATCGTCGAAGGAGAGGCCCGGGGAAGCCTAGGAGCTCGCGTGAGGATGTGCATTTTGCAGTGTACGGATGTCGAGACCACAAGTGACGAAGCTCGAATCCTGCTGTATACATCTCTTTCTTTGCCCAGACGTCACCCTCGGAGGGGACACCGAGCTAAGTCGCGGGCGCCGCGCCGCTAGTCAAGATCATATGCCGCTAGAACCACTCGTATTTTATGTTTTAGCGAAATTTATAAGAGACCATATGGCCACCCTGCTATCCCGGCCCCCAGAGACAAGCCACCGTGTCCTATCTGTCTTCTCCTGCTCAGTCATCTCATCGTCCGACTCCTCGCCGCCTGCATTCAGGGCCGGCGCTGGTTGTGCGCGGGCGAACGCGATACTTTGGCAGTTCTTCTTGTGGTACGCGAGTGTACCGAGCGGCTTGAAGGACTTTGTGGAGTAAAGGCGCACTCTACCCTGGACGTTAGCATTCTTTGCTATAACAGCGGTAGCCGGTGAGTATGTACCTGCCATCCCATCCACCGACTGCACATATTCGGCCATCGTCCTTGATCGCCACCGAGCCATTTCCCGGGTGTTTCGTTTTGAATGCCGTGCAAGCTTGCTGTACATTTTCTGCTGACTCGGCCTCCTGCCAAAATAATGAGTGACATCGACATACTCCGGTCTCGAATGAAATTACCGCAAAATTATACCGACCGATGAGATGGTCGGCGGAGACGGACAACGCAAATGACCCGTCCATAGACACACTCATCGCCATGACTATTCGCCACACGGATCAGAATACCCCAATTCAACGCAAAGCAGCAGCACACTCACCCGACTCAACATGGAGGCGCACGCTCCACAACGACTCCCACCCAACGCCCTCCACGGACACCTCCCTGTCTTCGCGCACATATCCGCGCATTGTCACGCTCCCGTTCTCATACCCGCACAGCAGCCTCAGGCGCGCTCCGCCGGCCGCGTGCGGGTGCGGGACCGACGACAGGTGCATGCACATTATGATCCCTGCCGGCAACTCAGTTTCCCCACCAGTGGCAGAAATACCCGAGGGGGGACTTCCATACCGATCGGATTGCGCACGTCCGCGGGCGACGGCGCTTGGCCGGCTTTCCCGATGGCGGCGTGCAGCCTCTGTTTCCCCGGGAGCGTCCATACGTCCGCCTGTAACGAGCGGCGCATAAATCAGAGCCTCTTTATCGCACCGTGCCGAGACAAAGGATACGCACGTAGGCAGACTCGACCAGGTTGGGCACGGCGAGCAGGGCTTGCCGCTCATCTGTGCGTGCGTCGGCGGGGAGCGGCAGGAGAGAAAACCGACAGAAGTTCAGGGCGTTCACGTCGAGGGAGTAGCACAGTTCGGGGGTCTGCAATCCGGGGAGCGCAGCGGACCCACCCACCGCGCGGGGAGGCTCGCGCACCCCAGACCACACGTGCAGCTTATTGTCCCGTCCATGTCTGTTCCCGAAAACGCGCGTCAGGAAAGGCACATTTGCTGCCAAAAGCCGCTGAGGGTATCGAGGAGACGAACGGACGTGATAACCCGCTGTTCCCACTCCTGCACGCCCAGCAGGCCGTCCGTGTGCGCCTTCCACGACGCGATCGCGCGCAAGCTCCTTGTCGACGTGATCACCACCGTGCCCGCCGCATCCCCCGAGTATATGCGTTCGTTGTCGTCCGAGACGTGCACGACGCTCACCGCCGCGGCGTGGCTGCGGATGAGGTGCTTCGGCGCGGGCGGGGGAGGGGGCGCGGACATGCCAGTGGTCGCTGCTAAGAAGATCTCGGAAATCTCGAGGCATGCTAGTGGCTGCTGCGCCGCTGTGGCGCGCGGTGGCGACGCTCAATTGAGCGCAGGGTCGCGCGATCGGCCTGAGATGACAAACACGTGTGTACCAAACGCCGCGGTCTTCGATCGAGATCTCGGATGCAACTGGCCTCGTCAGCCTTGGTTACGTATCAGAACGTCAAGAAAGAGGTGGTCGAGTCTGTCGAGATCATACTTTACAGACCGGCGTGCCTCTGTACTCGCGGATAGCTACTTTCCTGCACCACCCGAGGCCTGAGCGCCCAATAGGCAATTCGATCGGTTATTCGTACAGTGGGGTGGGCGAGGCGGGGCGTGCACAGTAGTTACATTGCAATGCGACAAGAGGTGACATCTACATACGCTACCACTGGTATGATTTCTCGACGCCGCACGTACGCACTGCGGCGCGACGTATGCTAAAAAAAAAGGTAGGTGCAGCTGCGAGATCGACAAGTAGCGCGGTCGAGCATCGAGAGCGGAGTGGGTGAGGGGGACTCTGGACAGACTGAAGCGGGGAGGTGCGGAGACAACAAGCAGCAGCGGCGCGGTATACAGCAGCTTGCGATGGGGAAGGTGGAGGTAGAGGTATACACATCATAACAAAGAGCGCGGCGGGGCTCGACCGGGCAGTGAGGGACTGCTGGTGGTGGGGCGAAAGGGAAAGGGCCACGAGCCACGCCACGGACCAAATCCGCTAGGGAGCGTCTGCTTGGGAGACGCGAGTAAACGAAGGGGGACGCGCCGTGGCGCAGCGGGCGCGCTGGGGGGTATGTAGAGGCGGTATGCCACAGGTGCAGACACCATACCCACAAGGATCGGTGCAGATTACGAGGTGTAGGGAGGGCGCGAGCGGAACGCGGCAGTGAGCGGGATGAGGTTGATCAGAAGTTAGACCAGGACATGACGTTCTCGCGCTGGCCGAACGCAGGCGTCGGCGCGTCGAGGTCGACCGTAACACCCAGACTAGAGATACGCATGGGGCGCTCTCCGCGGAGGCCCTTCACGGCCTTGTGGAAGCACCACGCGGGAACAGCACCGAGCTCGACTTCGCCGGGCTTGAACATGCTGTCGCGGCCGACGATGCACCAGCCGTCGTCAAACTCTTGCACGATCGTCAGGGACTGGCCGAGTGCAATGACGAGTTCGTCGGGCAGGACGGGGTCGAACACCTGCCGGACCTTCTTTTGGGTCGTGCCGGAGGCGCCGCCGATAGACGAGTTGGTCGACATGATGGAGATGCGCGAGCCGCGGTTACCCGCGAGCAGGCCCGGCGGGAGCCACGATGCGGTAGACATGGGACGTCCGGAGCTAGTGAAGTCTGCCCCTGCGCCTTCGGCGTCGCCGCCGTCCATGCTAGCCCTCGGCGCGAAGGGCGCGAAAGGCCTAGGAAGCGCGCCTGCAGAGGAGTAGTGTTCGATGATTTCCTCGCGCGATGCATCGGGGCGAAGGACGGCCTTGTCGGGCATCACGACGCCAGGGTGCAGCTGGTCGCGCGAGAAGGTGCTGCCCTGGACGGGAGGGCCGGCGCTAAAGACGCAGCGGGCAGGTCAATGAACATGCGCGGCAAAGATAGCGTTCGCGCGACGCACCTCGAAGCGGAGCCCTTCTCGCCCTCCGGGCTGAAGTTCGCGAACGCGGATCCGCGACGGGCTGCGCGTTTGTCCGCGGCGCGTTTGCGGTACCAGCGGATACCGAGCCAGGTGAACGCGCCGAGGCCAATCACGGCGGCGACGATAATACCGGCGACGATGATGCCGTTCATGCCCTCGCTGGAGTCAGACGCGTCGCGCGCGGCGAGGCGGGAAGACTGGTGGGGCGCCATCTTGATATGTCGGATGAGGAATGGAGGATGGGGAGGTCGTGTGGTTTATCAGGTTCTGAACGGGTCAGGAAAGAACGGCGTGTATGCAAATGAATGACGAGTGTGCGGGTCGGCGCGTGTCCAAACGTGGCGGAACGGTCTTCCTCGAGGCTAGTGGGATGAGGAGGCCGAGGGGGTCGTGTACGCCTGGCCGGGGGAGAGACCAGGACGGCGGAGAGATAGGGAGAGGGAGAGAGGGAAGGATGGCGGGACGGATAGGGCGAGGATATACATATGCGTGGTTGCCATCGCGCGCACTCGAAAATGAAGGACCGGGACATCCGAACCGCGTACTTTACCGTAACCATGGGCCGTCCCGCGCGATCGCGTCCTCGCCTCGCTGCCACCCAGACATGCTCACGCCCATATATAGACATTGCCCCCATTTCGCCGCGCTGCGTCATTTGCATCCATCTCTTCTCGACCTCCCACACACGCAGCGCAGCCCATATGAACGCGGAAACATTTCGCACTTCGTTGAACGGGCTGCAATGCACATGCGCCACTCTACAGAAACCCTGGATGCACACCGTCGGCCAGTGCAACAATCGGTTCCCCTCCGAACGCGCCGGCGCGCGTACGTACACCCTCTTACCGACACTGACCGTCTCAACTTCCTCAGCATCCCCCGTCCACCATCCGCCCGACCCGCACACCATCTTGTTCATCAAAATCACTCAACGCCAGTGCTGCGCAACGCCCGAGCTATCTCAAAGGCTCAGCGACCACCACGCCGGTGGCATCGCTGCTCCCTGACGGCGTACCACCGGGCATCGTCCGACCCGCGCGTTAACGATGAATTGGACGGTGCTCCATCGGGCACAAGCATCCGCGGCCCCTCTAGCCGGCAGCGCCCCCGCTTTCGTTGAATTATAAGTATGAGGCGGCGGCGCGGCGCGGTCCTGTCTGGGCGGTCGATATGGCGCGGCCCATATCGCGACAGCTGGCGTGCGCAGCGGGCCAGACGGAAAGTGGACAACAAGGTGGGGCGTGGACGTGCGATGCATCATCATCATGCATCACAGATATACCCGGCGGCGGGCAGACCCTTACTTGACAGACGTCTGGCGGGATTGCAGCATGGGGACATCCTCGGGTGACATTGTCAACTGGTTGACACATCCTGGACCGAGCACAAAGACTGTAAGCGCGTGAGCGCAAGGGAGGGCATATGGATATAGATATCGATTCACTCACCGCGGCCGACGCAAGCGTCACCAATAATTACCCGCATACATACGTACGTATATCTAGAATGTACCCTCTTCTTGCACTTCTTCCCACATCCATCAATGGCACTTCCGAGGCCCCACCAAGGAAGCGCGACACCCCACACGTCGCGAACTGCGGAGATTGGGTAGCGAGATGGTATTCGCCAAAAACGCTACTAACGAAGACTTCGACGGGGCCGGGAATTATAAATAAAATCAGCGGTATGTAGTACACTAAAGCCAAGACCTGTCATAGGAGGGAAAGGGGAGAACGGCAGGCCCTCCTGCGGGCGGGGTAACGTAAACGACGGGGCACGGGCCCGGGAGCGGGGAGCGAGGAGGGTGGGTACATACGACGTGCAGAAACATGAACATGAACATGAAGCGGAACGGTCCATGCCTCGACCGGCGGCGCGCGGACGAAGGGGGACGTCCGCCGCGCCCCGGGAGGGATATGCACAGCTCGAGCGTGCGGGGGCAGCCAGCGCGGAAGAAGGGGGCGCGCGGGGCAGCGGGCGTTGGAAAGCGGAAGTCGTGGCCGACGTACACGTACATCAGGAGGGGCGAACCGGGGTGGGGGGGAGTGCATCCAGACTCGAGAAGCGAAGAGCGGGGAAGAAGGGCAAACGCGGGCGTCAAGCGCGGACAAGGAAGGGACGGCGGCGCACGCGCTCAGCTCAGGAAGGCGGGACGGCTCCCGCAGGAAGGGCGGGAGAGGCGGGGTGGGAGTGCCGGATTAGGGCGAGAGCGAGGTGGTGCCGGGCGGGAGGGGGAACTCTCGCACGGTGGCGATGTCCGACTCGTCATTTGAGTATGCGGAGACCATCGAGCCCTGCATCGAGACGACGCGGAGGCGCTCCTCGACCTCCTCCTTCGTCAGGTCGAGCGCGGCAATGAGCGACGCCATCGCGCGGTCGTTGCCAAAGGCCGAGGCGGATGCGCCGCTGGGCACGGATGCCTTGTTTGGTAGGCCGGAGTTCGGGTAGAGGGTGTCGGGCGTGTATGCTTCGATGGAGGAGACGGGGACAGCTTCGTGGAGGTCGATGAACGGATTGGTAGACTGCCTGACCATGCTCTGGGCGCGGCTAGTCCGGCTGGTGCGACTGTTACTCCGGCTGCGGATCGCCCTGCTGTTCCGGTTCATGTCCTGCGCGTTGAAGAACGGGTTGTTTCGTGCGCGGCGCTCCTCTGCCATCTCAGCGAAGGGGTTGCGTGACGGCTCCTGTGCGGCAGCGTCCTCATCAGCGATGAGTACCTCGGCGGACTCCCACTTGTGGATCGCAGACGTCGTCGCGGGCGGGGTCATCTTCGCCATGACCATCGTCGGGGACATCGCGCCGGAGTCGACGCGCATTGAGTGCATGGAGAGGAAGGAGTCGTCACCGAGCGTTTCGCCATCCCACGACACACCGCTGTTCTGGCGGCCAGGGCCGGGCCTCGCAAACGGCTTGTCCGGGTTCTCGAACGAAAGCTCCTGCGCGAGGGTAGGGTGGTACTTAGTGAAGTCGAGCTGGGGCAGATCCATCGCCTGGTCCTCGTCCGTCGTCGTCTTGGTCGTGTACGCGGTGCGGACGCTCGGGGACTTCTTGAACATGGAGAAGTTCTTCTCGTCCGAGTCGTGGGGGTCCTGCGCCGCTGGCGAGGGTGGCGGGAGGTTGCCACCCGCGCGCTTCTCAGAGTCACCCAGTCGGTTGAAGTTCTTGGGTTGCGTGCGCTGCTGCTGGGCACCTTCCGCGTTCCTGCGAGCAGATGCAGAGAGCTTGTCGGTGCGCCGACGGAACCAGGCATAGAGGAAGAATATGACAGCAAGAATGCCGATGAATGCTCCCACACAAATCGCGATAATCGAGCCGAGGGGAAGCTGGGATGATTTGGAGGCGTTCACCGCGCTTGCAACTGCAGAGCTCGACGGCGTCGAAGTGGCGCTTGAGGAGGAGCCCGAAGACGTGAGTGTGATAGTCTGGCCGTCAGCGAGAGGAGGGGCGGTGACTGCAGCGGTGGCGGCAGCGGCATCCGTGTTGAATATCAGAGCAGTATCTGAAGCAGTAGCAGCGACTGTGGCGGCCCCAGAGAGACCCGCCACCGAAGTGTCCTGGCGTGCTACGGCATGGCGAGCGATGTGCATGGCGGAGAGGAGGTGACACGGAGGAGGATGAGAGAAAAGAGCGTCGAGGAAGCGCGCCCGCGAGATGCAGGGCGGTGATTAGAGACTGAAATACGGGCTGTAGGCGAGACGTAATGGGTTGCGATCAGGCGAGTGAAACGGGGAAGGTGTGGGGACGTTTGTGCATACCTTCGAGGGGCGAGAGGAGGAGGAGGGGCAGGGGAAGGCGGCCCGCAGGAGGAGGCAGGTACGAGGCCGGCCAGAGTCTCCTCGTCGTCTTGGTCGACGGAGTGGTGGAAGGGGGAGCTGGAAGATGGCTTCCCGTCCCAGCGGGGTGAACAGAGCCGAAACAGGCGCCCGTTCGAAATGGAAACAGCCGCGCCGGCATCAGCCCCGTTCACGACCATTCCTTGCCGGCGCACCGCGGCCCGCTCCTCCCTCTCTTCCCGCCACGCCTGAACGCCGCCTGTCCCCGCTGCGCCCGCCTTCGACGGTAATTGTGCTGCTTTTTCGCGTATATTCACCCGCGGGACGTGCAGACAGCCCTGTCCATGACGAGCGCTCCTCGAAGTCGCCCATGTGCTCGATACAAAGCTTACCTTATGAGACAGTTTCATGATCAAACCACGCACGGCCCTACGGCCGCTCAACCGTGATGATCACAGCACCACCGACGTTTGGCCCTTGCCTGTCAATTTGAATCTAGAGTAGTAGGTGAGTCCGCAAATGCTATCTGGAGCTGACCCCAAAATATCCCAATGACCGTGCACAGATATCGCTACACTCCCACCGCGTCTTCCCACCGGTGCCACTTTGACCTCGGACCAGTGCGCTACCAACTCGCCCGCTAACGCGAAATCCAGCTTCTATACAGGACGGCCTTCCATCTTGATTGAACATCTGCTTCGCACCGCCCGCGAGGGGCATCATGCACCTCTTCGTCATCCGTCAGCCCTCGCGGGGCGAGCCAGTGCCAGAACACGCTCCAGAGTTTAGCTTTCGCCCTGCGATGATATGCTCAATCTCGGGCTTAATGCTGGCCAGCATGTCCTCGGACGTCTTCGCGGGCTTCCAGCCTATGCCCCGGGAGCGTTCAGCGCGACAGCGGACGTTCGTTCCCAGACTGTTGGACTGCGTCGCAAATTGATCCGGTCAGTTCAGTTCCAGATGCGCGCATGCTGCAGTGCGATGCCATCGCTGCACACTCACGCCACCGAAGTATTTATCCAGCTCGGTCTTGTTGAACGTCGACGGATCCGCCGTGTCCGCGAGGCCCATCCCCGCAAGGTCCGCGCCCATGGTTTGCGCGATGTCGAGCATGGTGTGCTCGCCGTTCTCGCCGAAATAGAAGCCTTCCCTTCCATGGCCGATGTCGTCCCCGGCGAGTGCACGCTCAACGATTGTGCAGTACAGCTGCGCCACTGAAAATACGCCCGCGGTCAGCATGGACGTGTGGCGGCGGGGAAAGCAACAAACCGTCATCGATGTGGACGTTGGGATGGAAGTTCTGTCCCGCCCCGACCATCCCCGCCTGGCGACGATCCATGCTGGCCTCGATGAGCGCGGGGATCTGCATCGAGCGCGGGTTCACGATGCCGGCGTCGACGAGCGGCCCCGACGCGAGGCCGTAGATGGTCGAAGGAAGCACGATGAACGTCTTGACGTAACCTGCAGAGCTATCGTGTCAACTATGGCACCCATATATTTGCTGGACGTGCTGTGCCTTCCTTGTCGCCGGCTATAACGGTGAGATCGACGTTGCGATGCGGCTGCGTTGGTGCGATGGCATCCAGTTGCTCGGGATCGGCGTCGCAGTAGACCACGTCGGTGCTGTGCATCCCAGCGGCATTGTCGCTCAGAACCGCTAACAGCGTGGTTAGCTTCGATTAGCATGCACAAGATGCGTAGAATGGTGGGCACACCTGTTCCAGACTAGGTCACAAATAATTCAGCCACGGGTTCCGTGTCAATGTCAAGAAGCATACCGTGTGGACGAGAATAGGGGCTTTTCCTGTCGTCTCGTACTTTTTTCTCAGACCCGCTAGAAATGCCTTAGTCGATGCTATGTGATCCGCATCTGCCTGTTGATGTCAATACTTCTGTCAGCATTGTATGACAAGAGGACCGGAAATTTTGAAAGTACGTACACATTCAATGACAACGTCAGACTCGGCCGCGATCCCCTCGAGAGTCACCAGGTCGTCGAGCGAGCCAACGATGGCCTTCACGCCAAATGACTCGAACGCCCTCGCCTTCTCCGCGCTACGGGAGAGCACTGTCACGTCAAACCGTTTCGCATTTTCGCTCGCCAATAAGAGAGCAAGGACGGCGCCTCCGACATAGCCTGTGTACCAGAAGTCAGATTCACATCCCCCTGTCGTATTGTAGCCCATACCGGTTGCACCGACGATGAACACCTTGACCGATTGCGAGTCTTGCTGCTCCGAGACAGTACCGAATACCCATGAGAGTACTGTCTGGCAGCCAGCGACGACGTAAGAGAACATGGTCGAGGGTCCTCTGCTAACGCGTATGAAGTAATGGCCCACGCTGGTGGCAGGATGCAACGCGTGCGATAATATATACCGTATGGGCTGCGAAGTGCTTCAAAGTTCAGTCTTATCGGAAGATACAGCGTACCTTGTCTACTTATGACGTCACGTCAGAAGGTCTTTGCAGCCATTGTGGTATCTGGTGGCTGTCCGTGCGACGGCCGGCCGTAATGCATGCAGTCTCAGAGTAGTCTCAGCGAGTCAGAGGATCGTAAGTACAGAGGGCGGTGGATAATAAGGTTAGCTTTTTCCTCTTTCGTACGCAGTCGTTGACAACCAGCACAGTCGGGCTATGCTCGCCTCGTGGAGGGTCTCCTTTATGTAAGGACGGTAAAGACGAAAGGTACTTGCCATTATAGGGGGTTCACGATAATGAAGACCGAGGTTGTTGTGTTGTTCCGAGATAAAATCGAACTCTGATATTGCGGGCGCTGCGTACAACACCTCGGCCTCAGCTAGAACGAACGCGTATAGATCGTGAATCTGCCAGAAATCTCATGCATGAGAGCTTCGCCCAGTGTACATGTCGGGGTCTAGTGTGTAAGTTGAAGGGAAGAGAGGAAGGCACCGGGATGAGCGTTGTTTACGTACAGTGTACACACGCGAGCGTTCCTGGCCAAGAGGAGCTGTATATGGGCGCTTGTCGTCGCATATCATCCGACGCCCGCAAGTGCTCTCTCCCCGGATTCATCATCTTCTCCAGCCTTTCGCGGCGCAGCTACCCACCCCCTCAGCCTGTGCTGATAGATCGTCGTCTTGCGCCTCGCTCAGCACTTCCGAATCCCACCGTCATAGTGACCGCAGGCATCTCGCCAGCAACGACAGGGGAACTTTGATCTTGAAATCTCAGATGCGCCGGGGTTAGCTCGAGAACCTCTTTCCAGCCTACCTTGCGCCGCGACCACTACCACCACCTCCATTCTAGCTGTCTGTCTTTTGCTTTCCTATCCTCGAAGAGCGGAGGGAAAACGGCCCTGCAAACGCTTCAGAGTGTACGGCACGCGGGATCTAGCCCCTTGGAACCGTTGCACGAATCCAAGGTCTGTCTTTGTTCGCAACTGAATGCGAGTGCTGCGCTCCCGTGGTACACTCGTATACTCATGTACTTAATTTGATGGCATGTTTGCAGATCACGCTAGCCGTTGTGAACAGCAACATCTGTGTCAGCGACCTTACCCACGATCGGCCTCGAGGTCAGTCGGGGCTTTGTCCGGGATTGTCGGTCGGCTCACATCAACGCGTAGGTCCTCGGCCTCTACATAATACTCACAGAGGGCCATCATGGCGCACCACCCTCCCCATCCCCAATTTCTAGACGTAGACTGGCCGCAGACGCACCACGAAGCGGCGCCATCACAACCCTTGCAGCTCGAGACCGAGTACGACATCGATCCAACCCGCTACTCGATCTTCCAGGGCGACCTTCAGCCGCAACCGCAGCCGCAGATGGACCGCCGCCGCTCGCAGCCGAACGCAGGGTATCCGGTGGAGTATGGGCGACCGTTCGGCGGGCAGAACGAATACGCCTTCACCTTCCCCAACCCCCTCCAGCAGCAGCAGCAACACCAACCGCAACAGCAACCGTCGTTCGGCGAACAACATCCCTATGGCGCCGGACAGTACTATTCGGACCATCAAGGATCCAATTACACCCAGTCAGGACAGGGTCAGCAATTCCATTCCTCCGGCATGCCTTACGGAGACGGGGGCAACCAGTCCATGCCGAGCTCCCCATACTACACCGACACCAGCGACTCGTCTCCCTTCCCCTTCTCGCACCAGAACCTCCCCGGGCAGGGCCAGGGTATGGGTGCGGTACAGCACGGCCGCTCAAGCTCAGCTTCTGGCATAACCCCGACCGTCCGGTCTTTCCAAGGAGACGCGCAGATGCACCCGCGCGCGATCTTATCGAACGCGGGCACGCCCCTCACCCCGAACTTTGCGCTCGGGAGCCTGGGCCAGGGTTACGGCATGCCCGTGCAGCCCGGGACGCCGTACCGGGAGCAGGCGCACATGCAGCTCGGGGATGCGTCTGCGGCGCTCCACGCGGCGAAGCGGCAGCGCGCGTTGGACGAGGCCGAGGGCGACGGGTCGTCCGTGGAGGGCGATGACCCCTCGGAGAATGGAGTGCATTCGAAGGAAGACGCGAAGCCTGCTAAGCCGTGAGTTCTCTCCGTTAGTTCGCTCAAGTGCGGTGTTTTGATGTCCGGTAGTCTGGGCGCGTGTGCACGGTGCAAGTCCTTGAAGGTGCGCATATATGTAGGCCTTCCCTTTTTCCTGTCATGACTTTTTTGGACTAGGTTAAGTGCGAATTCAAAACCAACCCTGACATCTGCAAGCGATGTATGAACGGCAACCACGAGTGCATCATTCCTGGTCGCAAGAAACGTCGCGCTCCTCCGTACGCTTTGCGCCGATTCATCCATATGACTTTTGGCAGCTTACATTACTACACGCATACAGGAGGAGGGATCTTCTTCTCGGCCAAATCCGCGAGCAGGCAACAAAGATTGAGGAGTTGATGAAGCAGCTGGAGCAAGCCAACAAGCGCGCCGGCAACCCCAAGCCGCAGAGCGGCGAGAACGCGCCGTCCCCCGAGTCCGGTGACCACCACTCGACAATGTCTGCGACGACGACCGAGCTCACAGCGTCGGACCTCGGCACACCCGAGCCTGTGCCGGAGGAGATCACGAAGCCCGACGTACTCGACTGGATAAAGAAGGCGCGCGAGTCGATCGAGGCCTTTGGCGGGTATATCAACATGGGTGGCCCGGGCGTGACGAAGGACTTGCTGGGCGAAGATGTGCTCGGCTGGAAGGACAGCAGCTCGTCGGACGAAGCCGAAGAGTACCCGGAGGGGGAGCCGGAGGAGGAAGGCGACATCCACGTCGAGGTCGAGGATGTCGATGCGAAGCCTGAAGGCGAGCGACCGGCTTCTCGGGGGCGGACACGTCTGGTGGAGCAACCCGACGAGGGAAGCAGCGCCCAGGGGAGAGACGCGTCGAAAGGCTCACGCAGGAAGAAGAGCCGGCAGCGGGATAAGCTTGCGATCCTGCCCAACGAAGCTGCGCCCCTCGGGATGCTCGCGAACCTCAGCTTGCGTGCGTCGAGAAGCCGCAAATCCAGCCGCAGCCCAAGCGTCAGTACGGCCGACGACAACGACTTTGGGGTCGCGAATGATGATTATTTCCGCGCGTCGAGTAAGTGACCTTCAGGCGTCGTGGAGTTCCTTCGTGCTCATGTGTGTTGTCCAGGTCCCGGCCCAGATCGCCCGCTCATATACCCGCATCATCAAGCGCCATACATCCTACGCAGCGGGTTGGTGAGCCCTGTAGAAGTGGAAAAGCTGTTCAAAATGTACGCATTCTCGCCATATCACATCACACTTCATATTAACGTTCTTGGCAGATATCACGAATATATGAATCCATCTGTATCGTTACTAGACCCCGTGTTGTATACTGCCCAGAGGACCTATTGGAGGAGTCCGTTCCTGTTCACTGTTGGTGAGTCGCTTCAGCGCATACAGTCAGTAGCAGGTCTCATCAGTGCCACGCACAGTCTGTGGAATTGCATCAAGATTCTACCCTGAACGCCCAGATTTGTATCACCGGGCGATGAACTGTGCGCGGCTGGCCGCGGGGTCGACGCTCATAGGCGGCCAGAAGAGCGTCGAGACCGTACAGGCGTACATCCTGCTTGCTTTGTATCCTGTCCCCGCGAGAAAATGGGAAGAGGACCGGTGCTGGGTATACCTGGGCCTTGCGATACGGTTTGTCTCATCATCAACCCGTCCAAATTCACCAGCACTGACCGGACACCACAAGGATCGCCACCGACCTCAATCTCCACCATCCACATACAGTCGAGCCCAACGATGAGCAGCACGCGCGCGAGATGCTGAACCGGACCCGGACGTGGCTGAATTGCTTCAACCTGGACCGCTCTATGAGCTCGCAGTACGGCAAGGCGCCGATCATCAGCAACACAGACTACGTCGCGAGCCACTCGGAATTCTGGTGGAAGAGTTCCCCGCACAACATTCCCGGATTTGACATCCATCTATGTGCATATAACGCGGAGCTCAAGGTACTTGCCGACTACCGGTACACGATCTTCAGCGACCCGGAGCATCCTGTGGGCTTGAACAAGGTACGTGGTCAGCCTCTTTCCCCTAGAGGTGTCCCTGAAGTTGGGCCTTTGTAGACACTCGACATCACCGAGATCGCTAGCACATACGACGACAAGCTCGCGAAGCTGGGTGAGATATGGCTCGCGAGGATCAAGGAGGCGGGCTTCGAAGGCGTCGCGTGCGAACTGCGCACGAGTCTCCTCAAGCTCGCGTATAGCTACGCCCGCATGACGGTGCTTTCGTTTGCCTTTCAACACACATTCGGGCGAGAAACGTCGACGGGTTTCAGCGACACATTCTTCTGGAGGGTAAGTCGACGGACCGTTGTAGCTGTAACTTACACTGACGTCGTTGATAGTGCCTGCGTGCCTCGAAAAGTCTGATTCGCACCCTCCTGGACGAGCTTGGTGCGCCAAAGCTCAGTGCGTGGAGGCCGTCCCTCCGTTTAGGATAATACTCATGATTCCTTAGGAGTGTTCCTTCGACACGGTCCCGATGCTGAGTCGGTGTTCGTTACCTTCACGTGCGCATTCCTCATCAAGGTAAACCACACGCCATAAACCAACGGGCCAAAAGCTGACATGCATACAGACCTTGCACCCACGATACGCGCAACACATCCCGCGCGACACTCGGATCGAGATCCGAACCATGGTAGAAGAAGTCGCGAATTTCTTAGGCTCCCCGGAGGTAGCGGTAGACGACCGCCACGGACCGAAGCTCTACTCTCGCTTCCTCAAGGGGCTGCTGGAAATGCCGCTCGCGCACATCGACCACTCTCCCACCGCCCTGAAACGGTCGATGAAGCCGCTCGCGCCCGCAACCCCCTCTCCCGACAGCCGCCCAGGGTCCTCTTCTCCGATGCCGCCCACCCCAGTGCATGTCCCCGCGCCTCCGCTTCCGCAGCAGAGTGGGGTGAAGGAGGAACAGCGGTTCGCACAGGACTCGCAGATGTTCGATGGCCTTGATCTCGGATATCCTGATTCACAGGGGCAGCCCATCAACGCGGCGGAGCTGTACAGCCCACCCCTGCCCTTCGACCACGAGCTTCTCCAAGAGATGCAGACGCTGACGGATCCGAACTGGGCGAACATGGTCTTGCCAGGTACGTGTAGGTTTTCATATAAATGAACAGGTGTTCTAATAGTGATCTTAGGGTTCAATTGGATGGATGCTATGCAAGACCCTGACATCCAGATGCGCTTCAACGCCGACTACGGTGCTCCTTCACAGCAGTAGAAGATCTCTTACACGTCTCTTGCATTACTACGTCGTAACCTTGTACTGGATAATGTACCGTCGTCGCTGGCTATCGTGATATCTATGGCATGCTATCGTCCCAGTTGTATCTATATCTACCCCGCTCTTATCCCGATTATACTGTATATAATGCCTACGCGACTCTGGAACGCGAACGGTCGATTTCGTCCTGCGTGATGCCGCTGCGCTCACACATGCCGTGGAAGATGCTGCCGGCCGTGTTGAACAGGTTCCGGGGCGTGTCGAATTCCTGCAAGTCTAATCAGCTTCCATCGAACTCTCTCCGCGATGGAAGGGCCTTACCGCAATCTTCCCGTCATCCATCACGAGGATGCGGTCGTATGAGATGATAGTGCGCAAACGGTCTGGATGAGATACAGTGAGCGACTCGCTCAGAGTGTAAAAAGTTATGCTTTCACTCACGGGCGATGCACAGCAGCGTCTTGTGGCGGAACTGCGTCTGGATCGTGTGTTGAATCTTCGCATCTGTTTCTAAGTCCACCGATGCCCTATGTATGAAGTCGATCAGCACGCGGTGTTACCTTAAGCAACGAGATTGAACTTACGTCGCTTCATCGAGAACTATGAGAGTTTGAGCTAGTATTAGCACATTGTAGTTGCGAGAAGATTGATGACATACCAACTACTTGGCTATCCTTCACCAAAGCCCGGGCAAGACTGAGCAAACTGCGCTCGCCCACACTGAGGTTTGAGCCTTCGCTCTCGATCACGCTGTCGAGGTTGAATCTCGACGTCGGGGTGTGAGTCCCGTCAGAAGAAACGCCAGCCTCGTCCGCCTTGGACGACTCGACCAGGAATGAACGATGCAGGGCGTCCCACAGTTGCGCGTCCGTCTAGCAAGGGCAACGTGTGAGGAATGTTTCAAAAGTACGATAAATTTAGAATATGACTCACGTAAAGGTTGAATGGATCGAGGTTCGACCGGATCGTTCCTGAGATGACATGAGATACGGAGAAGATATGCGTCTGAGTGTGCCATACCGCTGAAAAGAAGGGGCTGATGATATCAAAGATATGTGAGCACCGAAGAACCTTGAGAAAGAGATTGAACAACGAACATCTTGCGGGATGATAGAAATCTTGCTCCGGAGGTCCCTGAGCCCAATCTTCGAGATGTCGATGCTAAAAACTAATCAGCACCCAAAGACTATTGATTATGGCGGAGGAAGAGCTGACCCATCGATGGTGATAGAACCCGAGGTGAGCTCGATGATCCGGAAAAGCGCAAGCATCAGGCTAGACTTTCCCGCTCCGGTCCTACAGAGACGATTAGCCCCGTGTCCTGAGCTCGCATCAGCTGTCGACGCACCTGCCCACGACACCGATCTTCTCTCCCCCATCGACTTTCAAAGACAAGCCCTTGAGGACGAAGGGCAGGCCAGGCCGGTACTGCATAACGACCTCCTTGAACTCCACGGTGCCGTGCGCGGGCCATTCTGGCGCAGGCTTCTCTTCGACGATCTCGTGCTCGGCTTCTTGTGGGATCTTGTCTTCTCGGCTGTACTCGACGACTGAGATGACGTTAGAAACTATCACAACCGCAAAAAAGAGATGCACACACTTCTCTCTACGGAGCTCATGTAGTTCTAGATGTGGTGTCAGAAAAGGTCTCATGATTCTCGATGGCGTCGTGGGCCTACCTCGACCTCAGCAGACTAACATCCACATTTCAATCAGTCACTGTGAAAGACCGCTCACGGATACAATATACGCACCTGCCTAGTTACCAAGCCACATAATTGCGTCAGGGACGCTGGAGGTGTCATCAGTTATCGCACGTATTGCAGCACCTCATGAACACTCACTGGTGTAGGTCAGTACAAGACCGATCTGCGCCGGGTTGATTCCAGATGCATTCGACACAGCAAGGATGGCCACCTGCGGGATCTTGAGCGTTCAGAAAACGTGCCATAGTGGGAGAGACTTACGATGAAAGTCATGATACCTCCGAGGAAGTCTAGACGGATAGCCAACCACCTACATATGTGCACATCCTTCAGTATATCACTCACATACGGAACAGAGCTAGCGTACCGCTGGTTTGTTACTGTCAAGAACGCCGCCCGGTCTTCGAGGTCCACATAGTACTCGTTATCCCGGAGGAAACGGTTCACTTCTCCATAGCTGCGGATGGTGGGGAGGCCAGAGAGGGACTCCGCGAAGTGCGCATATAGCAGGGAGCGCAGCATAGCGTCTATAACGTCGATCAGAAAGCTTTATTTTGGTCAAGTAATTAGTATGTCTTCACCTATGCGCTTCAGTTCCCGCGCGCTAGCCCGGTAGAAGCTGGCGAAGTAGCTGTATCCAAGGAAGATCCCTAGAGCCGCGATGACTATGCCAAAATCAGGTCATCGTGTTGAATGCAAATGAAGACCGAGACTTACTGAAGTAATGCTCTACGACTGTGATGATGATCACGCTTCCGATGACGTTGGAAATAGTGAGTGCGACTGGGAGTCTTGTCAGCTTCGATCACCCGTCCAGATGAGCAGTGGTACTTACAGAGACGCATGGACACTATTCGTGCAACGTATACGCGATCAGTGATACGAACCGTGGATATGTATGAACTCAGTCTTACCAGGCAGCTGGTTGTCAATGTCTGCGCACATTGGCGTTAGCAACTTGTGATTCGAAACTATGCTAGTATTTTAACTCACTTTCCATGTCCTTGCCGAAGACGCTGAGGATGCGGCCCATCGGCTGCTCTTGTAGTCAGCAATGCTCATTAGAGCCGCAAAAAACACATACCGTAGTGTCGAAGAAAGACATGGGCGCATAGAAGATGTTGCGGATCGAGTCGTGGTGCAGGTTCTCCGAAACGAAGAAACCCATCTCGTCCATAGCCATCCCGCTGTTCACGATCCTCATTAGTACCGTTACGATGACGCAGACAACGCGAGAGCACTCACACGCCGAAGGTGAAGAGCGCCTGGGAGACACCCAAGCAGGCGTACAGGATCTGGTAGAACGAGTTGGGCCTGTCGAAGGTGTTCGCCTGCCACCAGATGAGCGTGTAGCTGTTCATGATCTGGCTGCCCTGCATCGCGAACATGCATGCCACGAGGATCGGCCCCGTAAAGAACGCGCGAGCCGCCCTTAAGTAGTCGCCGTACACTATTGACAAGGAAAACCATCAGCAAATCGCCCCGTGTACGCGTCCAACGCGTCGTGCGCACCTCGCCAGCTGACGGAGCCCGTCGTGCGCTTCTCCCGCACGATAAGCCGGCCCTCGAGCTTGCCCGTTCCCGCGCCTTTCTTCTGAACGGCCACGGCCTTCGTCTTCGCGTCGTCGACGGCCCCAGGCGCGGCCCGCTTCGCAGCGGCCTCGGTGACGTCCTCCTCAGCCGCTGCCTCCGCGTCATCCTCCTCTTCCTTGTTGTCGCCGCCGAACTCTTGCATCAGGCGGGCGAACTCCTTGCCGTGGCCCATGAGCTCGGTATACGTGCCTTGCTCTGCAATGCGGCCGTTCTGTTTGAAAAGTAGGAAATCAAATCTCCGCATGAGGGAGCCCGCTGTGCGTTGCTTACCGCAAGCGTGTAGACATAGTCGCACTGAGAGAGGAAGTGCAGGGCGTGAGTCACGAGGATGACGGTCTTGCCTTGGTTGCGGAGGGCGCCCAGGATGGCGTCGGCGAAGAGAGCCTTCCCGACATGCGCGTCGACTAGAACAAACCTGCGTTACATGATGTATGCGTGGTCTGCAGAAAAGACACCTACCGGCAGAAAGAGGGTCATCGAAGATGACGACATCGGCGTTGTAGTACAAGGCGCGAGCGATGTTGACGCGCTGCTTCTGCCCACCACTCAAGTTGATGCCCTTCTCACCAATCTACGCGCGAGTCGAAAGTCAGCACTGGCTTGCTAGTATGTGGGTACCAAGACACACCTCCGTCAGGTCGCCGTCCGCGAGCACCTGCAAGTCCGGCAACAGGCAAGAATCCTCAATCACCTTCCAGTACTACGCGCGGCGTCAGCTATCACCCCCGGACGTCTCAGGCCGACGGGGGAATACTTACCCGATCCTCATCGAACGGCTGGCCGAAGAGAACGTTCTCCCGCTAGATCAAAGATCTCAGCAACATTGCTCCACACTACTACAAGCCAAAACAACCACATACCAAGGTCGCGTTCTGGATCCACGCCGTCTGCGAGCAGTACGCGACACGCCCGCCGAACGAGACGTGCCCCTCAATCTTGCGCATCTCCCCGATGAGGCCCTGGAGCAAGCTGGACTGTTCGTTCGTCAGCCAAATGCGTACACATGTTCAGACACAGTCGGGAAATCACCTTGCCACTGCAACATTAGAATTAGAGTTAGCACTGCAACCCAGTCTCCCATGCCCGCCACTAGAACTCGGACGCACCTTCCAACAGAGCCCACAACTGCCACGAGGGTGCCCCTCGGCACCGCTATGCTGATCTCCCTCACCCGGAACGGCGCGTTCGCCATCGTCGTCGGCGCCGCCGCAGCCTTCACACTCCCCTCGGCGCCCTTGGCGCCCTTCTTCCTCCTTGCGTCCGCATCGGGCGGCGCGCCGCTCTCCTCCCACTCGAACGTCGCGCCCTTCACGTCCACGGCGAACTCCTGCTCGCGGTCGACGGCGATCGCGTCCGCGGGGTCGGCGGTCTCCGCGTCGAAGACCTTGCGGAGGCGCGCGAGCGCGTTCTGCGCGTCGGTCGTCGCGGAGAGCGCGCGCGGGAGGAACATGAGCGGCTGCCGGAGGAGCTGGAAGAGCGAGAGCGAGGAGAAGATGATGGCGACGTCGAAGGCGTGCGAGGTCGAGGTGTAGGTCACGAATGCGATCGTGGCTGCGAGGACGGGGACGGAGTAGGCGGCGGCGACGCTGTAGGAGAGGGGGTGAGCGGGTGGAGGGAAGGACAAGGAGGCTAGGTATTACTTGGCGGAACGGGCGACTTGGATCTTCTTGATGCCTTTGAGCTCCTCATGGCGAACCTCAAAGATACCTGCGAATGGCGGTCAGAGCGGTATGATTCGTTGTAGCCTTCTGTGCTCACGCTTCAAGAACGGCTGCTCGTAGCAGAAATATTTGACCACGCGCATTGCGCCTGAATCGCTGGTCGTGAGCAGTTAGCTAATGGGACGAAACATATGCTACGCACCGAGGACCTCGAGGATAATCTTCGCCCGCTTGTCTGTCCACTTGAGCGACTTCTTGCCGACTCTAAACTGGAAGGACATGACCCGCTCCTGAATCGGGATGATCAGGAGGAAGAGCGAGAAGCCTGCGAGAGCCGAGGGACCGAGCTGAAGGGTTCAGGTGTTTAGCGGTACTTATAAAATAAGTTGATGAACTACGGAGCCTCACCTGGACGAGCAGAATGATCAAGCATATCGTGACTTGAATGGGCGCGGTCCACACTGCATTAACGGTCAGACAGGTCTATAAGCCTTGGAAACGTAATGAGTACTTACCGGCATGCTACAAAGTCATCGGAGGCATCGGCCGAATCAGCAGCTGGAATTTCGAGTAAGGCAAAGTAACATTTCGACACTCACGAACCACTGCGCGCAGGCATCTATTCTACTAACCTGTGAGCACCGCCGTCAGCTACCACGCGGGCGCAACGATAAGAAGAGATATCAGATACGCACGTCCGCGGAGATGTGGGTCACGAGGGCGGAGTTGCTGAGATTCGTGCGAGCCTTGCCCGTCAGACTCACGCCACGCTTGTAAATTGAGCTGATGAGCGCAGCGCGCGCGAACATGCCGGTGGTCATCGAGCGCCAGAAAAACTGAGGTTACTTGTTAGCCTGAAGGGAGTTAGAATGGCGGTAGGGCGGGACTGACCTGGTGCGTGCAGACACTGGCGCATACCGTGATGCAGAATAACCCAATGGCCATGCCGACGCCGCGTCCGAGCTGAGGGGGCGTCTGTCCAGCCTCAAGCGCAGCAGCGTGCTCCTTCCCGAAATTGATGATCGCCTGCAGCCCAGCGTCAGCGTCAAATCCCACTTCAAAAAATAATGCGCGGTCACCTTAGCCAGAACGGGGCCCATGAGCTGGGAGGTGTCGCCAATGACCTTGAACGCGCCGCCAAACCAGAAGTCACGGCCGAAGACGTCGTTCAGTGCCCACGCCAGACTGGGCTCCTTCTTGCCGCCGATCGTGCGCCACTGCTCCTCGAGCGCGATGCGACGCTCCCCGTACGTCCCGCTGCCGCGGAGTGCCTGGGCAGACCACTTGGCGCGTTTGTAGAGCGAGGGTTTGATATCACCGGCGGCGAGGCGCGCGTTCCACTCGTTCGCAGCCTTGACGCGACGTGCCCATGCCTGGTCCAGTTTGTCGCCGAGCACTCCCGCTTCGCGGCTCTCGTCCATTTTCCAGAGGTCGGTGGCCTGAAGGGTGCGCTGATAGCCCAAGCTCTGAATAAATTGTTAGCGGGATGGTCTCGGAGGTCGTGTGCTGGTCTCGTACCATGAGAGGGTTGAGCCATGTGTACGAGAGAATGGCGAAGATCGACGAGAAGACAACCGGGATGATGGACGCGTCGTCCAAGGACGAAGGCGCAGGGGGCGGAGGGTCCTTTGGCAGCCTGTAACGCATTAAAATCAATGACTCGGATATATGCTAATAAAAGCCTCACCAGATTTGCCACCAGTGTCTACGGAACCTCACGAGCTCCTCGCCAGTGTCTATCTCGACCTTGCGCGTCGAGCGGGCGTTGGCGTTGGCAGCGGAGGTCTTCTTGACGCTACCATCATCTAGCGGACCTTTTTCGACGTCCGTCTCGTTTGTGTCCACTTTCGCGAGTTTTTCGTCGGCCATCTTCGGATTAGTCAACGAGCGGGGACCTCACGGCGTGACTGAGAGACCAGGGGGCAGTCCAGTCGTCCAATCCAGACGCTGCGGGGTGAGGGCGAGGCCGGGGGATGGGTCCAGCGGTGGGGAGGGTGCCACTACAAGGGAGCGTATATATATTCGCGCCATATTGAGCAGAACGATAACAAAATGTGGCGGAGTGCGGTGCGGCAGGGGGAACGGCAATACGTGCGTTCTCTACCCACCACGCGCGGGAGTCCGGACGCACCTTTGCGCTAAACTTAGCCGTCCCTCTCGGACGCCTCCTCCGCGAGCGTCTACGATGCGCTCGGCACCGGCGGCCCGCGCCTACCGCGCCCGCCATCAACGTCGTCATCGTGGGCGGCGACGAGCAGGCGAATTCGACTCGGATGCGGTGCGCTGAGAGACTCAGCCTTGTCAGGCATTTACCGCCACACGCAAGCAGGCAGTACACGCACAACGGCTGAGATCACCCTCCGCTGCCATACAAAGTGCTGAGTGTTCGGAGCGTCGCATCAATCTACTCCGCTTTGAGCCCGCTGCCCCTCTCCTCGAGCCCGCACCCATCCTCCGCGGATCGTGTCATCCAACGCACACACCGTCGCGCGCACCATCAAAGCCGACGCGCAGCCTGACAGCCGTGAGCATGACTCGGGACTGCGCACCTGTCGGTCGTCGGAGCTTACGATGCTCTCAGAATAATCACCGATGAGCGGGGAGATCGGCACGCTCGTCGTCGTCGTCCTCAAGGCGCGCAACCTGAAGGACAAGCACACCTTCTACAAGCAAGATGCATACGCGCAGATCCAGCTGCACAAGGAGACAAAGAAGACACAGATCGACGTCAAGGGCGGTCAGCACCCCGTTTGGGACGAGGAGCTCCGCTTCTCGGTCGTGAAGCGCGTCGCCGAAGAAACCCGGACGCTCGAGGTGTCCTGCTGGTCCAAAGAGCCCCGCACAGACGAGTGCGTCGGCCGAGGAACTGTAGACATAACCGAAACGCTCAAGACAGGCGAATTCGACGGTGCGTCTCGCCCAGCTCTATGTCCGAGTCCGAAGACCACGCTGCTCACGCGCAGCTCCCCGAGTCAGACTGGGTGCCGCTGAAGATGGAGGACGGCGCGTACCGTGGCGATCTGTACCTGGAGATGACCTACTATGCGAAGACGCCCCCGCTGCAGCGTCGAGCATCAAAGTGGAAGCCCACCGAGCGGCTCACCCGGCCGGCCTCCAACTACGTATACCCGGAAGTGCCCCCGGTGCCAGCTGTCTTAGCACCCGGCGGGGCAGCTCACGCGTCGAACGGAGTGCCTCCCGCGGCCCTCGCGAGCACTTCCGCGCCGGAAGACGACTCGCTGCCCTTGCCTGCATATCCGCAGACTACGCCGCAGCCCCATGGTCCCGGTGCACAACAGCATGCCGCCGCGAACGCTCACCGCTCGCCCGTTCACAAGAACGATGCGCTTCCCCCACTCCCAGAAGAAGCCGAAGCTGCACCAGCTGCACCGTTCGTTCCTGCCAGTCTACGACCCGGAGGTAGACCCCGCGTCGACTCCAAGGCAAACACGAGCCCCCAGGCAAACACCAATATCCTCCCCGCGGAGCGCCCAGTTCACGCGCACGCAGCGCCGCTTAGAGAGCCGTCGCCGCCTATCCAGGTACCGTTCGAATCGGTGCCGCCGTACTTACGTCCCGGCGGTGGCCATACACCTATACCCGAACCGCACATCCCTCCGGCTCAGACATACCCGCCTGCCACTCAGAGCTACCCCACTCAGGCGCAAGCACGTCCCCCGCCGGCGCAAGCATACCCCCCTCCCGCACAGGTGTACAACCCTCCAGCGCCGACATACAACCCCTCAGCTCAGGTATACAATCCTCCTGTCGAGCCGTACCCTCCCCCGACCCAGGCATACGCGCCCCCACCACAGAACTATTCTCCGCAGCAGAAGCAATCCTATCCGCCACCCCAGCAACAGTCTTATCTACCACCCCAACAGAAGTCGTACCCACCACCTCAGCAGCCCTACCCTCCCGCCGGACCGTACGGATCCCCGCCACGGCACTACGCCTCGCCCCCTGCGCACGGATACACCACACCCCCGCGCGGCCCATCCATCTCCCAGCCCTACCCGCCGTACGGCCTCCCCCCGCCCGCCCGCGCACAGGACGACGACCTCCCGGACCCGTTCCTGCAGGCCCGGTACCAGACCCCACTACCGCTTCCCCCTGGTGCGCCTCCTCCGTCGAAATCGGGGCGCCACGCCTCACCTCAGCGCGCTGCTCCCGCTCCTGCCACGGCCCCGGCTCCAGCGCCAGTGCAGCAAAAGCCAAAGCCAAAGGAGACGCCGCCTGAACCGAGCAGGGAGGAGCGCGACCGGCTGCTCGCACTGCAGCTCGAGAAGGAGGAGGAGGAGCGGCAGCGGACGTTGCGCGAGCAGGAGGAGAGGGATAACGAGCTCGCGCGGCAGCTTGATCTGGAGCTCAATCTCGAAGCTGAGGCTGCTGAGCGCGAGCGTGCCGCGAGTGCGGGCGCGGGTGCGGGTCCACAGGTGCCTGGGGCTTGGTGAGCTGGTGTGCGGTGATCGATGTTACGATTTAAAGAGACGAAGTATCTTTATTTGCCCGATGTACCAGCAATTATGTGAATGGTGTTCGAATTTTCCCACAATTCTATGTTGGAATAGCAAGTTACCCAAAGAACTGCACAACCTCAACGTTCAACAGCGGAAGCACCCAAGCACTTGAGAGTAAGAAAATTTGATGGGTCTCGAGCGGCGGTACTGATACATTGGACAGCTTGTCACAGCAGACTTGACCACGGAGACAGCAGATACGACATAAGTACGGCGGAACAGGGAACGAGAGGCGGGCAGCGGCCGGTATCTACCATGGCAGGAAAGAGATGAAGCATGCGACGACGTTCTATCCGACCTCGGAGGCCGACTACAATAGCAGACAGTATAAGCGGACTCAGAACATAAGTGAAGGAATTAAAGGCAGAGGAAGGTACGTGGGGAGCGGTCATGACGGTCATGAGTGTAAACTTGCGGATGCGTATGCGAATGCAGGGAGTGCGGGTGTCCGTGCGTGGGGATGTGTGGATGCTTGCCAGCCGGTGATGCGAGGGAGAGGATGCATGGGGGCGTATGTCAGGACTAAAGCATGGTCATGGTTCACCACAGCCAACGTCTATGCGGACTCTTCATCCTCGGGGTACGGTAGCGGGATCTCGCCGACGGGCTCGCCGTGAATGCGCATGCGGTAGAGGCAGGTGAACTCCTTGCCCCAGTTGCTCTTCACGAGAAGCGCGACGACCCCGAAGTCGATGCCGAGCTCGCGGATGTCCTCGCGGGCGGGGAATGTCTGGACGTAGTCGGGCGAGTGGATGTCGTAAGTGAAGTTCGCGATGCGCACGTATTCGGGGGTCTTGGGCAGCGAGCGCGGGTAGATGATGTCGTCAACGAGGTTTGCGGGGACAGGCTCGCCCTGTGTCTCGGCCTCCTGGCGCGCGGCCGCACGGCTCTCCTTCCACTCGCGGTACTTCGCAACGTTCTCCTGACCCTCGACAAGACCCCAAAGTTCCATCTGGCGGGGTGCGGAGCGCATGTCCGTCGCGACCTCCTTGGCGACATGGTCGATCGTGACGTCGCTGATGTATACCGGTGCCGCGAGCGCGACGCCAAGCTGACCTTGCGATCCGGGGAAGGGCCAGCAGTGTCCAGTGTGAATCTCGTGGTGCAGTGCAGTGACCGGGGGACGGCCGATGGCGAATCCGCTTCCACCAGTGAGAAGTCCGGTGAAAGTGCTGAGGACGCCCTGTGGACGCACTTCGGCGGTGTCGCTGGTTAGGGAGGGGATGATGTGTGCGCCAGCAGAGTGCAACGCGTAATCGACGCGCGCGAGGGTGTCCTTCGAATTGCGCAGGACGGCCGCGTCGACCAACTGGTTGATCAGGGACGTGACGTCTTGTCCGTCGGACGACTTGATCGTGACTCCAGTCGTCTTGCCCGTCGCGAGCTTGTTCCACCACTGCGCAACGTTACCTGCGACAGCGCCAGACTTCACCGCGCTCTTGCCGATCTCCAGCGCCTCCTTGACGCCGCCTTCGACCGTCCCGACGCGCTCCTCGAGAGCCTTGAGCTTCGCGCGGGCTTCAGCGTCGCTTCCGATGTTGGGGCGTCGCGCCTCCGCCTCGCGCTGTGCCTCGATCTGCTTGTACAGATTGGAAATCTCCTTCTTGACCGCGTTGAGGCCCTCGCTCGTGCTCGCACGAGACTTAGCCTCGGAGTCCTGGGCACGGGCGCTCTCCTTTTGTACGCGCGACTCTAGCGAGCCGACCCGTCCAACCAGGTCTGCGTGGTTCCTGGTGTCACCTTCGATATACGATAGCGACTTCTCGACGTCGGAGGAAACACCTGCGAGGACGCGTTCGAGGTTCTGTAGACGGGCGGATATCGCACTGAGGTCACCTGCGGGGATGTCCGGGGGTACATAGGGGGTATGAGGAGAGCGAAGCCTGGGCAAGGAGCCGAGATCAAGCATGCCGCTGTTGAGGACATACCACGCCCCCCATAGCGTCAATCCAACGACTGCAGTCTTCGCAAGTGGCGCGTAGTTGAAGCCGAATATGGTGCTGAAGACCCAGCCTATGCTGCCGAGGATTGTGCGCAACACCCAAAAGATTGCACTGAGTACGCCGTGTACAGCGCGACCTAGTGTCGCGCCCACGGAGAACGACGCCTTGGGACCTCGAGGAATGGCGCCATCGATTAGTGGAGGCTCTTCGTCCACTTCACGTATCGGCCCTAGCCCACCCTCGATGTCCATAGAGGTCTCGAAACCGCTCGAGTCATAATGTGGCGGTAGAGACGCTTGGCGGGGCATAGGGGGCACTGATCCCCGCGCTATTGAAGGAGCGCGTTGAACAGGTGTTACACTTTGTCTCGACCGCTGCAGGACCGTAAGTCAACGTCAAGAAGGATGATGAGACCACATACCTGTTCACTGATTTGATCCTCTTCTTCAGAGCTCTCGCCCTCATCACCATCTTCTCTCGGCTCCCCGTTCGCCTTGGTTCCTCTCCTCTTCTTTCGCCTCTTGTCATAGCCAGCGACAGGAAGCGAGGTGAGCGGACCACCTGCGGGGCCTGTCTTCTTCGCCTTCTTCCGTCTCGTCCGCTTCCCATTCTCATCCTCAAAGTCTTCATCAGACTCGTCCAGATCAGACATAGTAGGGCGGTAGGCTTTGTTGTCGGTCGATATTCTGTTCTTCTTGTGCACGGCGACCGTCCGTCGCGAAGGCGGCTTCTGGGTCCCGGCTTGGAATTCGCGCTCTTCTGCGGAATAGTCATAACTTGAGATGTCGCGCGTACTCTCGTTCCCGTTTAGCATCGATTCGCCCTCGACCTCCGTCGAGCGCTCGCGAAGGAAGAAGGTCATGCGTTTGACCATGTCGATACCCTGCTCAAGGGGGGTCTTGCCGCGCCCGTTGTCGCGAGAGTCGTCCTCTCCCTCAGAGTCTGGGACGTGACGGATCGACGCTGACTTGGAAACTGGCCTAGCGACCCGCGCGTTGGCTTGTGCTCGGCTGGGAGGGGCAGCGAGTCGGCGGTTGACGGTGGACTGGGTCTCCTTTTCGTATTCGACAGAAGTACTGCGAGGGACCATGGGCTTCCGGATGCCGGACGCCCAGGCTTCGTTCGGGTTCATGCTAGATTCTGCGGTGGTATCAAAGGAAGTTGTGGCTGCCGAGTAAAACGCGCTGGCGATGTTAACGGACGTGTCCTTGACACTCCACTTCTCCGGATGGGGACTGGGGCCCGCGGGGCGCGAGGATTGTCCTTGAGAGTTCTGCTCGCGCTGCTTGAGGCGTGCGAAGCGAACGAGGGCGGGCTCCTCGGGATCGTCTTCCTGAGGGGGGAGTGGTGCTCTGTCTGGCTTGGGAGGGGAGCGCGAGCCGACTGTGGGGGCGCTGATAGAGTGTCAGGACGCGATTTACACGAGCAGAGAGATATGAACGCACCCGTAGGCGTAGGAGGTGGGTATCGCGCGACCTAGGGGTGGGTTGGGGGCGCGGTTGGGGTTGTTCTTGTTGAGAAAGGTGTGGTGATCTAGACGTCTGCCTTGACCTAAAGGTGTGCTCGAGAATGACATGTACTTCGCGTGTTAAGGCGGCGCGTGTACAGGAAGATTTAATTTTCGGAGGGTGCAGATGAGGAGAGATTGCGGGATATGGGGAGGAGCATGTAGTCGGTGCGCAAGTCGCGTGTTGTGGTTCTGGTCGACCAGCGCGGCGAGCGCGACCATGCGGGCCACATCCGGCGCTTGGCCTTGTTTGGCTTAGCCCTATTTGGGCACTATGGACCTTGTCGTCAAGGAGCGCCCGCCACAGAACAATGCGCTCCTCCTCAAATTCACCTTAGCACGGTCCCAGGCACAGCACAATGGCACAGCACAATGAGGTCGGTATATGCGCTCATATGTACGAGCAAAGCGAAGGGCAAATTCGTTCTCAGTCAACGGCACGACCTCATAGCAGAGTCGCGCAGAGCGTGCTTGATCGGCCAGGTAGGTACCAGTGAGTGGTGCTTCTGCGCCGGTGGTTCTACCGTCATCGTATTTACAAGTGTATATACATACCCATTGTAGAACCCTTAGGCCTTGATGCATATCTCGTCGGTATGACTGCATGTCAAGTTCATTCGTGAACGCTGTTAAATGAGCAAGCTAAGAACGGGGGTATGTGTTTAATAGATGGTGGTGTACAGTATGAAGAAGGAACCAACGTGAATATCCCAAAAGCATCCCGACATCTATGAAGGTCGTCATCACTGCGGGCGGCACTCGGGCTCCGCGCCGTCGTCGTCATCCTCATCATCCTCCCAATCCTCCTCGTCGCCGCCGAACTGGAAACCAGACGCGTGATCAAAGAAGCTTGAACTAGCGTTGAAAGGCGTTGCACGCACGTCCACGATGTCGCTCTCCTCGAACGGCACCTCGTCCACCACAGCCGGTTTTGGGTCCATCTCGGGCTTCTTTGGCGGCAAGAGGCCTGCCAACGCCTGCACAGTATACTGATTAGCACGATCTTGGGTGGCAGTGATACCCTGAACACTAACCTTGGTGTCGATGGTCTTTAGCCAGCTCTCTTCCGGCATGTCGATCTCGAGCATGACATAGAGGTTGCCCTTCTGGTCGGGGTTCTTGTATATGGGCATGCCCTCTCCTCGGAGGATGATACTGTCTCCGGGCTTGATGATCTTGCCTGCAGGGCTAGATACGTGAACCCCGCGGCCGTCGAGATGCGTGATAAGGATACGCGAGAAGCCAAGGAGGGCTTCTGAAAGGGTGATATGCACGGTCGTGAGCAAGTCGTTCCCTGACCGCTCGAAGGACTCGTGAGGGCGCGTCTTCAGAGTGAAGATCACGTCGCCTGGTGGAATGCCGGGCTACAAACTGTTAGGCCAAAGGACATAGCAGAAAGCGTCCACGCCAAATACCTCCTCATCGCCGCCCCCAGCGAGGACAACACGTTGCCGGTCAGCCATACCCCGCTCGATGTAGATCTCCTGCCGGGTCTTGTCCTTGACCGTCTTGTTTCCCTTGCACTTCTTACACCTGCGAATGGTCGGCCACTGTCGTAAGATCCGTTTGATACGCTGTGAGCAAGAGCTGCGCACCTGTCCTTCTCCCTAAGCTTCTCGCCATGACCTTCGCACTCTGAGCACATGGCTCTGTGCGTGCCAAGTCTTGACGGTCCGAGCTGAGGGGATTGGTCACGACAAGCCAGCATCAAGGCATAGTACTTACTGCTGTCGTGACAGTGGTCCAGCCCTTGCCCTCGCACTTCACGCAAGGTTTTGGTTTCGCGCTCCCCTTCGCACCCGAGCTGCAGGGAACAGAGAGTTATGAATGGGTTCAGTGACACGAAGAACGATGTGCGCACCCCTTGCAAATCCCACAGACGACCTCCTTTTCCATATTCATTTTCACGGTCTTCCCGTTGTACAAATCCTCGAGCGTGACCTCGTATGGGATGTTGGAGTCTTGGCCCTTCGATCGTCTCGGACCGCGCGAGGGGCCGTGGTCGAAACCGAAGCCACCCATACTTGCGCCGAAGAGCTCCGCGAAGATGTCTGCGGGATCCATACCACCCATTCCGCCGAAGTCCGGGCCACCTCCGCCACCACCGCGCGACATCCCCTCCATACCATACATGTCGTAGACTTCCCTCGTGTCTGACGTGCTCAGGATCTCGTACCTGAATGACGGTGTTAGCAGATGGGATGGCGGGGCTGCAGTAGGATACGTACGCGGACGCCATCTCCTGGAACCTCTGGTGTGCCGAGGGATCATCAGGATTCTGCGGTAGAGGTGCGTAAGGATGCTTGTATTGCGGGGTATCTGCAGATTGCATACCTTGTCCTACAGGGACACAGAACATCTCAGCACTGACAATCTGACGGCGTTACAGCTACTAGCACATACCGGATGATGTTCTCTCGCCTGTCAAGCTCCCCGTCAGTCACTGCATGAAGGAGGGATCGCAATAAACGCACCTTCTTTCTGTACGCCTTCTTGATCTCATCTATGCGAACACATAACGTCAGGTTCCTGAAACTCCAGAACGCGGAGGAAAGCCTTGCCTTCGGTGGCAGAAGGGGAGACCCCGAGAAGGTCATACAATTCAGTCTCGACCGGCACTGCAGCGTGTCAGCTCCCATCGCGCCCTGAGATACACGAGTGTGCTCACTTTCGAGAGACGTGCGCGGGGCCGGGGTGAGAGAGAAGTGGGTGGAAGGAAGGAAGAGACCGCCACAAGCGAGGACACGCCCAAATGTAAGCTGCAGTATATAAGCGCCCATAAAACACGCATAAAACGCGTCGCTCTGGGCGCTTCAGTCAAATTTCGCGTCTTGCTCTCCTCTCACGTTGCTCGCCGTGTCGAATCTTGCTCAACTGGTACGTGTCGCGTGTTACGTTCTGTCCCGTGTTCTTTATGATGTTCCATAAACTTATCTACATTGTCGGAGTGGGTCTCCCCATATTGACGACCAATATTCTTTCATCTGATTTCTCCCATGTTTGCAACCTCCGCGAGGACTTATGCTGACTGCATCTTCACAGGTACTCTCCTCTCGTCGGCCTGCGCTGCCCCAACGCGTCCTATACGCTATAATCACATCTACTGCACGTCGAGTCGCGTCCCCCTTCGTGTCCGAGTCGCACGGCTCATGTCCTGTCGTAGCACATCTATCATTATGAATTTCTACTTCGAAGCCGTCAGCGTACTTGATAAGTTAGACACGAAGAAAGGGTCTATCAAGGGTGTCATTGCGTCTGTGCCCGAGAAGAACAGGAAGCGTACCGCTGCGCTCGTCATCGAGACACTGAAATGTGAGGAAGCCGTGTCAAGCCGTCGGCCTCAGGGAGTTTGGCTAACCGAAAATCGTGACGTCTGCGGCGCAGACAAGCAAGTATTGAGCGATGTCATCGACGCGGCCCAGTTGCTTAAGCAGGAGCGGAAAATCAACTCGCGGAATCTGGCCCTGGTCCTCGTCCACGACTTGCTGCTCGCCCGCGGGATCCAGGCGGGGGATGGGCCTATCAAGCAAGCCGTGCTGCGACACCGTACAAGACTCCAAAGCGAGTTCACGAGGCTCAAAATAAAACGAGGAGCTAAGTCGAACTCGGAACTAGCGCAAACAGACGACGCTCGAGCTGGTGAGTAATCTGTTGCTTGTCTTCGAGGCCAGGCTCATTTCCCCCGACAGCTGCCATACCAAGATATGTTCGGGTAAATCGGACATGTTGGTCGAGCAAGGACGCTTTGAAGGCCTTGAAGGCCCAAGGATACGAAGAAGGCGACCCGCTAACGTCAAAGTCAGAGAACTCATCTTCCCTCGTCAAAACTATATCCTTAACGCCATTTTGCAACAGTAAGGCACTCAAGAGAGACGAGCACATCCCCGACCTATTCGCCTTCCACCCCAGTGTGCGCTTCACCGACGACCCGCTCTACCTATCCGGCAAGATCATCCTCCAAGACAAGGCGTCATGCTTTCCCGCACACGTCCTCGCGCCGCCCGCGCGCGACGATGTCGTAGTAATCGACGCAACCGCGGCCCCGGGAAACAAGACGTCCCACCTCTGCGCGATCATGCAGAACAAGGGGAAGGTGCGCGCAGATATCAGCATATGACGCACAAAGCGAGCGGGAGTTGACTTGCGTCGTGTTCTCCAGCTCCTCGCATTCGAACGAGACCGCAAACGTTTTGGGACCCTCAAGACGATGCTGAACAAGGCGCACTGCAGCAACGTCGAAGCCGTCAACCTCGACTTCCTCACCGCCCTGCCGTCCGACCCCAAGTACAAGAGCGTCACGCACATGTGAGTTATATGCCTATACCTCTCCGCACGCATGCCTTTGTTTAGCGCATGCCGGGTGCAGATTGTTGGACCCTTCATGTAGCGGGTCCGGTATCGTCAACCGACTAGACCATTTGCTCGACAACGGTGAGAAGAGCTTGCAGCTACACCCACGCGCACGCACGTCTGACTGGGCCGGATGTTGCAGAGCAAGATGAGGACGAAGACTCCGAAAGGCTCAACAAGCTCGCCGCGTTCCAGCTCAAGATGATTCGCCACGCAATGACCTGTACGCTCATACTCGTGCAACTGCGCACTCTCGTGCACGACTTTGCTGACGTCTTCCTCCTGCAGTCCCGTCTGTGAAGAGGATAGTGTACTCCACATGCAGCGTGCATGCCATCGAAAACGAGCACGTCGTCCGGCAAGCTATCAAATCGGAAGAAGCGGCGAACGGCCACTTCAGGCTGGGCCGCAGGGAAGAAGTGCTCCCTGTTTGGCACCGTCGAGGTATCCCGGAAGAGATGGATGACCCAGGTACGTTGTCGATGTCTTCTGGCACAGATCATTCATGTCTAACTCAACTTCGACTGCTCAGCGGATGCGGAGGCTGTAGTTCGTTGTTCGCCGGGCGAAGACGCAACAAATGGATTTTTCGTGAGCCTCTTTGTTCGGACATCTGAGGAGGGCACAGGAAGCTCGACTGCCGACGCGACGAAGAGGAAGGAAAGGGACGAGGACGAGGTTGAGGCCCCACCCCCAGCAAAGCGGAAACGGAATAAGAAAAAGAATAAAGCGTCCGTCTCGTCGTAGCTCCTGTAGGGAGTCACTGTTCGGGACTCTGCGATACTGTTCAGTATATCAATCGTACGGATTACTCGTCTGTTCAGTTACAACACGGCGATTAGAAGCTACTTAGGTGAGTTACACCGCCAAACAACGCAGCGCTTGGAATGTTGGGTCAGGGGAGAGCGATGAGTACAAACCCATTCCGATGAGGACAAGAGGCGGAAGGGAGACCAAGTGGCATGTTCGTCGTCGTTAGGTGAGTCGTCCGGCGTTAGGGAATGGAACCTGGCTGTGAGCGGGGCGCGGGGACTGGAGAGGCACGGCAGGTCCAAGACAGGTGATGCGGGGAGGGGAGTCTTCGTCAGATTACTGCGTTGGTGTGCTGATCTGCTGCTGCGAGTACTGGTTCTGGTAGTACTGGGCGTAGCCGGCGCCGTAGTCCTGCGACTGGGGGTAGTAGCCGGAGTTAGCGCCTTGGCCGTATCCAGCAGCAGCCTGACCGCCCCAGGCAGGAGCGGCACCAGCACCAGCACCGCCGCCAGCGCCAGCACCGTAGCCTGGCGCAGATCCGTAGCCGTTGTACGAGCCTCCTCCTTGAGGGCGGTAGCCACCTCCGCCGCCGGGGCCACCACCGCCACCACCGCCCTGCGTGTTAGAAGGAACAGCGCTCTGCCACACCTCGGGACGCCGCCAAGGGGGAATGTTTGAGCCTCCTGCTGTGATGTCGTGTCCGGCCGACCCTGTCCACGGTAACCTCCCAGCATCCCCACCCGGACCCTTCCCTGTCTCGCCGAGCTCAGCCATCAGGCTAGCGTACTCCGAGTCGAATCCGCCCTTGATCATGTTGGGGTTAGGCGGGGCATGCACTGCGTTCGGGTCCCTGTTGACAGTGCAGTCACGAGCCATGTGACCAGCACTACCACAAACGCGGCAGATGATGTTCGCGGTGAAGTTGCGCTGTTCTGGGCAGTCGTACTTCCGGTGACCGACGCCTCCGCAGTTCTGGCAGATCTGGTTCTCGTCGTCACGAAGCGTACCGTTCAGAGCAGCTAGTTCACGAAGCTGGTTACGCTTGTGATCATTCTGACCTTCGGGGGTAGAGGCAGCCTGGGTAACAGTGTCAGATACGGTACGAGGGATGGAAAAAGAGAGAACTCACCGTCTCGATGACTCTGTTGATCATCTTGACACAGGCGGAGACTTTGTCGTCAGAGTCAGCAGTAACAAGACAGTGAAGATCTTCTTCGGCATCTTCAGCGAACTGATCAGGTCTAGTCTTCCCCTCCTTCACGGAGCCCTTGCCGCGGATACTGATCTTGGCACCGCTCTCCCGTTCCATCTTCTTCAAACTGTTACCACGAGGCCCAACTAGGAGCCCGAAGAAGTTGATCTCAGGGAACTCCTTGACTGGGATGTAGACCTTGTCGGAAGGACGCTGGGAGCGTTTCATCTGATGATACTCCACGGGGGGACGGAAGTTGGGGTCGTTTTTCATGGCACGGTCGACGAGCCGGATACGCTCTTCCTCGAGCTTCTTGCGGTATCTCACCTCACGGGTGTTAGTACGACGACCGTGAGCATCATACGTAGGGGGAGGAGAGGCAGAGCTGTGAATGTTTGAATGAGCGGGCAGCCTTCATGTGGCATGATTGGGGTACTCACCGTTCACGCTCAGGCGGAATGAAGTCATTCAAACGCAACTTGCGGTTGATCTCTTCCAATCTGAGGTGGATGGCATAGTTATCGAGGTGAGCCTGTGAGACACCGTTGGCGTTGATAGCTGTGGGTAGACCAGGAATTTCGGTCTTGGCGTCACCCCAACGGCTGCGACGCTTCCGAGGAGCATTAGGGTCAATAGCTGATTTAGAGGTAAGCAATCGAGGTTAGTAAACAGAAATGATCAGTCAGTGCACACAAATGGGTGCTGCGAGACAGGAAGCGTGTTTTTGGTGGTGCTTGCCTGAAGCCAACACCAGGAAGACGTGGTGAGCCCGACCGAGAAAATGAGGTCTCACCTGCACCGTTGGCGGTAGGAGTGTCTCCGCGGTCCGAACGTGAGCCTTCTCTGTCATTTTGAGGTTGGGGGCGAGGGTACGCGGACGGCGACGGCTGCGCGAGCTGAGGCGGCGCGGCGTCTTCGACGGGCGCAGGGCCGAACCGACGGCGGTTGCCCAATGGAACTAGACAAGGGTTAGAAAACGCTTAAATGGGAAAAGAAAAGAGTGCGTACTTTCGTTTGTTCCTGAAACCTCACGGGTTGCTGGTCTCCACATCTTGTGCTGCTGAGACTCGGCTGAGAGAGGGTGAGATGGAGGTTTGGTCGAAAAGGCGCTCGGCGTCCCATGGGCAAGGGCTATGCTTTCAAACTCCGCCCCAAACCTGACTAATTTGGCAGGTTACATTGTGGCGGGTGTCGGCTCCGGTCCTTACTCACTCTTCTTGTGTTCACCACCACCTCGACGGCCAGTAGTCGATCTTCTCGTTACTTGGCAAATATCTATCTGGCGTGGTACCGTGTTTGTTCCTTGTTGGAAAGTATAAGGCATAGAAATGGCGAGCAAGAGGGCAGCAGAAGGTGCGTGCGCTGACTTGTATGATTAATGCTCGTCGCTGAGCAGCTCGCAGGTCCTGCGGATTCTTTCAACCCTGCGAAGAGGTCCAGGAAGGGCAAAGATGATGAGGACTATGCTGAGACGGATAACTTGGACGCTGTCGAGATTCAGTCGCCCCCAGACACGCCTTCCACCACTCGCGGCGCCAAGATTAACGTCAGTGCGCTCACACGCAAGCTGGCGGAAGCGCGACACCAGAGAGTGCAGGAGGAGGCCCACCAAGAGTCGAGCTTGACCGCGCACAGGCGACAGCAGGACGCTCTCGTCTCACATATATTCCATGACCTGGACTTCTCGTGGCTACATCTCAAGCCAGACCACGCCTCGCGTCCGCTTTGGATCAGCCCAGAGGATGGCCACATTATCCTCGAGGCCTTCTCCCCCATCGCGGAACAGGCGCAGGACTTCCTGGTAGCCATTTCTGAGCCTGTCAGCAGGTATGCATGTTGTCATACGAGAAGTAGATACTCGACTAGAACGGTGTCGCAGACCCGCCTTCATCCACGAATACAAGCTCACTCACTACTCGCTATACGCCGCGGTATCTGTTGGACTGCAAACAGAGGACATCATAGAAGTCCGTGCTCTACGTTCCATTGCGCTCCTAGGCATGCTGACGGAGCGTTTGAAAGGTGCTGAACCGCTTGTCAAAGGTAGCTATACGGAAACGCCACTCCTGCGCTCCGTCTGATACGTCGAGTAGGTACCGGTACCCGACAGCATAGCCGACTACATCCGCGAGCGTACTCTTTCATACGGCAAGGTCAAACTCGTCCTCAAGCACAACAGATACTTCGTCGAGTCCAGTCATCCCGAAACCCTACAAATCCTGCTGAAGGACAAGATTATTCGAGAAGCTCGCGTACACACACAAGTCGTCGACACCAGTATACGGGCAGCGACGTTTACTACTTCGAAGGCCCCAGTAAAGGGCAACCTTGTGATTCCTGGCATCAAGGAAGGCGAGAAGAAGAAGGATGATTTGTTGACAAATGGCAAGAACGGGTCGAAGACCGACGCTGAGCTGTTCACTTCGGTGGTTGGTGTCGACAACGGTATGAAAGTTCAGGCCTTCATCTCGCATGCGTACTGAATGTGAGACAGACGAAGTCGATGAGGACGACGACAACGTTCATGCCTTCGAGATTGACGATGCGAAGATCGATGTACATCCTCTCAGTCCCCCTTCTTGATGATCCACTGACCGTCTTGCGCAGGATGTCAAGAAACGATGTAATGAGCTTGAATATCCCATGCTGGAAGAATACGACTTCCGCAACGACACTGTTAATGCAAATCTGGACATCGACCTGAAACCGTCTACCGTCATTCGTTCATATCAAGAGACGAGCCTGAGCAAAATGTTCGGTAACGGGTATGTACGGTAGCAAATGGTACGTAGTCGGCGTGCTGACGCATACTGTAGGCGTGCCCGGTCGGGGATTATCGTGCTACCCTGTGGTGCTGGTAAAACGCTTGTGGGCATCACTGCAGCCTGCACGATCAAGAAGTCGTGTCTCGTTCTCTGTACCTCTTCGTGAGTACCGTGGACGTCGGAATCGCGGCCATGGCTCATCGCGGTGTCCAGGGTATCCGTGATGCAGTGGCGGCAGCAGTTCATGCAATGGTCGAACGTTACCGACAAGCAAATTGCCGTCTTCACTGCGGAGTCGAAGGAAAAGGTTAGCATGCCTTCTCTACTCTGCTGACGAATGCCGTTCATAACCAATGCGCAGTTCGCTGGCGAGAGCGGTATCGTGGTGTCGACTTATTCCATGGTCGCGAACACGCACAACCGTTCGCATGAGTCAAAGAAGATGATGGAGTTTCTGACGTCCCGCGAGTGGGGTTTCATTCTGCTCGACGAGGTCCATGTCGTGCCCGCTGCTATGTTCCGCCGGGTCGTTACGACAATCAAAGCCCACGCGAAACTCGGGCTTACCGGTTAGTCCCGTTATTGACCGCTTCCACCGGTAGGTTAGCTGACAGCTCGTCTAGCGACACTTGTCCGGGAGGACGACAAAATTGCGGACTTGAACTACATGATCGGGCCGAAGCTGTATGAGGCGAACTGGATGGACCTTGCCGCAAAGGGCCATATCGCAAATGTGCAGGTGCGTGCAGCCACACCGATTTGCAAATTATCGGCGCTCATGCCCCCGCTCTAGTGTGCCGAGGTGTGGTGCCCCATGACCCCTGAGTTCTATCGGGAGTACCTCCGAGAGCAGTCGCGCAAGCGCATGCTGCTCTACTGCATGAACCCCAAGAAGTTCCAGGCGTGCCAGTTCCTCATCAAGTATCACGAGGACCGCGGCGACAAGATCATTGTCTTCTCTGACAACGTGTTCGCGCTTGAGGTCAGACGAGGCTTTTTCATCACGCGAGTTTGTCCTCGCTGACGGGCGCTTCTTCCTGATTTCAGGCTTACGCCAAGAAACTTGGGAAGCTATATATCCACGGTGGCACGGGTCAGACAGAACGCATGCGCATCCTGCAGTGGTTCCAACACAGCCCGGAGGTCAACACTATCTTCCTTTCGAAGGTAGTTGAGCGGTAATCTTTGTCATCACTGACAAGCTAACGTTACTGTGCCTTCAGGTCGGCGATACGTCGATCGACCTGCCAGAGGCGACGTGTCTCATACAGATTTCCTCCCACTTCGGTTCGCGGCGGCAAGAAGCACAACGACTCGGTGCGTAATCTGCCCCGCCTGGCCCGCAGGCGTCAACCGCTGATGCCGATCGGCTTTCTCTGTAGGGCGTATCTTGCGTGCAAAGCGGCGTAACGACGAGGGCTTCAACGCGTTCTTCTACTCGCTCGTCTCCAAGGACACACAGGAGATGTTCTACAGCACGAAGCGGCAGCAGTTCCTGATCGACCAGGGCTACGCGTTCAAGGTGATCACGCACCTCGACGGGCTCGACGACCTGCCCTCGCTCGTGTACAAGTCGCGCGACGAGCAGATCGAGCTGCTCTCGTCCGTGCTGCTCGCGAACGAGAGCGAGGCGGACCTCGGCACGGACGTGCGCGCGGGGGAGGGCGACCTCGCCGGCACGATCACGTCCAAGGACTTTGGGATGCCGACGAAGATGCCCGCGGTGCAGCGCACGACCGGCTCGCTCACCGCGCTCAGCGGCGCGCAGCACATGTCGTACGTCGAGCAGAACAAGTCTGCGAACAAGAAGCTCGCGCGCGAGGTCGCCCCGCGCCACAAGCTGTTCGCGAAGCGTGACAAGGACAAGGCGACAGCGCGGAAGGAGGCCAGGAAGCCGTAAACGCTCGAGGCGGCTGCCGTCGGACTTTGGTCGTGGTATCCTTGGCCAGCACTGGTCACGGAGCCCTTAGGACATGTGTAGTATATTCCAGATGCATAATCAATGGTACGGAAGAGTGTAATATCCCATACACAGCGCTCGGACTCTCTCGTCAACCTAACGTATCGGAAGACAGGAAGACGTCCGCGGAGCGCCCCGCGCTTCGCACCCTCAGCCTCCGCGCATGCCTTCCAGTGTCTTCGAGTCGGAGCAGCGGCAGCTTCTCAGTACAGTACCGGGCGGCATCCCTCCGCAGCGCACTGACAGGCGGTCACCCCGAAGCCGAAACCTTCCACCCACCCGGTCTCCCTGCAAGCAGAGCGCGCCGCAGCATCCACGGACCACCACCTCGCCAGACTCGAGCTCGCCACGGGGAGGGAGCCCGCGCGCACGGCAGCGCCCATGCCCCGATGCGGGTCTGGGGATCACACGCGACGCGCGCCTATCGACCTTGTGGGTCCACTAGCCGGAGGCGGCAGCGGCTTCCCATCAAGAACCCCGCGCCCGGCGGCGAGCCCTCCAAATTGGAAACAATGTTTCTTCGGGCGCACCGGCACCGCCCCAGGCCTCGGTCAGCACCGAGCCCTGGGCCGAGTCGGAGTCTGCCACGTTCTTCGTGAGTGCGCGGGGTGGGTGAGCTACGTGGCTCAAGCTCCGCGAGGACGAGCGAAGTTTTTGTATGCGATAGCAGATAATAGTACTTAGGGTGAAGCCTCGCGGTGCCGTCAATGATGGCGTTGTCTGCGAACATAAATGGTGCGCTCACCAGTACTTGAGACGGCCTCCTACGGCTAGAAGCACGCGTCTGTGCGTAAGTTGTGTTTCATTGGTGTGCAGTTTGGGGACCGCAGGTCGCACGGACGTACATACGATGGAATGAGTAAGCTAGAAGAGAGTACGTATGCGCTATTGTTACCGACCGTTCGCATGCTCTGCGACCCTGCACAGGGTGCACAGCGCGTACGCACTCGATGCCCACATCCCGGCGGCAAGAAGATCTATAGGTGACATACAACACACTAGTAACGCTCCTGGAACGTCGGACTCGTGTGCACGGGCGGTCGCATCACACATGTGGATATGCGCCCGCAGTAGCGTGCATCTCAACCTCGACGGCATTGACACAAGCGCCGTGCTGACGCGACGTGTATGTGGTGTGCACAGTGTACTGTTAAGCTTCTAAGTATTACTTCCAATTACACAGCAGGGCGATCCTAAGGCACCTATCGGGCATTTACAAATACGACGCGAGATGCAATTCTGGCTTCGCTGCTGCTAGTGCGGTACGGTGGCACTGCGATGTACACCTTCGTTGTGATTAGGTGTGCCTGCTGTTGAAATTGGGGATACCGTCGGTACTGAGGGCCAGTTTAGTGCTTGAACTATGTGCGCTGTTATTCTCCAGGCCGCCTCATCGACAGACGCTGGGTCGCGGTTTGGTAGACGCTGGTTGACCGCCGTAGGTGTTCTAGAAGTCAAACGGCCACTGACCCTGTGTCCCATGCTCAGCGGAGTCTTCAGAAGGTGGCGGGATGCTCACATACCTGCCAGACACTCGGGACAGTCGCAAGTTGACGGATCCTGTCGTATGCTGCTGCGGCTTCCGTGTACACTCCAGCTAGTCCACTCGCCGGCCGCTCCTATAGCACGCCCCCGGGGTTCGTATAAACGCCGAGTCTCGGTGGTCGGATTGATGGTATGTCAAGGAGCAGATGTATGCCTGCGACCATTTAAGCATGTACAGAACGTCTCGGTGCGACGTACGGAGGAACCATAGGCCGGCGGCACCGGCGTACACACTAGTCGACGACGAGGTCCGAGGACAGCGGCGAAGCCGCCAAACATGCACACCGGAGCATCTGAGCAGCGAGTGCGCATTTGATACGTCGAGTAGTTCGTATCTTGGTCGCGCCAGGAACTGAGGGGAGAGTCGGGTTCCCTGAGAGCGAGATTGGTGCAGTACAAGCGGTTTGGTGGCGATGAGAAATTGAGAATGCTGCGCCTTGGGTCGTCGATGCGTCGTGCGATGTCGGCGCTTCGTGCAACAGGCTTAACCGTCGAGAGCGCTCAAATCAGCTTCTCTGTCGTGGAGAAGGCGGCACGAACACTCCCGATGCACTGAGAAAGCTCTCGAAACAGGGCGCGCTGATAGTGCCTGCGCTAGGAGAAAACTCCGGGGTCGTCGAGATCGAGTACGCGGCCTGCAAAATTAAACGCGCTGTTGAGTGGGATGAGATCAGCACTGCTCGGGCATGGGTTATAGCGCCCATGAGCCCGAGTTTACGCAAGCTCTCGCGATTGAGGGATCGAGGGGCCGCTCGGCGAAAGATGCAGCCGGGGAGAGTAGGACGGTGGACGAAGACGCGGACGCTCTCTGTATTGATCGTCGTGTCCGTGGCTTGGTTTAGCTGCTCATCAGTGATACGTGCCCCAACTCCACGGGCGAGGTTTGTATGCTCCGACCCTAGAGAGCACGAGAGCGTGAAAATGCTTGCGGGGTCGTTCGGTTGGCGGTCGCGAAGGCCTCGAGTCAGCAGGAGACACGTCTAGAAGTGAGACTCCCGAAAGACAGCGGTGCACGCTGGATCGACGGTGTTTCCAGACGCCGTGCCCGTCGTTCGCGGGTCTTCCGTGGTCGACGAGACGCACACTTGACGGGATCCTGAGGAGCAACCATTCGCGCGAACACGTAGTACACCGGAGGCAGTGCCCGACAGGAGGTGTCCAGCCGCGCGAGAGGAACAGTGATGATGCGCACGTGGAGAGCGCGTAGGAGGAGCAGTGCAGTGCAAGACACTGCAATCAGGTTGTCGACATGACGGCTGGGCTGGAAGTACGGACGTGTGGGAGGCTGCATTGTATGCAGGATCATCCGCGGTGGTGATGAACAGCACGGGCGCAGATGTGTGGATGGAGACGTACGGGACCGCGTGGACGAGGTGGGAGGCGCAGGGGAGGGAGGAGGATGGGGCTCAAAGAAGCGTGGACGGTGCCTTGGGAAATTGAAGACCGTGTTGGCCGCGAAGAAGTGTTTGGGACCCGGATCAGGGTTTGGTTCGCCTAAGATGAGCGGCAGAAGACGATCCGGGCGCTCTCGAGCTGTGCGAATCGCGTTCCTCGCAGGCCTCCGATACGACCGGAGGCATGTACGCGACGGGTGTACAGGATACACGCACGCAGCAGAGGTCTCAGGTCCCGAGGCCAGCTGCAGATCATTTCCCTCGTGTGGGCGCGCACTGGTGGCGAAGGTCGGAAGGGCGGAGTGCGGGGCTCAGAGCGAAGCAAATGGGCGCGCGCGGAGAGGCCAGGGAGGACGCCAGTGGATGGCGAGAAGGGATCGATGGCCCGGGGGAGCGGTGCCGCAGATAACGAGACAGACGCGTGCTCGATTTGGGAGAGGACTGTCAGCGACGCTGGGCGTCACGCGCAGCGGAGAGGGGCGGAAAGCAGGGGAGGGCCGGCTGGCTGGAGCGTGTGGACATGGTGCACTGTGTGATCGCAAAGTCGCGAATTTGCCTACTGTATGAAGTGATGGTAAAGTCGCGAATATGGTCGCTCTATGCTGTTATATCCGCTAGTTCTTTATATTGGCGCCCAGCGAAATACATCACTATTTGTCGTGAAGTAAAGTGATCATTTTCCACAGTATCTTTTCCCTTTCATCACTTTGGTTTTGGGTCGTAGGAGTGATCGTTTTCACGAGTCCAAGTTGTGATATACATAAGTACATTCATCGAGGAAATTACTACTTGAAGTAGCGAATATCATCACTTCAAGCTCGAGAAACAATCCGGGTCGCGGGGATAGCAGGGCTCGCTACACGTACAAATGACTGCGGAATTCATTCGGGTCCATGTATCGTTGTATAGAGAACAATGGCATTCACTGTGCACGCATAGCAGAGGTGTAGTACATTTCAGAAGATCAGGACAGGCAGCGCTAACCCGGCCAGAACCCGGCCAAACGCGCGCGCTCTGCGGATGATGGATATGCGGTCCGGATGCCTCGAGGCTCGACGTGCGAGTCCCACGTACACGTGTGCCAGTCGCCTCTGATCTCGACGACGTCCACCTGGTCCGGGACCACCATCTCCCTACACGTCGCGCCCAGCGCGGCCCTCTGTTTTCGCCTCGCGCTTCAGTTGCCAGCGGCCCTGCGGTTGTATCGAGGTCTCTTGGGGAGGTGCCCGTTCTCTCGCGCGTAGCGGCGAATGTTCTGCATGTAACGGGCCGCTATGGCAGCCGTCGCCCAA